CGTGTGCTCTTCCGATCTTGGTGGGGATTGGGGCGAGGGGCGGATTGCGCGGAGGATGAATTAATCGAAATTTCATTTTTGCAAGTTTAAAATTAACTTTCGCGAGCACTCCCCCTTTTAAAAAGTCTCGGACCAGACCGGCCCCCTGGCCATTATCCGTCAATTATGGAAAGCGGAACCACCCGGTTTCGCGGAATTGTTTGCAGTGCCGCCGCACCAGCTACTCATTTACGACAGTTCCGGAGTGCAGGTGGAGAACGTCGCCGGGCCGTTCCAGGTCGGCGTGGAGTTCGGTCTGTCCTGCGAAGTGAGGGGAGGTGAGCACTTCTCCGTACTCCGATTCCGTCTCTTTGTGATTTGTCCTTAGGTAAATTTCGTGCAAACACGCCGCGCGGCGAGCCGGCGATCCTATCTGTGTCTTGAACTTCTTGCTCGCGGTTATTTACATTACACTCTCGATTTCCGTTTGTGCATATTTGACGTTCTGCTATGAAAATGATAAATCAACGTTATCATGCGGTTAATTGTAATTTGAAACACGCAGTCCGCACGCGGAGATCGAAATTTCTTTATAATCTCTCCTCGCAATTAGCATAATTAAATGACAGAGACGGGAGGTGAAATATGATATTTCGCGGTAAAACAAATTTCACGTCGCGTAGTTTAAAAGTGGTAATGAATTTACTTTTACATATATGTGTATATGGATATATATATATATATATATATATATATATATTCACGCATTTTCAAGTTTGTAAAATTTTATCCATTAATTCCTGCCTGAGAGAAATCAGGTTTCTCATTAATATGTTTAGTCGAGATACGAATCTCGGCGAGAGAGCGACAAATTGCCCGGACCGATCCCCCGTTTTACGCGCGTATAAATCCCAGCTTGAATCCCCTCTCCCCTACTCAAGATCGCGTGAACAAATAAAAAGCGAGGAGATACCGCGGGGGCTATCGTTAGCAATTAAATACGAGCCCGACCTCTAAGTGGCCGGGTATTACGCGGGCGCGCCCGATCGGAGACACCCGGTATTAAGGGTAATTATGGCCCCGGTGATTTGTCTGCTGTCACGCGAGACTGATCGACGAGAGACGAGGGGTAGGGGGGGGGCAGGGGGAAGTTAATTAGCCGCGTATAATTTCCGTGCTTTCGCGCGCGCGTAGGGAAACCCACGCCGGAGGTGAGCTGGCTGGTGAACGGCAAGGAGGTGGACGGCAAACTCGAGGAGTTCGGTCAGAACATCGTTGTCAGCAAATTGACGGTGCCGCAGCTGCGGCGGGAACACCGCAACACCACGTACAAATGCCAGGCGGCCAACACGCATCTCATACCGCCGCTGGAGAAGACTGTGATCCTCGACGTTTATCGTGAGTATACATACCTTTCATCGCCGTGGATTCTCCCCGTTCGGCCTGAAGGAAATTTCCGTCGGAGAAAACCTTTCTCTCCCTCCGACGCGGCGCGAATACAAGTCAAATCTTCTCCCTCGTCTCCGACAAGCGCGAGCAGCGTCAATATTTGCAGGAATTTACATGTATTTTTCTTTTTGACGAAAAATTGATATACACACGAGCACTGCTCTTCATTTAAATTTCACATGCGATAATTTTTCAGTACAAAAGCAAATGAGTTTCAAAGCTACCAAACGGCGAAAAGTTACAAAAGGCCGGAGTGTCATCCAAGGGGTTAAACGTGTTGGTGCTCGTCCCGTTTTGACGGGCTCAAAAGCGCAGTCGGCCGCATTTAGAAAGTTGCACGTGTCGCCGGGGATCTCAATTAAACGGGGGTAACGAGAGCGCGCATTTGACAAAAATATGGCGTTTATTTACCGCAATATTGGTTGCGCAACCTCTAATTACGCTTTTGCAAAGTTAATCAAAATCCCCGCGGCATTCAACCCGTTAATAATTCATATTAGTTAAATTTCGACCACGGAAAGTAATCCTTTCGCGTTTCTGTTATCGGCCCGATAAATTATTGGCAGGTTTGTTGAAAGTAGGTACGCGCGCTGACCCTAGCGCGCAATGGATAACCGTCTCTCGCACACGAATACACACACACACACACACACACACACACACACACACACACACACACACACACACGCACACACACTCTGCACATATCGCGAAAATAAATTTTGCTTTCTTTAATTATTCAACTTGAACAAATCTCGAACGAGCGGAATAATCCGCTCATATTTGTGATGCCCTTTTAACCGAATATTTTTATCAGAAGCGATGTTTATAATCTTCCGAAATCCGATATCGATCAGATTAACGTTAAGCACTTGTTATATATAACCGTTTTAATTAAAAATCGTCACCTATACGATCTATAACGTGACACGCGCGCACGATGAATTTAAAAAACGATGGGAGATATAGCAACAGGACACCGGGGGGAGGGAGGGGGGGGGGAGAAAATTTCTAAGTCCCAGGTATTAATTATGAATCCCTACGACCTCATAATTTCTTAACGTCGCGTATCGAGCTTGAAACTTTTAAAGGGGGCGACGTAAAAAGCGATGGGGTATTACCGGCGATATAGCGCGCAATAAACGCGATTGGCCGGGTTGGTTCCAGTAAAACCGCTCACCGTGAAGATACTGTCGAAGCTAACGGTCATGGAGACGGAGAAGGACTACTCCATCACCTGCGAGACGACAGGCTCGCATCCCCGCGCACGCATCACCTGGATCGAGGGGAACGAGACGTTCCAGAACGGCAAGGTCGATAACGAAGTACTTTAAAACGTCGACACTTTTTGACACGCTCATCCCTTCCTCTCTCCTCTCATCCTTCCACTGCTCCTCGCCCTCCCTCCCTCCCCCCGCTGAATTATCGCAGGTCCCCTGCAATTTTTGAATGTGCCAGCAGGTAATGGAGAGCGGCAACGCGTCGACGGTGCTGAGCACCCTCATATTCTCACCCGTCCCCGACGATCACAGCAAGATCCTCAAGTGCCGCGGCGAGAATCCGGCCCTGACGGACGCGTACTTGGAGGACTTCTTCAAGTTGAATGTCGTCTGTAAGTAGCGGCCGCCGTTCCTCCGGCGCCCACTTCTATCACGCGGCGAATCGGACCGCGAAATCAATTTATTTCCCCAATTCGTCCCGCTGGTAGCGTCTTCGTATTTGTAAAATTGTATATAAAATTAAATTTTTTTATATTGTATTTTTTATAATTGCTTTTTAATAGTAATTTTTCTAGTACTATACGGTGAATACGATTTGTGCATCTCGCGATATTGTAAATTGGAGTTATTTAAGGCTGCCATCCTGTGAAGATATCTCGATCAATTAATAACGTTTATCGTGACAGAGATGATATTTGTTCATTGAATAATAGACGATAATTCAGATTCGGAAGATTGAAAATCCGAATACGAATATGTAAATGGCACTCAACAAGTTTCGCCGTGTTTGCCCCGCGCCGCTGTCGAAATGTGTGAAAATGGAAATTCGTTAAATCGTAAAATCTATTATACACGAATAGTCGTATGTCTTATTAACGTGTCTTCTCGGCTCTTTCAACGTATTTCCCGGCGGCTTCAATATTCCACGTTCTCGGAATCCGCTTCGGAATATTTCATTGTGGTCGCGCGCGTACGTGAAACATTGAGGAAAACCGAAAAATTTCCTCTCTTTTTCTCCCCGCAGTCCCGCCTAAGGTGCAGCTGCATCTGGGCAGCACTCTGAACGCGGAGAACATAAAGGAGGGCGACGATGTGTACTTCGAATGCAAAGTCCGCGCCAATCCGGAGCATCACAAAATTACTTGGCGCCACAACGTAAGTCCTAGCGTCAGCAACAACGAACCCACTTTAATCCCGGAGTGTTTGCCTGCGCGAGGCAAACCGACGTCTCACTTTTAAAATTTCGATTGCTCGGGCTTCGCCTCTCCGCCCAACAGTTTTAGAGTTCTCCAAAAAAAGTTCCGACGATTAAGCGTGAAAAACACACTCACACACACACACACACACACACACACACACACACACACACACACACACACACACACCAACACGCGTGCGCGCGCGCGCGCAAACAGCGAGGTTGAAAAATACATTGGGATGCCCGAAACTTTACATTTCTATTCCTGCGAGAATCGGGGTAATGACTTTTTTATTTCGATAAGAATCGATTCGAGTCACGATACCTTACGGCGGAACTTTTGATGTGTTATCCGAAACTTGCTCCGAGAAAATGCCAGTTTTACGAAAGAAAAAACGACTCCGTCTCCCGCGTGGGGAAGAGGAGACTCGAAAAATTTTCGTCTCTTCATGTGTCCGCGTATATGCATCCACTTCTCCGAGTGCGCGGCGAACTGTATCTGTCGCCTCGCGTTTATCGCATGGATATTCGTGACACGACTATTCATAAACGCGGAAATAAACTTCGCATTTTCTTGGAAAATTTTCCCATCTTCGCCTGCGCCGTCGTCACCTTCGTCTGCCCTGTGAAAACGGGAAATTTGGAAAAAATATAACACGAGGCGCGCGAATAGATACATCAAATATTTATATACGGACGAAGGGGAATTCATTAAAGGGGAAATCTCGGCGGACGCGGATTTACGCGCGCGAGAACGGAGAGAACTTTACATGAAATCTATTTGTCACCTACCTTTCTTATTACCGAAGAAATATGGCGGAAAAAGCTATCGCGCCGGAATCTCAACCCCTCCCCCCGTGTTAAACGCGTTAATCCATCAATGACAGGGCGGCGTGCTGACGCAAAACTATTCCGCCGGTATCATCATGAGCACCCAGAGCCTGGTGCTGCAGGGCATTGGACGCGACAACGCGGGAAATTACACGTGTCTCGCCAGCAACGACCGCGGGGAGACGACGAGTCCGATTGTGAACCTGAGAGTGCAGTGTAAGTAGATACGACAAGTTCGAATCGATAACAAGGACCTCGGAAAGCGAATGTGTAATCTGGAGTATCACGCCGGCCGCGGTTTGAGGATGAATCAAATTTCAAATCGAAGTCCCGTCGAACAGAGAGAGAAAGTATTTGTCCCGCTTATATATATAGCTCGTTATATTTCTCGCAAATAGATTCAGATTAGATCTTTACATTTGTTGTTTGTAATATAAATAATCATGCAAATATGAATATTAATGCACATGAATGTTTGTTTATTCTATCTATTTATTTACGTCATAAATTAACAGCGCAAGCTAACGTAAGAGTAAATTACTGATATGTTCAATTATTAAAAAGATTATTATTACGGGAGAATTAACCTCCGACCTTTTCAGCGCTAAAAGTTACATTTAACTGATGTTGTTCCTATTTCCTCCAGTAAACTCCAAAATACGCGCGTTACACAATATGCCAACCGCGCGTATAATTGTGTTCGGAAGCGAAATATCTCGGACGTCAGATATGAGGGATTACATTTTAGAAGCCAATTTATTTTCTACCCTCCCCCGCGTCTAAGCCCTACGGCGAACAATATAATTCTCCCGATTAAGGGCGAATAAAACGGCTCTTAAACTCGGCATAATCCCGCTGTCGAAGTTCCGCCGATCAATAGCGCGGAAACGAGAAAGAGAGAGAGAAAGAGAGAGAGAGAGTAAAAAAAAGAGAAACTCCACTCGTTTTTATCGTCTATTCAACCGAAGACGTGTGTTCCCTTCTTCTTTTTCTCGCACGTGCGACCCGCAGTCGCGCCGGTCTGCAAGATGAAGGAGGTGACGATTATTGGCGCCTCCCTGGAGGAGTCCGTGAAGGTGCGCTGCGAGGTCGACGCCGACCCGAGCGAGGTGGACTTCGTCTGGGAGTTCAACAACAGCGGCGAGAACTTCGAAGTCGCGCCGGCCAAGTTTGACGGTAACAACGGCACCATGAGCGAGCTCGTCTACACCCCCGAATCCGAGAGGGATTACGGCGCCCTGACCTGCTGGGGTAGGAACGCGATAGGAAAGCAGGAGGCGCCCTGCATCTATCAAGTCATTCCGGCAGGTGATGTCCCAGACGCTTATCGTATATATGAAAGAGAGAGAAAAGAAGAAAAGAGGAACGAAAGAGCAAAAGAAAAAAAAAAGAAAGAAAGACCGGAGATAGAAATCGACGGGAATTTATTCGACCGCGCTTCTCCTTTTGCCATCGCGAATCATAATCTGGAAGAAATCCTCGCGCTGTTCCCTTCCCTGCCCCCGTCCCCTCCCCCGCTGTCAGAGAAAAAACAGATGTACGTACGTCTGGGATTCTGAAAACATTTAAATACCGTACGCGTACCGTGCCGCATCCCGCGTCGAAAACACATAATATTTAGAACTCTCCGCGCGCGGCTATTTGCGCTCTCCTTTTTTCTACCTCCTGTCCGACTCGCTTGCAGCTCGGCTTATCGCGCCGTACGTCATAAACTCGAAAATATTTGTTTTGTCGTTCATTTTCTGCGAGACGGGCCGTGTTACGTTCCATCATAGTTTACTTAAAACGTTCCCCTTTTGTATCTGAGAGAGAGAGATGCTGAAGAAAATGAGAAACATTCATTTTTAATTATACGTACTTCTTCTCCGATATGCTCTACGTGTAATTTCATATTTTTCTCACTCTTTCTCAGCCATATTATGGAACATAATTTATAATCTGACAAATAAAATTCGCATCAATTCTCGGGGTAAAGATATCTCTTTCGATTAAGATTGAAATTCAATGTGAGAAATGTGTTCGAGCAGTGAAACCGAATCCCCTGAACAATTGCACCATCAAGGCGTCGCTCAATCAGAGCTCGGAGATCCTGGAGGTCGAGTGCGTGCCGGGATACGACGGCGGGCTCCACCAGGAGTTCCGGCTGGAGGCATACGAGGTGTTGACCGGCAATCTCCGGGTGAACGCGTCCAGCGTGTCGGCCGATCTGCCGATCTTCCGGATCGCCGTGGCCGATCTCCTGCCGGCCACGCACTTTTACCTGGTCACCTACGCCGTGAACGCCAAGGGCCGCAGCGAAGTGTCGCTGTTGGAGGACATAATGCTGCGCGACTCGGAGAAGCACACAGGTAACTAATACTTATTGAAAGAGCAAAAGTGGCAAAATTAAATTTTCGTCGCGCGTGATATTCCTCTTTTCACTTTTATATTTTATCTCCGTTCGATATATCCAGACATATCCAGACATGTTTAAAAATTGTGTGTAAGAAAAACTTTATCCCGGCTATTTATAACAGCAATAACAGACAAAAATGAAAACGGACGTTTCTACGCACATGTATTATTAAACTTACTTTTGCGAAAAGATCATCATGCTGGAGATTCGTTTTTTTTTTTAACTGATTTAATTTGGGAATCAGATCTAGAATGGGTATTTCAGATTTTACCTCTAGAACAAATTAAATCAGACAAAATTGATGATATCCTGTGACAGATTAGATTAGCTTAAAAAAGATTCACAGAGATTTACATTAAATATTTTAATTTGATATTTAAAATTAAAATAAATAATTCGAAGAGATTATTTCCATTTTGATTTCCGACAAATTGTCGGCATAAATTAATTATTTTGACAGAAATGTGACAAATTAGAAATCATATCTACTTTAATGATAAAACTGAGCACAGATGTGACACAGATTATTCACAGATTTATTTTAGATTTCGCAAATTAGAAATTGGATGAGTAAAAACAATTTGTTTTCTTATTTGTAGGTTCTTATTTTGGTTTTACTCTATCTACCTTACAGAAAAAATTTATAAATACATTTTCCGTTTGTAATAAAATCACGTTTATTGCACATTTTATTCAAGATTTGCAATGCATATGATTCGCTGAACTACTATTATCCCCATTTTTTGAATGAAAAATATTAATTTATCTTTACTAAAGTGTCGTATGTATTATTATTTTCTGAAAAAGAAGTTAGCCACTTATATCATCATAACTGAAAACGACAGTAAATTAACGCGAGTGCCAGCACGCACCATATATATGATTAACACAACTCTAACATTAATTATAATTTTTCTAATTATGGCAAAATAAAATATATCATCTAATAATATTAATTTAACGTGCTGGAATTAATCGCAGTTAATCTTGTGTATACAACTGACGCTGTGCGTTGCGAGGGTAAGCGAGGGAGGGGGAGGGGGATAATTCTTTATCACGCGTGGCGAGACGGCGCGCATGTAGATTCCCATCGGAGGACGAAATGCATTCGCATTCCAGACACCGGTGTCAGCATGCTGCCGTTGATCCTGCTGCTGGTCGGCTGCCTGCTGGCCTTTGGCGCGACCGTGATTTCCGTGATGCTGATGATGTATCGGCGGCGCGGCACCACGTCGCCGGTGCACATCGAGCCCTACATGAAGCAGCCGATAATCACGCCGCCGGACTCGAGGAACAATTCAATGCTGGACGTGACCCACGGCGACCACACGTACTTCGTCGAGTACACGCTGAAGCAGGTCACCGATTACGCGCTCAATAATCAGCCGGACATCATACAGTCGCCGCAAGGTACCCGCCGCGCGAAAGACGTTATTCCCATCTCGCGACTTCTGACCCGATCAAATTAATATTCGTCTAATATCCGTCACGAGGTGGTCTAAATTGAGAAAACAGAATCACGTCAAGAGTGAGTCGTTTTAAGGATTTAGGAATAGCCAAGTGAACAATAGCGCAGCTTTTTGATTTCTGTCAACTTGTCACTTTCCAATTGAACGTGAACATTCTGAGCACTTAGCGCTAAAAACCAATTCCTGTCAAATAACACATTTCATTTGGATATCGCGCGGAGAGACGCGAAATAGTATTTTCAGAAATTATTTACCGACGACAAAGTTTATAATTTAAAGTGCACTCTTGCTGGTAGCCGAATGTACGTTTAACAGGATAATTCTTTCCTTTTTTTTTTCAACGTCACCTGTCTGGCCTTCGCCCTCAGCGTTTTATTTAAATTTAAATTGTTCGAGAGCTGCTAATGCAAAAGCGGAATAACGCGGACGTTTTTCAGACCAAGAGAAGATCAAACGCGAGCCGCAGCTGTTTTTGCCAGTGAGACCGGACACGCTGTTCGCGCCCTATGACATTCACAAGCAGGGACTGCAGACGAACAGATGCAGCGTAAGTCATGTCAGATATTACACAGCCGGTCTTTTCGAGGAAGGAGAAACGGTTGAAATAATCGTAAATGATGCACCGCGTCGCGATCTGTAGATTAATCCGATATCAATTTTCCGCCCATAAGTATCCCCTCCTCCCCTCCGGGAAGGAAAGGAAAACTTGCTTCGAATTCTTGCGGGGATCGGGATAATTGCGACGAGCGATGTTTCACGTGTCTCAATCCACAACGAATCCGTCCGGCATAATGATTTCTAATTATCCCAGTAGGTGGATTAACGGTGAGATGCGCCCTTGATTCTTTTTCCCTTCGATTCTTCACGGAAATAGGAAGTTTCAATAGCGCCGCTAGATTTCGAATTCCGATTTGGAAGATTAGAAATTTAATCTGCCGTAGATTGAATTTCTATCGATCGCTTATAAATTAAGCCGGCTATCTAACCAATCTCGGTTTAGCTGTCGCGCGCGACCGGTATATAACCGTTATGAATAATATCGATCTTTCGCGTCGTGTGGAGTTCACCCGCCCCCTCGAGGAAGCGTGTGTGCGCGCGCGCGTGATGATCGCTACACTATATTTTCGATTCCCAATTCTGTTTCTCCGCGCGCGCGCGCGCGCGACGGTGGGTATTAATTAGATTCAGACCCCGATATCTCTCTCCTCTTGACTTGGCAGCTGAACCCGTTCTCCGCGAAGTCCTGGGAGCCCATCAGCTTCAAAGCCGATCGCAACCTGATGAAGGAGATCATCATCGCCAATTCCATACCGGGCCCGGAGAGCTGCGTGTAAACTTGATCGTGGGAGTGAATCGGGAGACGCAAACACACACACACACGCACACACATACACACTCATATACACTTAAACACGAAACAAGCGCACACACGTACACGGCATATCATATAAGGGCGATCGATTTCGGAAGCCCTGAAAACTGTATCGCGCGCGCCGTCGCTCGATGCCGTGCGACAGATATACGCGCCCGATATCAAAGACGAAGTCAACGAATCAACGTCTCGCTTGTTAACGCGCGCCGGTGTGACATATCACGATGACGATATCGTAGCAAGACATATCAGCATATCGTAGCAGCGAATCGTGGCGCGCCACGATCTCTCCCGAGATCGTCGAGAGTCTTTCTTTAAGGATCACCCCTCCGCCAGTGATCCAGCGCGAGACCGGGACGAGGAGTCGTCGCGAGACGATTTAGTCGCATAATTTAACCGAAACGCTACACGTGGTGTACTATTCCAAGTTTAATATATTTTGTGTCAAGTCTTAAAACGTCTTGTCATTTCGTATAGCGCCGCTCATCACCTACACCGATCTACCTCCGTCTACCTCTCAGCCGTCACTTTAGTTTCACTTCTCATCACTTTTTAATATGACAGTTTTTTGTTGTAACTCCGTATGCGGATTATTTTTATAATTTCTTGGATTATTTATTAATACCTCAATCCATTTTCTTCACCTTATTAATGATTTATTATATATTTTTGATAAATGACACACTATTATATATTGATATATATTAAGACGATGGTTTTAAATAATTTTTTATCCTTCCGTCTAAATTATAACTTCTTGTGTTATATGACAATTATTAGTCCAGATTCCATTCTCTTTCTAATTATCAAATTAGAAAGAATCAAATCAGGCCATCTTTTTTTAAAAATAAAAAGGGACATAAAAGACTTTTAAAAAAAGTACTGGCTTTTAAAATATAAATTTATTTTTTTAATATTGCATATGAAATATTATCTTAATATTGTATATGAAAAAATTTTTCAGAGCGTTTAATAGTTAAAGATTAGCTAATATTTAATCTTTTCCTTATAAAAAGAAACGGTCGCGAATAATTAAAAATATTATTGCTATTACCTATTCTGTATTTTTATTCCGAAAGACCTATATATTAAAATTTATATTTATTCAGAATTTTATAAAAACAAAGCAATATACGTACATAGATATGTATGAAATGCATTTAAAAATAGCACTTCGCTTTATCTCTTAGAAGTGACAGCGAATTAAAAATCTGGATTTACCGAAGGATACACCTCGACGTACACAATAAATACGAACGGGGGCACTCTTCGCGCAATTTCGCGAAAAAGAAAAAGGACGCGTTCTACAAATGGGTTCTTAGAAATCTTCATTAAAAGCTAGCCGGCGGTCAACCTTTTTCCATCTCTTCTCGCGGGCGCGGAAGTGAAGTGGGTTTTGAAACCTCGGTTTAACTTTAACCACCGGGGGTGGGGGGACGGTCGATGATGCAGGGGATGATGCGAGAGGGGGTTTAAAACAGCGTGCGTTTAGCGTGGGTATATTTAAGAGACGACCGGAAGCAGGTGCGACCGCTTCCGCAGGCAGTCGCGCCAAGGAAGACACCGTACACCAGAGCGGTCCAGACTATCACGCCGACCGCAGCGGCCGCCAGTATCAGATGCGCTCGATGACGAACGCGATCCAGGATCCGCAGCATCCACTTGCGGTCCACCGCTCTCCCAGGAGACGCCGCGCGACGCAAGGATGCGGTCGCCGCGTTCTAGACATGCGCGGTTATCAGAGAACATCCGGCGAGCGTGTATAAGCCAAGCTATTAATTTCATTCAAAAGGTGAAGATGTAATATTAGCTCTCTCGTAGGAACCGGTCGTCATCCCACTCATTTTGCAGACAATTCAACTGTATCGGTATGATCTTTTACGTAAAATTGCGACGTGTGTCGCGCGATCGACGTATGTCGCATCTCTTCGGTCGAGCGCACAGGAGGGTGAAAAGTTGTAGTTTTATTTTTATTAATAGCTATGGCTGATAACTTCGCTTTACTAATAACCGATTAATCGAGAAACTCTGAATAATCAAAGCCGGGAGAATATGCTTTTTTTTTTCTTCCCTCACCCCTATTACGTCCGTCGCTCCGCCAGTTCGCCTCGCGACTACAGCCGCATTCTGCAGTTTGCCGTGCGACCCGTTGAACGCCTGCTCTACTTCGCCCTCCACCTCGTACAGATCGCCGTACGGCTCGTGCATTTCGCCGTACACTTCGTGGACTTCATTGTCGGTCGCTTCGTGCATCTCAGCGGGCGGCGTTCTGCTACTCGTCCTCTCGCGCGCCTCGTCGCGCACCTCGCTCGCGGCCAGGAGACGCTCGTACTGCGGCAAAAAAAAAAAAAGGTTTCCACCTACCTAGAATTGCCACTAACTGCTGATTGCCGAAAGAAATTTTTTCAGCTTCCCGTATATCGTCGCGAAGTTTCACGGGAGCTTGGCGAAATTAATATTTTTCAGGCGACAATTGAAAATGTGAAGTAAATTTTTGCGGCAAATTATAATAAAACACTGAGATATAATCGTCGGTGGAAGGCAAGAGCAAAGGGACAAAGACGACGGTCTCTCTCAAAAGCGAGAAGTAAAAGAACGAAACCGAACAATCAGCAAGATTAATCCGTCCGTCTCAATTTCCGTCTCGATTTATTTTAATTCGCCTATATTTTTTGCAGGAAAAAAAAATGTTAGCTGATAAAAAAATTAATAAAGTTCTTTTTTCATACAAGAAAAAGAATAAAGAGTTTATACAAAAAAAAATTAATAAAGAGCTTTTGTACTTTTGCAGCGCGGGCGAATTTGAATAATTTAAACAACGTGCTCTCTTTCTCCTCCGCCTCTTTCTCCTCCGCTTTTTTTTTCCGCCGCGATAAAAAGTTTCCTTTTCGCCCTCGCGGAGAATGATATCTTTAGCAGCGTGGTATGTACCTAATTTTTTATATATTTAATATTTTCGCCGCGTACATTTAATTTCCTCCGACGCGCCTTCGCCTTTTTCCAAATGCCGCGTCGTGCGCAAATTGCGCAAACGTCCCGAATTATCGCGAGAATAAAATCAACACGGCGCGGCGTGTCCGTAAACGTGCGTCCCCGCCGCGGCGAGAGAGAAGCGGCGCGTATCTTAAAAGCGAACGGAGAGCAACGTTTTCCCGAGCGGATCCGGAGAGGATGATTTCAGCGACGACGTTATACGACGGGGGCGGCAAACGGGTCGGGAGGGATCGATCGCGCGTCCAATTACGGAGGAGATGCGGGGACCCGTACCTGCACATTCTGCAGTTTACTTATTTGCTGACGGACCAGACGGACCACCTTGCATTTCGCGTGTTGACAGTTCGCCAGGAACTCCGCGAGGCTCGCCGCCCGATCGTCCTGCCGGTCCTCCTCCAGGTACCGGCAACCGCCGCACGTACGCGAGTCGCATATCATCTCCGATCGCGGCGTGTGATCGCGAATGATCTCTCGCGGCGCACGGAACGATCTGTGCGATCTAAAAGGACCATTTTTCTCGGGATATGTTCGCCGCGGACGCGGCTGAAGGTGCGAGCGAGTCGGCGTGCAAATTGAACGGCGGTTTCTGATCGATGTTTTACCCCCCCTCCTTCCTCTTCCCTCTCTCTCTCTCTCTCTCTCTCCCTTTTTCTCTCTCATTCATTCAGGTTTCACCTTTTACCTTCATTCCAAATATTCCAATCAGTTTCTCTATTATAGACAGAAAATTACAATATTTTTTTATTTCTGTATATTGTATTTCCGAAGTAAAAAAAAAATAAAGCGCTTGTTCGAGCGTAAAAATATATTGCACATTTAGCAGCGAAAGAATTTAAGCAACGTGTTGTAAAAATAACTTTTTTTTTTTTGACACCCGACGTTTTTATATTCGCCATCGATAAGATTAAAAGATAAATAATAGACTATCCGATTAATGAAAAGGCATGTCTGAAATTGAACCGCTTTCAGAATCTATATTCTATTTAATTCGCGCTAATTATCACACGTATCATACTAGAATTGTCAGTAAAATATTCAGTTTTAATCTGCAAGAAAATTAAGTGACGAAATTAGAACAAAGAGATTAGTGCCTTTACATAATGCAGAGTTTATTGAATTTTTATGAAGAAAATCACAATTAAAAATTACAATCGCTTATTTTTAAATAATGATTTTATTTATTAAAACTTACGTATATAATAAAAATAACGTGGTAAACTTTAAAAATACACACAAAAGTATATTAAAGAATAATCAATTAGATAAACATACACAGAACTCTCATTTTCTCTATTATTTTACAAGTAAGAACTGTATACAAATATAATTGACATCTATCCTTATTATTAATTGAGTCTAGGTTTCTTTTCTGGTGGTGGTTTCATGTCTTTCTTCTCGGTCTTCACTTCCTGCTTAATCTCTACGGCTGAAATATAAAAAAATAACCAATAATGCTAAATAGCATCAAGATGTTTAAATTAGAAAATAAAAAGTGTAATAGAAAAGTATAAGCTACAGTCCACACATACAAGGTTCTGTTGCTTGGTGTACTGGCTTTGGCACTGGTAAGGGAAATTTACGGGTGAGCTCTGCGAGTAACATATCCACTCTCTGCCGTTGAAACAGCGAGCTGGGCTCCTCGCGCACCGGCGTTTCCTTCTTCGCAGCCAAGGCCTTGCCATTCTTGAAATCCCAATAATAGCCCTTACTCGGATGATATCGGGAGCACTTGCTTGCCTCATCAAAGGCTTCTTGCAGATGGTGAACTGTGGACAACTACACAGGGCACGTCTTTTAAATGTACAATCTAAAAATCTAAAAACAATCTAAAAATGCGAATATCAAAACGCATACTGTAATAAAGAAGAGATTCGGAATCTTCTGGTCAGACATTCCGAACAACAAAACCATAACTCAAACAAAAATTTAAATGTACATTCACTCTCGCTCACCAGTCTAGAACTCACGACGGATCCCAAATCTGGGGCTTGATACACAACGCCAGCGATAATATAATAATCGGCGACCGCCGAAGTTGAGGTTGGCGAATGCCTGTGTTGTTTCCTGATCACGTACAGGATTGGCTCTTGCACGTGCAAAAGAATGTACTCCAAGCCAGTCATATTGCTGGAGGAGGGAACAATATCGGCATTTATAAATATCCTTACAACGACGTTTCGTTTACATTTAACTTGGCGACCGATTTATTGAGGCCTTACGTCAGTTGATCGGGGCTCAAACGCTGCATCTTGACTATCTCATTGTTGCAAGTTCTGTCGTAAAATGGATTGCTCCTTTCCGAGAAGTAATCCATGATGTTGCTTGGATTAAGGACGGGAATCCAGGCGCTGTCGTGCCAGGACAGGCCCAAGGGATTCTCTGCGAAAGGAGACCGAGAGGAATTATCAATCAATCAATCGTTAAAAGGCTTGAGAGTTAAGTATTGATTATGCAGAGATGCCAAGAGATTTATACATATAATAAACATGTGTGGATCCTCTCACCTTGTACCGGAGTTTTTCCAGGCATCATCATTATAGCCGCTCAAGAGGAACTATGTAGAAATAATTCCAATTAACGTTATAACGACGTTGTTTATATTAATCTCTCATAACAATCGCACATGTACCTAACCCTACTTCCTTCATTCTATTTATATCGATCCTCGCGCACCTATTGGCGCTTATTGACATCTTTGTTCCAATTCATATGTACTGTCGATAACAGCTTCCTTGGTATCTAGCTGTTATAGATTATTATTATAATATTATAAAATTTATATCTTTTGTAATCCTTATTTTGCATCGATAACGCTTTTTTATTGAAGAGAAAAGGAATTGAAAGAATTTATATAATGTAGCAGTAACTAAATGATTTAAACCGTTTAAAATCAACACATTTAAATATAATTTTATCATAATTTAAATTACAATTTAATTACTTTATTTTTTTTACCAAAAATTAATTGTATACATTTATATATGTATATCAGCAATGGCATTGAGGGACGGAATCGAAAATCGCGAGCATAGCGATCGTCGGAAATATTCGCGAACGTGGCTACGTAGTACGCACATGGAGGCGCCAGTGGACGAATTCGCTCTCATGCCTCGGTATTTTGGTGCGCGCCGTTGCGTGACAGCCGTGTGACAGCGATCTCGTCGAATTCCGTTCAGTGCACGTTCAGTTCTGTTTCGCTCGCCGTTCCGTTTGCGGCGATCTCGTAGCCCGTCGGTGGGGTCGCGCGGTCGCGACAGGAATGTCTTGTCACGAGTGTCATCCGGACCCGCGGACCCCGTGTGGATCACGATGTGACCGCGACCCCGCGGTGATTGCCGAGGAAAACGCGCGCGAGGCCCGCCGCTCCGTCGACCCGCAACGAACGACGCTTCGCCGTCGCTGATTCCACCGCCGTGGACGCGCCGCCGGCTAAATGGCAAAGGTAAAACGCGGAGAGAAAATCGTGACCTCTTCTTTGCGTCCGCCGATAGGTTTCGGGAAGATCCGGCGAGAAAGATTCCCTCGAAAATTTTCCCGGCCGAATTAATTGAATTAATCGACAGCCGCGGCTGTCAAGTCGGCTCGAGGTCGTCAGCTGATTCGTGGATTCTGTCTTTCTGCGGCGTCACGGCGTGACGAGCTGTGTGTGTGTGTGTGTGTGTGTCTATACTGTTCCAACCTCGTTCTCGAGATGACCTACCGATTTTTTAGATTTTTGCGAGCAGGAAGATCGAATGACTTTTGCGGAGTCGTAAAAAGGAAGGAGAAAATCGCCACTCCGAATTCCGCCGCTCCGATTCTCGCGACGCGGTAGAACGCTGGAAATTTACCTCGATTTACCCGAGGCCTTTTCACTTTAACCCTCTCCCCTCTTCCTCCCACCCTCCCCCTGGATTCACGGATTCACGTACAATTAAACATGAAGGTTAGAAACTGTCGCGATAGCCTTACTTCCCTCCCCCTTTGTCCCCCACTGCGAACACATGCGGCACGCGCTCGTGCGAAAGAATCGCGAGACGTTCGAGAGAGAAGTGACACATTTATTCTTTTCCCAAGACTATTTTTTTTAACGATTTAAATTTTTGTAATTCGCGTTAGTTTTTTATTTTTAAGCTATTTTTTAAATATTTTATTTTACTTTTAATAAATAGGATATTTTTTTTCTGATAGATCCATCGATCCAAGACTCATTGAACCGACAAGCTTTTTCGCAAGCACGTGACATTTATTTTTTTTTTAATCGAACAATAAAGGATTTTTTTTATAGGAGAGATCAATTGTGACATTTAGTTTTTACGACAATTTGCACTTTATTATTGAGACAGAAACTTGGCTGACCTTTTTTTTTCGAAAATCGTAACTTTCTCTTTTTTCTTTTTACGCGTCAAGAAGTTATATATATATATATGTTTTACTAGCACGCGAGAAGTGCTCGTTGTAATTTCAACGGATTAAGTAAATGGATGTCTTGGTTGAATTACAGCTCTCACGAAGCCTCGGCGAGCCGACGTGAATCCGGATTTAAATTCCCGAGCGAGAACGCAGTTCGGTTACGGTGCGTTGATCCGGCGTTTTCAAGGTAAGCGTCTTAAGCATTAAAGAATATTTGTTAATTGGCACGATTTTAAATTATTAAATAAATTCGACATATTGCAGAATGCACTCCGGAGGAGACGATGAGACCGAAAGAAATGGCATCGACAGTAGCAGTCATGTAACAAGGTCATAAATAGAACTTGTACGTACATTTCTAATTACATTAATAACCGCAGCTAATCTGCAGATCTTAATTGGAGAAATTCGTCTTTATTCTTGTATATATTTATAGGATCGCGAGCACCTGTCTCTTCCAGTATCTATTAATCTACATGGAATAAATTTTCATTAAAAGATATCCACTTTCATTAACGATATTGTACAAACGATAAAAAATATAATAGCGGCAAAAAGATAACGTCGGTAATTGAAAGATAATATCGAGTAATTCAATATCGCAAGCTAATAACGAAAGGGAAAAAAATTAAGAGAAAAATCGAAGAGCTTATTTTTAAATTGTAGCGAATTATATGTTTTAAATGCATAAAATTTTATGTTTGAAAGAGAAGAAATAATAGTTTCAATTTTTATTGTTTTTTTAACAAATTGTAAGTTCTTTAGTTGTTACGCTTTTCGCCGTCGGATCGATTCGAAAGCGATGTATCTTCTCGTAGATCCCGGGATGGAGGACTACACGCCGATCGACGAGGACTTCCCGGGCCGGTTGCTGCACCAGGCCGCGCTCTGGGACAATGCCGAGCTGCTGGAGGATCTGCTGCGGGGCGAGCACGCGCAGTACATCAACAGTAAGGACTCGTGGGGCAGGACGCCGATGCACGCGGCCGCGATCACGGAGAACTCCCGCTGCCTGGACGTTTTGCTGACCGCCGGGGCTGATCCGAACGTCACCTGCGGCCCCCGCGGTCACCATCGGACGCCGCTGCACGTTTGCGCGGAGCACGGCCACGCCGGCAACGTGGAGAAGTTGCTGAGCTTCGACGCGGATCTGATGATCCGCGACGACGAAGGCCTGAAGCCACTCGACATCGCCGAGAAGGGCAACCACGACTCCTGCATTTATCTCCTGAAAGCGGCGGCCGAGAAGTACGAGCTCGCGAAGCAGGCGACCCACGCTTCCTTACGCGCGGCTTGCATCCAGGGTGACACCGTGGCCGCTCGGAACATCATCCAGGGCCTGTCGACCGATCTGGAATGCGTGGTGAACATGGCGCCGAACGGCGCCAACACGCTGCTCTTCGTCGCCTGCGAGAGCGGCCACAAGGACATCGTCCGGCTGCTGCTGGACCACGGCGCCGACTGCAGGATCCATCCGGTCACCAAGTACTGCCCGCTCTACATAGCGTGTTACCACGGCAAACTGGAGATCGTCGAGCTGCTGCTCCGGCACTTTCCCAAGCAGGCGCAACAGCTCACGGTGGAGCGCTGGCTGCCGATTCACGCGGCGACAATAAACGGTCATCATCTGGTGATCGACGCGTTGCTCAAGTTTGAGTATCCGCAGCACGTCTATCAACGTCACAAGGATCCGTCCGGCGAGTTCGAATACGAGCTACCGTTTGACATCAACGCTCAGGACGTTACCGGCCAGCACGCGTTGTACATAGCCAGCATGCTGGGCAACGTCAAGTGCGTCGAGCTGTTGCTGGGTTACCGAGTTAAGGCGAGGACGACCAAGGAGGAGGACGGCGTGGGCGGCGCGCAGCAGCTTCCGGTGTCGAAGCACAAGATCTCCAGCGGTATTCAGAGGCTGATGTCGTCGTTGAATTTCCGCAGCAAGGCGCCCACGGACAAGAAGGACGACAAAATGGTATACCCGGTGAATCTGGATCTCTATTGCAACAACGGCAGCGAAACAGCGCTGCACGCGGCCGTCAGAGGCAGGCATACCGAGGTGGTGAACGCCCTGCTTCAGGCGGGCGCCAATCTCGAGCTGCCTGTCAAAGTCCCGTACGATCAGAACGATCCCGACGGCAGTTACTCGAGCGTGCTGACGATCGCGTGTCAGAATCGCGACGTGAAGATCGCGGATCTGCTGCTGAAGCACGGCGCCGTCGACAACGAGTGCAAGGCGCTGAAGATCGCCGCGCAGAATCGCGACGAGGCGTTGACCGCGAAACTGCTGTCGATCAAGGCGCATCCGGATTCCGAGTACAAGATCAACAAGAAGGCGATGACCGAGTGCACGCAGAGCTCGCATTTCTCCGCTCTGGCGTCGTTCGGCAACGTCACGTACTCCGCGCTGTTCCCGAAGACGCCCACGATGATCAATTGGCACAACCAGCAGTGTCGTCTCTCGCAGATCCGGTTGCAGTGGCTGATCGACGCGGTGTTGCACGTTAACAAGAAGCTGAGTTCGAAGAATAACGACCTGGTGTTGTACGCCATCACGCGGATTGACATCTCCCACAACTCCATCACCTCCGTACCGTCCATCATGTTTTACTTACAGAGCCTGCGATACCTCAACATGGCACAGAACAAGATCGACACTCTCACGGCCGACTCGAAGAATCCGAAGGACAAGCTGTGCCCGGTCCTGGAGGAGATGTATCTGCAAGACAATCGGCTGGAGCAGCTGCCAGAATTCATCATGAACTTACCGGCGCTCGAGATCATGGACGTGTCCAACAACAAGCTGCAGTGTTTGCCGCAGAATCTGTGGCGCGCGCCCAAGCTGAAGGAACTGAACGCCTCGTTCAATCTGCTGCGCGATCTGCCCAGCCAGGCGTCGCAGAACGTCTTGAGGAAGCCGCAACGGGGCGACGAGGCGCAACAGAACGGCACCAACTTCCGCGGACTGGCTGCTGTGCCGCGAATAGAGTCCATGGAATTCGACTCGTTCACGAAGATCGCGAACGCGCAGGTGATCGAAATGGAGCGGCCGCACGTGTGGACCGGCTCGGTCCAAGTGTCGGAGAGGATGAGCGACGACACGGAGAATGGCAATAAGTCGGTGCTAGCGTCATTGAACCTGGCGCACAACCTTTTCAACAGCATCCCCGTGGCGTTGCCGTGCCTGGCGGTGAGCCTGGTGCGGCTGAACATGGCGTACAACTCTCTGCGCTCGATGAGCCACATCACTTCGTATCCGGCCAGCTTGAAGCAGCTGGACCTGTCGAACAATCAGATCTCGCGATGGCCCAGTCTGCCGCAGGTCGACAGCTCCGACAGCATGGAGCAGGCGAACACGGCCTGCTATTGCCCGGCTGTCAACGCACAGTCGCCCAGTATCGTGCCTGGCAACCGGCAGACGCCCACGTCGATGCGTGACATCGTCTTGCAATCGGTGTGCGTACACAGGCGGCATCTGCGACTGGAGAACCTGCGCACGTTGATCCTGGCGAACAATCTACTGAATCGGATCCAGTTGACGTCGTGCGACGACGGCGAGATGCCGTGTTCGGAGGAAGAACGCGCGGATTTGGACAGGGATTCAAAAATCGGGCATCCCGGATCGAAGCTGTATTTGCTCTTTCCCAATGTCAGTATGCTCGACATCAGCAACAATCAATTGCGCGAGATACCGCACAACATCTACGAGCTGAGCAATCTGTCGGTGCTGAACATCAGCGGCAACAACGAGATCGTCGAGCTGCCGCCGCAGATGGGTCTGCTGGGCCGCCTATGGAATCTGAACACGCAGGGCTGCCGGTTGCAGGAGCCGCTCAAGTCGATGATCGAGTCGAAGAAGTACAAGACGATGGACGTGATCGGTTACCTCAAGTCGATCCTGGAGGACGCAAAGGCGTACGCGCGCATGAAGCTGATGATCGTCGGTATTCAGGGGATCGGCAAGACGAGTCTGCTGGAGCAATTACGGCAGGAGGGCGAGGTGCCGAACAAGAAGAAGGCGTCCGAGCACTGGGCCAAGCGGATGGGCAACAAGAACATCAACGCGAAGACCGCCAAGGGTACAACCATCTCGACCGTGGGCGTGGACATCGGCGATTGGCTCTACGAGAAGAAAGTGCGCGGACAATCGTCCCACGGGCCGGTCTACTTCAGGACCTGGGACTTTGGCGGTCAACGCGAGTATTACGCGACGCATCAGTATTTTCTATCGAAGCGCAGCCTGTATCTGGTCGTGTGGCGGATCACGGACGGTTTCAAGGGCGTCTCCGAGATCTTTCAGTGGCTGGTGAACATTCAAAGCAGAGCGCCCAACTCGCCGGTCATCATCGTCGGCACGCATTACGACGTTTCCTACGAGCACAGCGAGGGTCTGCAGCAGTACATCCGCGACAAATTTATCAACGTGGTCGACGCCGAGAAGTGCGGTCTGCCCAAGGTCATGGAGACAATCGAGGTGAGCTGTAAGACGCGTCACAATATCAAGATGCTGTGCAATCTTATCTACGATGTTGTCTTCAGTCTGAAGTCGCCCGGCAGCAAGGAACTGCTGCTGGAGCAGAAAGTCCCGGCGAGCTATCTGGCGCTGGAAGACGTAGTGATCCAGCTGGCGCACGACAGAAAGCTTACCGGCTTGGACCCGGTGCTGAAGGCCGATCAATATTACGCAGCGGTTAATAACGAGCTGCAGAAGTTGCACAGGTCCTTCAGAGATCCGGCCGAGTTGCATCAGGCGACGTTGTTCCTCCACGAGAACGGGATAATCCTGCACTACGACGACGCTACGTTGAAAGACCTCTACTTCTTAGATCCGCAATGGCTCTGCGACATGCTGGCCCACGTGGTCACCATAAGGGAGATCAATCCGTTCGCCCGATCGGGTATAATGAAACTGGACGATATCCAGCACGTGTTCAAATCCTCTACGATATCATCGATTGACACCCAAGGTTACATCGTCAGCTTACTCAACAAATTCGAGGTCGCTCTGACATGGGACTGCCGCACGCTGCTGATACCATCCCTCCTACCGACTGAAGAGGATATCCTGCGCAATAATCAGATAATCAAGGTACCGGTGAAGACGCGCGGCTGGCACGTGCGTGCGAAGAAGATCACGTCGCCCATATTCGCGTGCCTGGGTACGTCAACCAGCGACAACAAAAATAACGCCGAGTGCGTGCTCACGTCGAGATCACAGCCCGACTGCTCCGTCACCAGACTATTGCTCATGTCATATTTCCCCAGCGGCTTTTGGTCCCGATTAATCACTCGGATCCTCGCGGACGACGCCATCGTCGACATCGTCATGTCGTTCCTGGCGCCGTTCAAGGATTTCGTCGACGACAATATTTTCGCTAGTTTACTGGAGCTACAGGCCGAGTGGGTGCTCTGGCAGACGGGGATCGAGCTGCGATACTCGGGCATTACGTTGCTACGTCTGAAGGAAGTCTGCTACAATCTGAAGAACTCGCCGTACGATTACAGGCAGTTTAAGTTCAAGTTGAGACAGGACGGTATTTGGTGCACGGTGGACCTGAAAAATTCCGCCATTCTAGAGATTTGGTTCCCAGTGGACACCCTGGTGATCAAGCAGCCCATCATGTCTGATTCCGTGGACGAGGAGCCCATGGGCTACCAAGCGATCGTGGTGGAGCCACGGCCGGAGAGTATGCCGCAGTTGATGGCGTTGATCGTCGATCACATCGACATCCTGCTGGAAGACTGGTATCCGACACTGGGCACGCGTTTCGTCCACACGTCGGAGGGTAAATTGCTAGTCACACGATTGATACCGTGTCCGCGCTGTTTGCTCGGCAACACCGAGAACGGCGACGGCGAGTCGAGCGACAGCGACGGTCGGCTGATCGAGGACATCCAGAAGTACTGCGCCGTGAATCGCACCGAGAGGCAGAGCCAGGATAGCTACAAGTCCGACGGGGACAGCGGCGTCGGCTACGACAGTCTGACGTCCAGCAGAATGCCGTCGCTCGAGGGACACCCGGATGTGTCGAAGCAGCAGAGCACCACTTCGCATCCCGAGAATACTCTCGCGTACTGCTGGATGGTGGAGGAGTGCATACTGGCGGCGTACAGCAGCAAGCCCATCAGCTGCCCGAGACACTCCGAGGTCCCGTTGTCGCACGTCGCGCCGGACATCATCTTCATGGATCTGGGCGCCAAGCATCTGATCAAGTCGGAGGATCTGAAGCGGGGCAAGCTGCTCGGTCGCGGCGCCTTCGGCTTCGTCTTTCGCGGCAGCTGCCGACTGCCCGGCACGCATGTCCGCGCCGACGTGGCCATCAAGATGTTGCAACCAGTTTCGCCGGGCCCGAACTCCACGCAGTCGGCAATCCTCGCGTACAAGGCGTCGCAGAGCAAATGGGACCGCGACCCGCTGCAGTACGCCTGCAAGGCGTACTGCATGGCGCGTCAAGAGCTCAATATCTTGCTAACGCTCAGGCACGCCAATATCGTGCCACTGATCGGCATAGTCGTCAGTCCGTTGGCTCTCGTGCTGGACCTGGCGCCTCAGGGCGCGCTGGACGCCGTCCTGAAAAATTACCGCCGCTCCGGAGCTAAGTTGGATCCCTACACGCTTCAGGCGATAATTCTTCAGGTCGCCAAGGCGGTGGAGTACCTGCATCAGCAGCACGTCATCTACCGCGATCTTAAATCGGAGAACGTGCTGGTGTGGCAGATGCCGCTGCCATTCCAGGAGAATCCGGAGTCGGTGCACGTCAGAGTCGCCGATTACGGTATCTCGAGACTGACGCTGCCCACGGGGGCGAAAGGTTTCGGCGGCACGGAGGGCTTCATGGCGCCTGAGATCATCAGGTACAACGGCGAGGAGGAGTACACGGAGAAGGTGGACTCGTTCTCGTTCGGCATGTTCATCTACGAGCTCGTCACGCTGCGCCAACCGTTCGAGGGCCACGAGGCGGTGAAGGAGTGCATCCTGGAGGGCGGCCGACCGCCGCTCATGTACCGTGAGACCTTCCATCCGTGCTACGCGCTCGATTTGATGGTGATATGCTGGGCGCAGAATCCGAAGGATCGGCCGACCGCCAGTCAGATCGTCTCGATCGCCTCCGCGCCCGAGTTCACGCATCTGATAGACGTCACCCTGCTGACGGAACGCACGCAGGTGACGGCGGTCACCATGACCAATCATTATAGTGGCGGGTCGAACGACGCGACGGAGAGTCTGAACGGCGACGAGATCTGGTTCGGGCACAACAACGGTGAGGTGGACATGCTGTTGGGCATGCAGAAGGGCTGGCTGCGTCACGTGCGCATTGAGACGCCTGTGATACCGTACGCCATGTGCGGCGTGGATGGCTATATCTGGATCGGCGACAACGCGGGGCAGGTGCACGTCTATCTGTGCAGCAACTTCGGCTGCGTGGCCAGCTACAATCTGGAGGCGGATCACAGCAGGGAGTCCAAGGTGGTGGGACTGATTCACCTGGAGCAGTTGAAGCAATTTGCCGTGGCCTTACACAGCGGTCGGATCTTCCTGCTGTCCAACTCGTTCATGCAGATGAGGAAGACGGAGATCACGGGCGGCAGCAGTGGCACGGAAACGACGCGCCACGATGCTGACGTGAAGACCTACTCGCTCGCCGCGGTCTGCCGAAAGAGACGCGTACTGGAGCTCTGGACCGGCCAGAGCTACGGTCGGATATCCGTTTACACGCTGAAGGACGGCAACCTGGTCGACACGACGCAGCTGTCTCACTGCAGCGCCAATGATACCGCGATGAAGAATCTGTTTGCCACGTATTTGATCGGCGCGGCGACCGAGAACTTCATCTTCTCGTACACGTATCCGGGCTGCGTGGTGTATCAGTGGGACGTGGAGAGCCGGCAGATCGTCAACAAGCTCGACATGTCCAAGCTAGTGCCGTGCTCCGAGAGCCTCAAGTCCATCGCCATCGAGGAGAACTTGTCGACGGAGAAGTGCCAGGTGACCGCGCTCGAGGCCAGCGGCGGTCAGCTGTACATCGGCACCACCTGGGGCTGCATCGTCGTCGCCGAGTGCAGCACCCTGCGCCCCGTCACTGTGTTCCGGCCGTTCGAGGGCAAGGTCTGCCAGATCGTGTCTCTCAGGTCCGCCGACAAGAGGAACGCGGTGCTGGCGACCGTCGGTCAGGGATATCGCAGCCTGATCGCGCGGTACACCGACTTCCCGCTGAAGACGCTGGAGAACGAGGAGCTCAGGCACGGCATGTACACCCTGCTGTGGCGATCGGAGAACTGGTCGGCGGCATGATTCCCCCGGAGATCGTAAGATCCGCATCCTCAGGTGCATTTGGCGATCGTTTTTTTTTTTTAGCGTTACACGCGATCCGACTGACCTTTAGCTTATACGAAGATAAGTACACAAGTAAGTTACATTTAATGCTGAACACACGTTGAGCAGATGGACCTACTCTTGTCCAGCGTTCTTTCAATGAATGCCGATGAAAAGCAATTTTTTTTTTGTCGTAAGGAAATTCGGTGCCAATATACGAGGTGTTACAATTCGGTATGACAAAATTTCGTAGAGCGACGGAGTTCGTGACGGGATCGCAGGATTCTCTTCTTCGGCGGCATAATAATAAACCGGAAGTGCTTAAGTGGTGCGAAGTTCAATTTGAGCGATGTTTGGGCTCACGGTGAATCTTATACGTCCAATAATAATATTATAGTACCTATAGCACGTAAAGGATGTCGATTGCGCTAATAAGCGTGACTTGGAGAAGGAAAATGACATTGCAAGTCTCACGGGGCGGTCGAGTCGGTCCCGCGAGCACGCTTATTAACGGGCCACCCTGCTGTCACACAGGCTGTAAGCTGAAATATTCTTTCGTTCGTCCAAATCACAGCATTACCCAAGTGTAAGAGAAACATTCTTATTTTGTATAAGACTAAATCCTAAGCAGAATAGTCTAACGGTATTTTAACGTACGTTTCCGCTTGCGTAAGTATAATCGGGCTCTACGAGAGCCGCGCTACATATAAGTATTCATATAACTAAGGGAAGAGAATATATTAATAATGCAATCTGTTTTCTCGTGTCGCTGCGAGACACGGGAGATAAAAGAAGGATAATGGATTTTCTCGGATATTTAACTGATATTAACTGAGCTGTTTCAGATATCAAAGAGCTATTTTTAGCACCATCAATTACCTTTTATAATATCGTTAACGTTAAGATTTCGATAAGTTTTACTGCTGACATTAACGTCGTAATCTTGTGAATCGATATAGAAGTACGATTTCTAGACCGTACTCGCATATCTTTCTCCGTGAATCAGTTAACATCACGCCCCAAAAAAAAGTAACGTCTATCGCTATACTGCGAGTTTTACAGTGATTAAGTCTAATCGAACCGAAGGTTGTGGGACATATTTATGTTAGCATTAATTTACCGCAATATAATACACTAGGAAGACACAAGGCCACAAACACACACATACACAATAGAAGCGTCTTGCTCAATGAAATCATAAAATTTCGACCCATGATTTAATTACACGAACGATTAGTGTATCCCAAATGTAATCGATGTGATATGAAATACTCAGCGAAAGAGAGAACGTAAAATATCGTCACAAAAGTGTGTTATATTATTTTTACTTACAACACTTATCAATTACGCTTATCAACAAGCTCTTCTATTTGCTAGAAATTTTAATTTGCTTGACAGGTATTCGTTCCAGCTTCTCTGTGTCTAAGCGTTCTTCGGGAGCTTTCATTAGTTTATAGCAATAAAATGAAACGTAACGATGTAATACACGAATTGCGTATTTAATTCGTCGACGCAATTTAAAGGCGAGAAGGCGGCATTTAAAGGGTTAAACGGATTGATTATCTTTAGAAAATGTGATGCGGTCGGCCGAGAGTATTTTAAATAAGCGTATACAGCTTCTGGCTGTTGTTCGCGAACCGGCGCGTGTGGTGCACTGATGCTGTATCTTTAATTTATATGCGGCGCGTTTTATATTTATTTTTTTAATCAACTCGTACCTGCAGCGCGTGAAGCGAACCACAGTGATATACGCAGCTTGTATCCCCTGTTCTTTTTTTCTAATACGACTATTGTAAAGAATTAGAAATTATGCATCGCTCTACGCAATTATTCTCAAGTATGCCTTGGAAATTATGGTTAATGTTGTGTAACGCAAAACGTAATTAATTACCGCGATTGATCTCCGTACGTTAAGTGCGTCATTGTAAGTTCATGTTTACTCATCGCGAGGATCATGTCATCTATGATCATCATCTCGTATTCATCGACATAAGTTATAACTTTGCAGGAACCCATTGTTATTTAATGTATTTGATTGTCACGAAATATAAACACTGTTGTTGAACAAGAACTCCGTTAATTACATCTGTGTCTCTGTCAACACCGCAATACGATATGTTATGATTGTAATTAACATAGATGTCACATTTTAAATAATGAGATCTTTATTTACAACAGAAACTTACGGTAAGAATATATTTTTCTAGTCATTAAGAGTTTTTGGGTGATTCGTTCTCCTTCTTCGGCTCCGTTCTTGCTCCCATCTCGTTCTCCTTCCTCGACTCTGTTCTTACTTCCGTCTGGGAAATGTAGCGGTTCATCGCCCGCTCGTACGCGCTATCTTCTGACAGTCCGTCCTAAAATTAATTAATGTATTCTCTAGTATTATTGAAAAATTAATTTCATCGATCGATTGAATAAGTATATAACTGCACACACCTTTCTTAACGTTTCGTACATGGACAGAAAGTTCTGCGTCGCGGATTTTGCATTTTCATTTGCCAAATTAGTGGCTGGCAAGAAGCTTTGATCCTTATGGAACCTTCTGCAACAGGAAAAAAAATATTTGCCCTGTAATATTTATATGGCCTAATAAAAATATTTTATTGAACGCATTAAGGTGTCTCGCGCTCGAATAAGATGCCCTGTAATATTTATGTGGCGTAATAAAAAAAAATATTTGCCCTGTAATATTTATGTGGCGTAATAAAAAAATATTTTATTGAACACATTAAGACTCACGCTCGAATAAGATCCTCATTGTAAAAGATGGGTCTGACTGGTTTCTTCGGCAGCCGTCTGTCGTATCTCGGCTCGTATTTCGGGGGAAAAGCCTCGTACACCGTCAACCATACCGGCATATCCTCCTCTTTTATAGCCTTGCCCTTCAATAACGCCGAAAATCTGAAATGCATTTAGACAGAGACGGTGCAGTCAACATTATGAAATGTTTATATCATCAATCTCTGGAGAAAGCAAGTGAACTACTGTCACTTGTAGACGTAACTTTTAAAGAGGATGATGCGATACATAAGCAATTTAATCCGAAGATTCTCCAATCAATTCGAAATGTAAGTTAATAAAAAACGATTTCTCTGCAGTTTCTTAACGATTGCGAGTTCAATTTTCCAAAACAATTTCGAAGGCTGGCCCTCACCTGGTGTATATCGTGCCGATCTTCTCCAGTCTGCTCTGCGCCATTGTGTATCGCTCTCGACGTGACGGTTCACGAGTGAGATTTTAAAACAAGGCGTGACCTGATGAACCAGGAACCCCTCGTATTCTGTAACCTAATCGACCTAACCTAACTCATCGAGCGACAAGCAGACACGCCGTTCAAAACGACACACATACCGTCGCCATTTTTAAAACGTTCCAGTCCGAGAAACCTGCGAGCGAATTCCCTGGGAGAATCAACACGTGGACCGCTGGGGTCTTTTCGGTTGCGACGGTTTGCCTCGCGCGTGCCGACCACTGCCGTTTTTCCCGCGCAAATGACAGAGGGTGGCTTTCAAAGGGTCTCGCGAGCATCTGCAGGAATTTACAGCGTGACAAGTGCCGATTGCCCGCCGCCGAGATGGACACGGAGATCGATCAGAATCTGGAGCAGATAACGCGCGAATATGTGGACTTTCTGGACGACGTGGTGAGATCATCAGAACTTGTTGACAAACATTTACTTGGCCGCGAATTTCAGACGTATTTTCGATCCTTCGTAACTCTTTTGCTTGTGGAAAAAAAAATACATAGGCAGCTGTTAAGGGGAAAACGACGATTAAATCCTTGAGACCTAAAAAATATAGATATTTAGATGGGTATGTGATTTCCAAGTCACATGGTGTTATTGGAGGATAAAATGTCACAAGGATGATGTTTCTCTGCCTAATTCTCATGACATCCTCGTTAACTTTGTGCAGGAGGACCAGAGCATATATGCCACAATGGTCAAGAATATGATCCAGGAGGAGAGATACAGGCTGGTCGTGAACATCAACGATTTAAGAAGAAAGAATCCTGCCCGCGCAGCGAGGTATACAATAGATTTAGCTTCCACCAGCGTGCAGCACCGAGATACTACTTCCTATGCAAATCGTAAAGTGTCAAGGATAATAACAGCTGGTCGTGTGTGTTGCAGCTTGTTGAACAATTCCTTTGAGGAGCAACTGGCATTTCAGAACGCCCTGCAACAATACATCTCGAGTGTAGACATCGACTATGCCAAGGGCAATAAAGAGTTCTTCGTAGCTTTCGAGGGCAGCTTCGGAAACAAGCATGTCACACCGAGAACGCTCACCTCTCGTTACCTGGGTAACTTGGTGTGCATGGAGGGTATCGTCACAAAATGCAAGTATCTGGGAGAAAAGTGTCGAATTTAACTTTCTCTCGGACTTTACAGAATTCATCTCTGCTTACATAATTCTATTTTAATAGATTTATTTCATTTATTTGTATATTAAATTTATCACATGAGTTTTATGAAATTCATACTTATATAAAAATAACATTACATTTAAAATAATATTTTTTTTATTAGGTTCATTGGTACGACCGAAAGTTGTGAGGAGCGTTCACTACTGCGACACGACCAAGACAGTCCTGGAGAGAGCCTATTCGGATCTAACTTCCTTGGAGGCTTTCCCCCACTCTGCCGTTTATCCGACCACCGTAATTATTTCTGCCACTTGAATGAAATGCAGAGTTTGACGTTCAGTTTGTAGATTCCGTTCTTCCGCGTTGCAGGACGACAACGGCAATCCGCTTGAAACGGAATTCGGTTTGTCGACTTACAAGGACCATCAGACGCTCACTATACAGGAGATGCCGGAGAAAGCGCCAGCCGGCCAGCTACCGCGAAGCGTGGATGTGATTTGCGACAACGACCTGGTGGACTTGTGCAAGCCTGGAGATCGAGTGCAGATTGTCGGAAACTACCGGTGTCTCCCGGGGAAACAGGGTGGATACACAACCGGAACTTTCAAGTACGTTTTTAGGACAAGATTCGCGAGGATTAATTGAGTTTACTCAGTTTAATTGAGTCGCGCGTTCCTTGTATCTTCATCTCGCCTTGCATCATAATTATGATTATATAGGACGGTCCTAATCGCCAACAATATAATGCAACTGAGTAAGGAGGCCAATCTCGCGATCTCCCACGACGACGTAACTATGTGCAAGAAACTGGCGAAGAACAATCCCTGCAAGAATATCTTCGAGCTTCTCGCCAAGTCCCTTGCGCCGTCCATACACGGCAATGAATACATAAAAAAGGCGATTCTGTGCTTGCTCTTGGGCGGAGTAGAGAAGATCTTGCCAAACGGTACGAGGCTGCGAGGGTAAGTTTCTACACAGTCCTTTATGATTTCGTATTGAAAAAACAATTTTTTAATCAATCCACTGTGATTTAATTCATCTCAATTAGAAGATATATAACTTATTCAATAGTTATTTCTTGGTGAATTTAAACAGCTTAAATTTATTAAAAATTTAGAAGCTCAAGTATAGATTTTATTGAAAGATATTTATATGTCAATACTTAAATTAACAGAAAAAAAAGATATAAAAAAAAGAAAGATTAAAGAATTTGGAAATGATAGAAATTTTGCCTCTTTGGTCGTCTCAATATTCTAACTAACGTTGATTCTGTAATGATAATGATACGATCCGAATTTTTTGACATATGTATTACAGAGACATAAACGTATTACTAATTGGAGATCCGTCGGTGGCCAAGTCGCAACTACTACGTTATGTGTTGTGCACCGCTCCGCGAGCAATTCCGACCACCGGAAGAGGATCTTCGGGCGTGGGTTTAACGGCAGCGGTTACGGTCGATCAAGAGACCGGCGAGCGCAGGCTGGAGGCGGGCGCGATGGTCCTGGCGGACCGCGGTGTCATTTGCATCGACGAATTCGATAAGATGTCGGACATCGACCGAACGGCGATACACGAGGTGATGGAGCAAGGAAGGATCACGATCGCCAAGGCGGGCATTCACGCCAGCCTGAATGCACGTTGCTCGGTACTGGCGGCTGCGAATCCTGTGTACGGGAGAGTAAGTTTCGATCGTCTTGAAGAAACTTCTACTCTTGATTCTTTTTGATAAAAATAAAATTTAACTTTTGCAAAAATTTTGTAATTTATAAAAAGTAAGTTTAAATTAGATTCGCTTCCTCGCAAAAAATATTTCTATATTAAAAATTGCAATTTCTCTTACAAGACATAATTTATAATAAATTAAAAAATATTAAGAAACATGTGTGTATGAATATTATTATTATGTATATTATTTAATGAAACTCTTGAATTATATATATATATATATATAATATATATATATATATGAATTATATATATTATTTAATGAAACTCTCCACATTTTTTTTTTCAGTACGATCAGTACAAGACCCCCATGGAGAATATCGGCCTGCAGGATTCTCTGTTATCGCGTTTCGATCTGCTCTTCGTTGTGCTGGACGTGATTGATTCGGACCAGGATCATATAATTAGCGATCACGTCGTCCGGATGCATCGATACAGAAGTGCTTTGGAGCAAGACGGGGAGGCTTTGAGCTTGGGCTCGAAGTTGGACATGTTGACCACGAAGAATCCGGACGACGTAGCTACCGAGGAGTCGCAGTCGCAAGTTTACCAGAAATACGATCCGCTTCTGCACGGGCAAACGCGTTCGAAAAAGTAATCCACTTTCATCGTATTGTATTTTGTTACGTTGAATCTACGAGCTATGATTCTCTATGATCTTAACATCAAGCTCCGATTGCGTAGATTTTACGTGAAGAAACTTATGCTTTGAAATTTCTTTCTCAGCGACCAGATCCTCACCATACAGTTCATGAGAAAGTACATACACATCGCGCGGTGCATGAAGCCCAAGCTCACGGAAGAGGCCAGCGCTGTTATCGCGGAGGAATATTCGAGGCTTCGATCGGAGGACATGGTAGAATCCGACGTTGCGAGGGTGAGTGGAGAGGAAAATCCCAGATTCGCGTATAAAAAAAGACATACATATCCAACATTTTTTTACCGAATAATTTTCAGACTCAACCGGTGACCGCGAGAACTCTGGAAACGTTGATTCGACTGTCCACGGCGCACGCGAAGGCACGGCTCTCGAAGAACGTGGAGAGCGAGGACGCACGCGCCGCGATAGAGCTCGTGCAGTACGCCTACTTCAAACGCGTGCTGGAGAAAGAAAAGAGGAAGCGGCGACGTCACGACAGCGAGGCGTCGGAGAACGCGGACGAGGCGGACGAGAGCAGGCAGGCGAAGCGCTCCAGACGGACGAGGGAGTCGGGTGAGGCCGATCCGTACGAGTACGACAGTGACGACGAACACGTCGAACAGGCAACCAGAAGGATTACAAGGACACAGTCACAAAAGAGCAGCACGCATACGGAGTCGCACAGCAGCCATCCGGAGACGCATAGCGGCCATCCGGAGACGCACAGCGGCCACCCGGAGTCGCATAGCAGCCGCACGGAGTCACACAGCATGGAAACTGAAGGCCCGGAATCCTCCGTCTCCGAAACAGCGACGCCAACGATCACCGAAGAAAGGTAATTTCACTCGAAGAGTGATATATCAAAAATATATCCAAAATATATCAAAAAGTACTGATCGTATCGTATAACCACGAATTCTTTAATCTTTCTTTTTTAAACGGTCCTCTGTCAATTTTTATGCCTTGTGGATTAGTAGAATTCAATCGTTAATTAAATAATTAACATAAACGACGGCTTCCCTCGCGTGACTTTTCCTTTACGCCTTAAATATTTCCTACGTGTTACTTTTATATTTTTTACTCTATGCTATGTGCCCGCGTTAAAGCCAGAAAATAAAACGAACGTTACAGAGCAAATGTACTCTAATTCAATTTCCCTCTCTGATTTTAGACTTGCGGTCTTCAAGTCGTCGCTCAACAAGTTGTTCCAAGAACGAAGGACTCAGAATATTCTGAAGACAGAAGTAATCGATCACCTGAACAAGACGCTCTCTCTGAACTTCACATCCGACGAGATTAAAGCCGCTATCAGTACCATGACGGACGCAAATCAAATTATGGCGGTGGAAGACTACATCTTCCTGATATAAAACATTTGTAATCTTTCGTACATATATTCGTATTCGTTATTACGTGTTGAACAGTAATCAAAGCAATATCTTTAGGCCATTAATTTATAAAATTAATTTATAAAATCAAGCACTCGCAACTGCATTGAATTATGAGAAACAAGAAATCATTCGTTTACGTGCTTACAATGACTAATTGTTTCTTTTTTTTTCATAATTTATACGAGTCTTCGGGAGAGAAATATTTTTTATACCGTTTTTGTAACGTTAATGCTAGCGATCGAGTAATAATAATAATCAGTACACATTTGCGAATAATGATATCTAACAACATTTATTTGCCCTATACTCGATATAAGACAACACATTGGCACATAAACTAGCAACAATCATCAACATTCATTACAGTGATGTAAACGTAATGCGGCTCAAAACGCTAAACCCGTTTTTCTTCCGCTTCTGTAAATATATAATATATATATATATATGCATAACATTCATCGTGCGTGTGTGCGTGTATGCGTTTATTATTGCGCTAACATCGATCGCGATTTCCGCTAAAATGTTCGTTCTCACGAATTTTACTCTCCTACGACTTTACTCTCGCACATCGTCTCGTTACAAAAAACTTACGACAGTCGTTATATTTAATATAAATGCTCCATTTATGCTCTCGTATGTTCAACATACACAATATAGAGAGAGAGCCGACGCAATCGCGTTTCAAAATAAGTTATGCCCTCCGCCAAGTAACTTTCTCTCTCTCTCTCTCTCTCTCTCTCTCTCTCTCTCTCTTCTCACCTCGTCTTCCCTCCTCCCCCCTCCTCCTTCTCGCCGCACATTAATTTACTTCATCGCGCAGTATTGCCGGGTCGTCTCTCTCTCTCTCTCTCTCTCTCTCTCTCTCTCTCTATCCCCNCCCCCCCCTCTCTTGATTGCACAACCCTCCATTTTCCACTAAAGCGACACCCGTAACAGCGTTACTGTATATTAATTAACAGAGATAATATAACATCAACGGTCGCGCGCGCTAAAAACTTTTACAACTGTCAATATTAAATCAATCGCGTAGATCTACGGTATACAGGCCTTCGGGACGTATTCTTGTTGTAAAGGAGGAAAGAATCGACGATATCTGCAACATCCTAACTGGTTTCTTTTTTTTTTTTTTACACAGAATCAGTACCTTCTTCACGACAAAAATATCTACGAGTCGCGTCCTATGCTAATTGTACTCACAGTTGCCCTTAATAACACCATAATCGACTCTAGCTATTAACCCGCGCGATGATCAACTTCGTGTAGTACAAAATTTTCTACATACAATTGTAGTTAACTCGAGACGTTGGTTCTTAAAAAATAGCTGATGTGTGATGCATGAATGACAGTACGCGACATACGGAAAAGTTCTTTCATCAAAACATATATCGAAATCTTTCAACAAACTGATACTTCGAGGATTCATTTCATTTTTTTTCGTATGGGCGATCTGTTTGACACACGGCAGTGACGTTCCGAATTCGATACGAAATGTATGTTATGTGTGTATTTCGATAATTATGCTCCCTCTCCTCATGTAGGAAATCGATTCTTCTAACACGACGAGCTTCAATGGAACGTGTAACGAAAGATTTCAACATTTCAGCTCGTGCACACTGCCTTGGGCGTAGCAAAATATTAATATACTTCTCAGCAGTGAAGATGGTGAATTACGATCGAAGCTCAACGCGTTAAAGTTCCTCGAGCTCGGGCGAGTGAATTAAAATTATTAGGCACATACCACGTTACTCCTTGGATCTCCCCCTCCTCGGATTGCAAAATTCTTAGGCTAAGAATTCGTCTTTTATAATTGCTAAAAGTAGGAATCCCTCACTTCTCACAATCTCCGCCACGTGATCGTGATCGTTTACTCTCCCGTCTCGGAAAGTTCACAGCTCGTCCTCGCTGGACTCGCTGCTGTAAGCTAACTGCTCCTTCCACCATTCTCGTACCTCCAGCATGACGCTGGAAACTTTAGGCGCGGCTGCCTTGTTGCTCAACGTCTCCCTCTGCTGCCTGCTTTGCTCCGTATTTTCCGTCAGGTGGTGGTGCAAATTATTTTTCACCATTGCTGTAAAAAAAAAAATAATCCGAAATAACCCTCGGTGTCAAAGAGAATTTAATTTTAGTGCGTTAATATAATTAATGCGATGCGATACATTGTACGAAAGCCAAGCGATCACTTCTCGGCTTACATGGCGGTCTGCTATTCCTCTTTTTCGACGCCGCGATCTTATCTTTTTCAGATCGAACGGATGCAGGATCCGATAAAGTCGGTGCCAGATACTTCCTTCCCGAAGCACTTCCTATACTGTCTGATCTTGGAAGCACAATCGGTTTCTTTCTGTATTTTGGGGCTTCGACATCCTAACAGTTGAAGAAACGAGAAAACTTGAATTTTTCCATTAGATTATATAATTTATTACTGTTTTTAAACTACGGTGAAAAATCTAGCAATATATTTAACGAAAATATAGAAATTTATTTAATTAAATAAAATTTATTTATTTTAAAAATTTCTTAAACAAAAAAAAATGTCATTTTTCTGCGAGAAACGCACCTTCGTTTCAATCTCTTCCTCACGATCGACGCTGACTTCCTTGCCTTTCTCCTCTTTGCTCTTCTCTACATCTTGAGGCGGCACAGCCGCGTTATTTGTGGCGCGAAGCCCGGCAATGAGATTGTTTTGTTTCTGCAAAGAAGACAAACATTATTCTTCCGGGAAAAAAATTAATGCGATTTTAGATCAAGTCATCCTCACCGCTCGTATCTTCTTCAGGCAGCCCTGTAACCAAGTTCTGATGGTTTGCTTAGCCACTTCCTCCTCGATTATATACTCGAATTCTTCCCGTGCAAGAAGTTCCTCCAACTGGAGTGCTTTCCTTATGTCCACTGAACGGTACGATAACATACTAAAAAAATTCTTTAATTTAGAAAAATATCGATAATACAATTCGCGTGAATATTATGGAATTTTTCACGTCTGCATATGGGTGAAAAATTCAATTAAAAACGTTTCAAGATAAAACTGCACATCTTATTAAAAAAATCTGAGAAACTCAGATATCTAAAAATTTTACTTAAGAAAGTGTAAACGTTTAATATTTAATTTACAATTTTGTAGAACTTACTTAATAACGTCGTGAAAGGTAACGTCTTCGCCATTGTGCAATCGTTCCAGTTCGTAGCACATGTACTTGAAGAGCAGGCGATCCTTTTGCGGATCGGTCTCCAATCTGCCCTTCAACAACCGCAAGATAAACTTCACCTGAAATTTCGCAAACATCAGTTTTTGCTTCTCATGAATTGCTATATCGTTTCGCCGATATAACGAGGATAATTCGAGATAAGATCATACCCGCTTCACCGGTATAACACCTTTCTGGTGGTTATCAACGACGTTCCACGTGTTCTGGAAGTTTCTTATGTCGGCGTACGATAACAACGCATCCTCTTCATTTGAATAGAATAGAGAAAAGTTCTCCATTATAATAGCTGTTTGAAAAGAAAAAAAATTTCAATTCTTGATTTATTCCCTTAAATCACTAAAGATCTAAATCCGGAAAAATTAGTCTGATGGCACTATATAGAACATTTCCTGTTCTAGTTAAAACAATGTTAATATAAGACATCTAATATAAGACAAGTGAAAAAATACAACTGAGCTTTTAAATATAATCTACGTGACTTCGTGTAAGCTTCTCTGAGATGTACAAGTATATTACATACATACCCACTAAAAGATTCAAGACGATGTAAGTGATGATGACGTAAAAGGTGCAAAAGTAAATTAGAGAAGCGTGGAAATTGCCGCAGTCCGTTTCCCAGTAATTATCCGCCGGCGTGCAATAGGGTGGCTGTATCATGCAGTCGTGCATAATTTTGTTCCAATCCTCCCCCGTCACTATGCGAAAGAGCATCGCCACGCCGGTAACCGGTGACTCGAAATTAGCGCGTCTAGATTGCAAAGAGATTACTTCTGATATACCAAGCATATGTACAAGGTGGCAGGGCAAGATAAAGAAGTATTACAGAGCGAAAAAAGAATTTAGTATCGTTGGAAGATTCATATAAAATATTGCGCGTGTGTGTTCTATATATATTTATATGTCTTAAAATCAAAATCTCGCCGATACGTGTGCGTTTCTCACCTTCCTATGCCTTCTCCGTACTTCACCGTGCCGAAGATTATGGTGCCGGCTAACGCGTAGAAGAAGACAAGGAGAAACATGCCGAATATGATGAAGAAGCTCTTGCAGACGGACACGCCGACCGTCAACATTAGCATCTTGAGAGTGGTGTGCTTGCCGGTGATGGTGAAGAATCTCAGGATCACGACCATAAATCCAATCACGTAGGACAGATCATTCTGGAAAAAAAAAAAACGATAAAAAATGATGACATCGTGGAATCGAACGACGAGGGGTAGACGAAAAAAAGATGCGATGAAAAGAATTCTCGACGAGCGCACCTGCATTGTGCAGTGTATGATAATCCAGATAACGCCCACGACTGTCACGAGCAAATCGTATCTGTTCCTTCTGGACTGCCAATAGCCGCGTGGTGTAAAAGCGATGATTTTCATGATTACCTCCACGAGGAAGACCAGTGTCAGAATAGTCGAGACAGTAGCCAGAGCTTCCGTGTGTTCCTCTTCGAGTCTCCACTTCGGATGAGCAGGATAAAAAAAAAGAACAGGAAGAAAGACAGCAGATTAAACAATGCGGACATGCCACATTTATTTTTACCGATTTCACGATAGCCGGCAAGGAACAAATGATTCAAGGAAACAGTCTTTTCGCGATGTTCGTTGAAGTTGCATGATTTTACTGACACGCATCGAGTGCTTGTTCTATGTGCAACAACAAGAGGATCCAACTTACGGAAACGCACAACAGAGCGCTGTTCACGAGCACCATGACGGCGATGAACCTTTTGAAATAAATGTTCTGCGTGATGTCGTAGATGAAAGCCCGGAACTTCCTGCCGTCCGGCCTGGGCGGTAAGTGCAACGGCTGGGCGATCTTCAGACGTTTCTTCAAGTCACACCTGCATCCCAAGAAAATTCACGATCTGTAGATCGCGATAGAAATAATCGCGACGTTCGCTGACCAAATTATGCGACGCCTCACCATCGTCTCTGGTCGACCGTGAGCAAGGCGGTGCCTTTGTTCTCGGAGTAATTCGCGATCACGACACCCACGAACAATGTCAAACCGATCATGCAACCGAGGAAAATATAAACGTGTATGTAGATCGCGTGGGCCTGGAAAGAGAATACAATGAGATATTGAAGGAAGTAATTCTTGAATCCTAAATCTTGCAATTTTTAGCAGTGCACGTAGATCATTTATTGTATTAAAGTGTCAAAAAGATAATGACTCACGGGACCGAGAGCCTTAATAAGAACGTCCCGCACGTCAAGCCAGCCTTTGAAAGAGAGTACTTCAAACAGAGCCATCATAGCGTCGCCAATATTATCGAAGTTGAATCTTTTAGGATTAGCCCTGAAAAAAAAAACGCGTACAAAATAAGCGTTGCTTCCTTACATTAGAGATATTTATAATAAAATATAATTAATACTGGCCAAAGAAAAATTCCCAGGGTCGCACGTTTTACGCGATTTACTTACCAAACGCGCGGTACCAGTATGGACGGATAACTCTCGTTCTCCCCCGGCCGCAGTTTCATCTTCGTCACGAACACTCTTCTCATAAATACACCGACGCATTCCTCGCGCTTCAAGATCGTGGGATCGTTGCATCTCGCCAAGCGACCGCCGTACAGCTGCACTCCGTAACTCGCGAACATGAACATCAGCAGGAACAGCAACGTCGATACCTGAATAAAAACATTACTTCGTCCGTTGATTTGTTTCGTTACGTTATTTACGCGGACTGGTTGTTTCTAAAAATAATGCGTCCAAAATCCGAAGCAGGAGCGGCATTTACCAGCAAAATTTCCTTGAATCCTCTGCACAGCTCGTAAACGACCTTCCTCATGTGCGGTACGAGGGTGAAAATTCTTAGCGGTCTGACGCACCGTAATATCATCAGCAGCTGCGCTCCAGAATTCGGCGGCACGCTTTTCGGCATCCAGCATAAGAATATGAGGCTTACCTATAACAACGTACACGCGTTTACATTATATATATATGTATATATGTACAGAATCAATTATTATAACTTATCACATAATATATAATTAAAATATATATATATAATTAATGTAACTCATTAAGTTTAAAAACAAAATATTTCGCAATAAAATAGAGTTACATGTATTTTCAACACATTAGACGTACAATGTAAATGAAGACGTCCAAGACAGAGGCGACGTCTTTGATGTAGGCCTTGGGTGTGAAGAACAGACCGTCCGCCAGGATCTTCAGCGCAAGTTCGATGCTCATGCAAATGACGAAGCAGTATTCGGTGATCTGCAACGCCGGCGTCTCCATCACGCGCTTTCGCGACGTCTCGAACATCATCGAGATGCACGACAGCGTCGTGATGAATATCATCACCCAGTCGAGGTAGGTCACCAAACCGAGGAAATTGCTGGAAGAAAAAAAGATACAGAAAATTCGGCCACTTTTGTCTCACGACAGCGGGGCAATACGTTTCGATCTCGCGATGCTTACTGCAGACTCTTGTACTGCACCTTCCTTTCCTTGCCCGTCAAAGGATCCTTCAATCTCGCGTCGTACCTCGCGTAAACGAACAGCTGGCAGTATTTCCGGAATTTACTTTCGCGGGGCACCGCGAACAGCGGCGTGTCGAAGAACGGATGGTTCTCTCGCAAATCATCTTCGCGTTGGTTTCTGGAACGAGAGAACAGATCGGGTAAGATTGTGGAAATCCCAGAAATCGCGCGGTACGGTGTCAGTACCTTCGCATCTCCGCCTGTTGTCTCTTAGCCTGTAGCAACTTGATGTCCAAATCGTGCGGCCTCCTGCTCGACGAACTGACTCTGTTTATTCCCCCTATGTCACCGTTCTCCATGAGATGCTCGTACGTCTGTTTGAGCTTGATCGATCCACTTCGGACGCTCCTTCTGATCGATCTATTATTTCATGCCATATAAGCAAATGGAAAGCATAGGATAAATAAACGTAAAATATACAAAAAAATGCGATATCTTTATGACACTATTAAAAAATACTAGACATTTAATGACAATTTAGAAAAAAAATTGTTATACATATTAAATCTTTAAATTTATATTTTTTAATATTTTCAAATGTATAAAAATCTAAATTCTCTTTAAATTGTTTCATTAATAAATATTTTTTATTTTAGTCTTACTTTTTCGGATCGATACGAAGCTGCTTGGCGCTACTCACGGTACCCTGCGGTTTCAGAAGTCCTTTTCCCGGCACTGGAATCATGGCGGAGTCTCCCAAGAGAAGTCTCTGATTGTTGGAATCGCTAGAAGGACGCAGGAAGGACTTAAATCCAAGTCGAAAATTTCGAGGAATACAATCGCGAGTGATAGTTTACTTACTTTATGATATAAATAACAGACGCCTTCTTCAGATTAGTAACGACGCTTCTCACCTTCGGCGGATTGTTCAAGATCTTCACCGGGCGCTGTTTTCTATACACTATCTTCGAATCGAAAGTTTCGTTAGTTCTCTTTGCACCCTCGTTCTCCTCGTCCTCCACTTCCAGCACGAATTGTCGCATAAAGCTCTCGCGCACCTTATAGAAAAGAAAAGTCGAATATTAAGATCGCGTCCTTAAGATTGTAAAACGTTCTTACTTCGCAAATAAATTTAAGAGCGCTTTCTACGATCAATTTGACATTTGGGATAGTTTTAATTTCGTTGAAGATAGATTTTCAACATCTCGCGTCCTTCGAATAAACCAAGGAGTTAGAGTAACATAGTTATTCACGGTTATTCACCTTCGGTAAATTGAAATCTGACGGCACTTTGTGAAGACACGTCATCTGTGGACTGTCTGGAAACTTTTCGAAGATTCTCAGTCTGAACGGCAAGCTCTCCTTTATCTCGGCACTTTGTTCGCGGAATTTCAATTGCTTCAGTTTCTTAATGTCCTCGTCCAGCTCGAGATTGTCGAGAATTACCGCGACGAAAAGACTCAACACAATCTGAGGAGATAATTTGAGCATTAATTAATACCACGGCTTGTATATATGTATTGCACGAAGGAGATATTGCGCGATGATTACCAGTGTGACGAAGAGATGGTACAAAATGAAGTACACTGCGACCAGCGGCGCTACTGTTTCGTGGGTTCGTAACATAGTTTCATCCATCACGTCAACCCAGGCTTCTTGCGTGAAAATTTGGAACATTGACATAAACGCCTGAAAATTTACATTTTAATTTTAACGATACGAGTCGAAACGATCGCGTAATAGTAGATATGTTGAAATGTAAGCGGCTCACTTCGGGGAAGGTTTCGAACTTGGTGAAATCGCAGAGGAAGCAGAAGAGCTGCATGGAAATACTGGAGGATATCACGAGCAGGCACATGGTAAAAATAATGAGACTGCCGAGCTTCTTGCCGGGGCCGAAAATCTTGTAGACGAAGTCCTCCAACATCGGCGACGCCTTAATGAGCCGGACTATTCTGAGAACCTTCCCGTATAAAAATACGACAAATTAAAAAAAATCCCTTATTGTTTGATTGTTAAAATTTTCAAAAGTATTATATATAAAATCGAGAGTTAAGAGTATAAAACAGCTGAGAGTATAAAACGCGCAAACAACAAGTAAAAAAAAGCATAGGTTCGTATAGAAAAAAAAAAAAAATGCAGACGTGAAGCGACATGGAAGACGAGGAGTCACATAAAGGTAGAAACCTGAAAGAAAGTGAATCCAGAGAGATAGCAGAACGGAATAATGTGTATAGTCGTGCCAATGGCAAGCAGCAGTTCGAACTTGTGAATCGAATGCTTAAAGTAACTCCGGAAGCCGAGGCACCATATTTTGAAGAGGGTCTCTAAGTCCAGCAATATCGTGAAGACGATCTCGGCCCAGTAATAATTGTCGTAATACGTATGCCTCGGTTTCTCGTCGTGCTTGAAGCTCATCGTCGCGGTGGTGATGCCGTTCGCCAGAATTGCGCACATTACCACCGAGCGAAAGTGCGGCGACTTGAGGATGGTGTGACAGAGCGGGGAGGCTAGGCCCCCGTGCTTATTCTCGTCTAATGTCACTAATTTCCAACCATTATCGTCTCCGGTCAATATCTGCATTAATAAAGCAAATGTACATAAGTATCAATCGTTAATAAAATCCTAATTTGCTTAAAATTAAATTAAATTTAATTTAAATTAAATAAATAATCGATTATTTGCTTGATTTTAACACGGAAACAACGATTTTGCCGGATTCAGATCTGAAAATAATTTTTGTTGTACAATTTTTCAACAAAAAAATTTTGTTGGAAAGTCAAACACTGATTGCTAGAATATCAAAATAATTTTGTTAGAAATGCTTATCATTTTTTATTTTCCAACAAAATTATTTTGATAATTCAAGAAAAATTATTTTCAGCTCTGTATATCCAGCAAAATTTTTAGACCTTCCAGCAAAATCGTTCTTTTCGTAAAATAATGATGTTTATATACATTTTGAGAATAAAATAAGATAAAGGATATCTGTCAGATATTTTTAGTCATCACTGACCTGCGACGCCGAACTGTTACTAATGTGACCTCGGACGCCCCACATTTGTTGGAACTGTACTCGGATTTCGTTAAAAGTCTCCGTGATGACGGCAATGAAAACGTTCTTCACTAACCAGGCCAGGAAGAATATCATCGTGCTGAAGTAAAGTACCGCGCGCCACGCCGGTAGACTATCGATCGCGCGATACATGATGAAGACCCATCCTTCCTGAGAAGCCGCTTGGTACACGGTGAAGATACTCGTAGCTAAATAATACAAATTCGGAATTAAAGTTTCAAACAATAGTGCTTGCAATAAGATTTTAATATTTTAATTTAGTTGATAAAAATGTATATTAAGATTGCTGTCGTCGCATTTTAAAAGAATGAGAGAATTTAAAATAAAGTCGTATATATAAATTATAATTTGTCTCTTACTACATTTTAAAGCTATTATAATTTTTATATTGTATAACAATATAAAATGTGAAATATAGAATACAAAATATGGAATAAATAAGATAAAATCAGAAAGTTACAACAAATGCTCCAGCAAATTAAGTCTGCAATATTTTTAAAAAGGCGATATGAAAGTCGATAAATTCGAAACGCAAAGAAGAACGACAGGAAAACGTAGTAACATTAACATTTAAACTACTACCAAACTCGTCAAATCCATTGAAGCCTATAATATACTTGGTCAACTCCAGCTTCATGCACATCATTCCTTCGGGGCATTGATATCCGGATTCTGGATCGGTGGAGCAGAAGGTGTCAGGAATAGCCAGGCTGTTGATCGTAATGTAATTGGGATCGGTTGTGTTAAGCACGCAGTGATTTTTCAGCTCGCCGAAGAATTGCACACCCAAGAGACCGTAAAGGGACATGAAGAACAGAAAAAAAAGCGTCACGTTGTAGATCTGCTGACTCGAGCGTCTAAATATAAATCGTACTATTAGTAATCAATAATTAAAACAAATTTAATTTAATTATAAAAGCTGCTGCTGCGGTGTATATCTCGTTTTTAAGCGGTGCAAATCTTTTACATCAATTTCACATGATTACAATTTTCTTACTTGAAAATCTGATTGATTCTGGCTTTGGGCATCGAAAACTTGAGGAAGACTCGGAGGAAGCGTATCATGATCAGCGGCCGTGGTGCTCGCATGATCGAGGCGTAACTAAACTTTATAAGGAAACCCAGCATCTCGAACATTTGCAGAATCACAGATAGCCAGAGGAAGATCACCATACTCGCGTCGAACTGGCACCAGTGGTCTTTCAAATAAGACTTATCTCTCTGCAATACCATTAACAATTTCATTCTACGTCAGTTCTACTTCAGTCTATGTCAAATTTTCGTTACAATTGCATAAAAACTCAATTCTTCATTTCATAACGTTGCTGGTGTCATAATAAAAAGTAAAAAATAAAAATTCTAATTGTCGGCCCTCAAAGTAATCAGATATCAATTCTATTCTCTTCGATAAAGATGTGGACTTTACCTTCAATATTCCCCGTATGTGCATCTTGGCGATCATCTCGGCGGTGAATAGAAACGTGACTATCAAATCGCAAATGAAGGTGACGTATTGGAGGGACGGTACTTTCACGAAGGTTTTCGGGGTGTTCAAGCAAACGGAAGCCAACGAGACTAGGGCGCAAAATCGCATCAACCGTCTCACCCATAACTGAAATCACGTAAAGCGATCAGGAAAGATTTGAGTAAGGGAAAACGGCATTCGTAATTTTCTCGTCCCCCCCCCCCTCCAGCCCCGAGTCGATCTGTGCTTCCGCTCACCTTGTTGACCCACTCTATGTCAGCGCTCTCATTGAGGGACTCCTCTGGACCGTAATCGGCCAGGACGGGTTCCCCCTTGAGGCTCTGCTTCCGCCCCAACATCATAATAGGGATTATGTTCGCAATGGTGAGGCCTGGAAGTAGTGGACGAAAATTTTTATCGAAATTAAACGTGCCGCTAATGAAAACGATTATAAGAAATTAAATTATCATTTGACAAAATAATTATACATTCCGTTTGTTCTCGTTGCCCGTATAGATATACGATGACACATTCAATCAACTATTTAAAAAATATATATATGTATGATTCACATATTATTTTTTTATTATAGATTAGTAACACATTCCCTACATATGTAGAAATTCAAAACTTTATATAATAAATTATTAATATATATTTAAATTCCAGTAATATATATTTTACAAAAGAGTAAAGCGAGCTGTATATTATTATAATAGATACATATAAAAGATAATTTATATTCTTTAAATTATCTATATGTTTTTGAAGGATTATATATAATGGTAATTTAACGTTAATAGAAAAATGATAATAATACAAGAGAAATCTAATTCACTTAATAATAGCTCATGTTTACGACGATCGGTATGACGTTCGGACATTGTCGAGGGATTTACCTTTCTTTTAGCTGTTCACGGAACGACGGACACTGCCTTTACGGCAATTTCAATAGACTACATCTCGATATATAAAGCAACGATAAAGCTCAACATGTAATAAACATCTCAGAGGTAATAACAAGCTGGCAATGTCGCGGCGAACATGTTTCGGCCGTGTCGCCAGCACGGCCGAAAGTCTGAGGGAACGGGCATGAGCAGTGTGCGCTCTCCACCTCCCGCGAGAAAATCAATATTTCACTATTCCAAAGCGCGCGAATTTCCGGAAATCGTGATTTTTAACGCAATTGTCCGTTTCAGATGTACCTAAAAAAATATTCGCGTTTTAAATTAAATTAATCATTTCATCATCGACATAGATCGATAGACGTTATCAGTATCAGCTGAGCGATGAGAATGTTGAGATACAAATTTTGATATATAATTTTCAGCATATCTGGTAGAGTGTAAAATTAGTATATGATGAAAAATAAATTATTATAACAAATTGCTGAATTGATGAAAGGATTAAGTACAAAAAGAGAAGAAGGGAAGATTTTCTTTCTCTTTTTTATTTATATATATATATATATAGAATACAAGTTTATAACTTATATTAAAATATAATTTTATATACTAAATTATTAATCTTTAATCAATAATTTGGTAGCTTATTAATAGAAAAGTCATTTATTCAATTTACTTCTTTACTTATTTTTATTCTATATTTTTATAAAATATATTTTTCTCTTCTTTCATTTACTCACATGATTCCGATCAGTTAGTGTAATTAGTTTCATCATTTAGAAGTAAAATACGATTAAATGCATTGCAATCGTGATTCAGATCTCTGCGAAAATTATTTTACGCGTTTTCGTCCGCGGCAGCCATCAGTTTGGAAAACTCGGAATCCGGACGGGAGAGAAGTGTGGCGGGTGCGTCAAATTCGACAACTTTGCCCTCGCTCATGACGAGAATGCGATTACTCGAGATGACCGTTTGCAATCGGTGAGCGATCGTAAGTACAGTGCAATCCGCGAACTCGTTCTGCAGCGTGTTCTGCACCGTCGCTTCAGTTTCCGGATCGACGGCGGCTGTGGCTTCGTCTAGAATCAGCACCTAAAAAGAAAAAAAGATATCCGTGCAGTTATTAATACTAATTTTTTCACTCTGAAAGGAATCCGGAAGTTTCAAATACAGGTTGTAAGTTCATCAATACATACTGTAGAAATCACTCAATAAAAGTGCGTTACCTTTGTACTATGTAATAAGGCCCTTGCGAGACAAAGAAGCTGTCTCTCGCCAACGCTCAAATTATTTCCGCCAAATCCAACGGAAGCGTCGAGATTTCCTGACATAACAGATACCTTTTCTTTCATCTGAGTCTTTTCAAGAGCACTCCAAATATCGCTATCGGCGTGCTGTTGGAAGGGATCCAAATTAGATCTGAAAAAACAAATTGCAGATGAATTAAATTATTGAATATAATAAATTAATTGAATCGACTTAAAGAGAAAAAGTAGACAAAAATGTTCAGCTAAATTTATTACCTTATAGTGCCGCTGAATAAAATTGGATCCTGAGGAATGATCGACAATTTGCTTCTCAATACGTCCAACTCCAATTTCGAAATATCTATACCGTCGATCTTAATGACACCCTCGCAAATCTCGACTAATCGGAATAAAGCCACGACCAAGGAGCTCTTGCCGGATCCCGTGCGACCCACGATACCTGAAATAATTCACAATCGCAACAATTAATCTCCGGCGTAAGAAAATGCGACAAGATTAGGGAAATATATTTTGCCATTACCAATTTTCTCTCCGGCCTTTACGTCAAACGAGACGTCGATCAGTATGAGCGGCAACTCCTCTCTGTATCTCATCTGAACGGCTTTGAACTGTATTTTGCCATGAGAAGGCCAATCGTCGGCTGGTTTAAGAGCGACCGTCCTGCTTGCGCCTTCCTTCTGCAAAGTCTGAAAAAAAAAAAAACAGATTTAAATTAAGATACCGATTACAGAATTGGCAATCAAATTTACGAAATTATTAATTGGAAATAAATTACCTTGAGGTAGTAGCTGATTCTCTCCACGCTTATAAAACGCACCTCCGTCTCGGACATTAGCCTGACTGTATACTGGAAAACGCCGGTCATCTGCGTGGCGTACGCCATGGCCAGACCGGCGAAGGCCGGCGATATTTCGTTCTTAAATGAAATCACGAGTAACGCGATTATGCAGGACGAGGCGATTACCAAACTGTCCAGCCTCACCGCAGACCATCTCATCGCGGCTTGACACAGATGCTGACATAAGTTATTCGTGTTGAATAACTCCTCGAATCTGTCGATGGAGAAACAATGCAATCGTCACATCCTTTTCCTGCTGTTTCGTTGCCGACGCAGCGTTTCGCCGAATAATTACCTGTACAAGAAATTCTTCTCCTTTTGGAACGCGTGAATTGTGCTCAGACCTTGGATCGTCGTTGTGATGAAACTCAAGACGGGAGAGCGCGAGACATTTTCCATTCTCTTCAAATCCCTCATTCCAATCCTGCGGAGAAACGAAGCGAAATCGTCAGTTATATGTAAACTAACGCGATAATTAGGTACGTACCTAAACAATTTACCAACGAAGAAGAACAGTACACCGAACAGTAGTAACGGTATCGAAAACCAGGGCAATACGCCGCAGATAAAGAATATAGCAAAACTACAAGTAAAAATATTTTGCACCATGTTTTCTATCGATATGGGTAAGTAATTATCAACTGCAAATCAGGAAGTATTAATCAAATTAGATGTACTGACTCGCGACAGAGCGCATGTGTTTGGGATAATTTGAAAAAAAAATCACTCACTCTCGTCTATATCGCGACTAAAAATGTTCTGTATTCTACCACTCGGAGTAGTTTCGAAGAAGGCCAACGGCGAGCTAATGATCTTGCGAAGAAACGTGTTGTGCAGTGTGGTCGAGGCCTTTATCGTGGCGAACATAATAACCAAGCCACGAATAAAGCTTGTCAATAATATACCGGCGATGCAGGCACCGTATACGTTTCGATAAAACGAGAAATCGGGATTGGCGTTTATATTCTCCGAATATACAGTATCGTTACTTCCCGGCACAGTCACGTTCTGAAAATTAAATAAAATTGACACGTGATATATCTAATGTTAACTGGGAAAAATGATATTACTAAAATATCTTTTAACTGAAGAAAAAGAAAAATGAATTTTAAATATTAAATACATGTTACTTACGCCCCCGCCAGCTTTAATCCAAACAGCGAGCCACCAAGTACTGAAGGCCGAACTGCCTACGTTCAGGAAAAACGTAAAAAATACGAGAATGGCGACCAAATAACCACCCGTGGCTTGTACATATGTGTGATAAGTGTACGACTTGACGGATCCGGTTTCGGACTTTTCCATCATTGTTAAAGTTGCCCCTAAATTTGGAAGAAGTATTAGAGATCTCAAAATCAGAAGAATATAAATAAACGCACGCACCTTTGTATACTTTCTCTTTTCCATTATTTTCTTTTTGCGCAGATTTCTCTTGAACTTCTGAATCGATATTGTTCTGCATTACTTCTGTAGACTGTTTAACACTGAAGAAATAAAATATTACTAAAAATTGCTTTTTCGAATAATTTAAAGTATAAATACGATATTATATTAAACGTACACTGACAAATTATCTTCCGTTGCAATTGTGCTGTTCTTCACCATCGAGGCGTATTCCCTGTCGAGTCGCATGAGATCTTCGTGGGTTCCATGCTCTACGATCTTACCCGCATTCATCATATAGATTTCATCACAACGTTTGAGAAACTGCAACAAAATAAATTTTAACACATTAGAGGCCTAAATAAATTTTAAAATACTGACCAACGCCAGTGTTTAAAAATCACATTGTTAATTAATTTTCTTTGAATCTGTTCAATTTTTAGAAAACAAAAAAAGCATGTAAAAATTTTTTTTATAGATTTTAGTGTCATTAACAAATTGTCTTGGAATTAATTCCAATTACCCACCTGAATGTTGTGTGTCACGAAAAGAACAGATTTATTTCTAAGAGCTTCGAGGATCAATTTTTCAAATATGTACGAGCCGACGTACGCGTCCACCGCGCTCAAAGGATCATCGAGAAAGTAAACGTCTCTGGAACAAGATACAATTTCGATTAAGCGATATGACCGATGTGCTTGTCCCTTATGGAAAGATACTATTGAACTTATTAAAAAAAAAACTATTGGAAATTTATTAGAAAGCTATTCAAATCCAATATTATATACTATATGTCCCAATAGTTTTTTCCTTAATCCGATAGTATTTTTTCACAAGGGTGCCAAGGGGAAAACGGCAAAGATCTCTGCGCACCGATTGGCATAATACGCTCGCGCCAGCGCAACCCTCTGCTTCTGCCCTCCAGACAGATTGACACCCCTCTCACCGATCTCGGTGTCGTCACCTCCCGGTAACATGTTCAAATCTTCCTTCAGATTGCAAATTGTGATCGTGTGATAGTAACGCTTGGCGTCGAACTCCTCGCCGAACAGGATGTTCTCCTTGAAGGTACCGTTCACGATCCACGCCTGTTGGCTGACGTAGGCGCAGGTGCCCTCCCTCAGGATGTGTCCCTTCGTCATTCTCAGCTGTCCCAGAGCTGCCAGCAGTAAACTGGACTTGCCGCTGCCTACGTGACCGCAGATACCGACCAGCTTCCCTTTGGGCGCGCCGAAATGCACGTCGGTGAGAACTTCGACGTACTTAGCTTCCTGCGTCGGTTGATTCAGATTTTCCAGTTCCAGTGGATTGTCCGTGACCGTTGGCGATTTCTTCCTGAGTAAAAAAAAAAAATCGTTATGCCCGCGGTCCACAGGAGACAACACTATTATGACGATTATTATTGAGTGAATATTTACTTTTTCTTGCTGTCGGTCGATGCGTCCGTTTGAAGCTTGATGCTGTCGCAAACGAAGGTACCGTTGGCGATGGCAACCGCTTGCGATCTCACAATCGGTTTCGACGCTTGGCAACTACCCTCGTCTAACAGCAACACGCTCTGCACAAACATTGTTTCGTTAATCGAATTATCTAGTCGATGGATTTTTCAAGAAACTAAAAGCCATTTGTTAGAAGCACAACGTGTTAAGACAAACGAGCATAAATGTAACTTTATACAGAAAAAAGATACAGGTGTGCAATATATACACTTAGCGTTAGGATGAAATATCTAAATTAATTTCCAAAATAAATTTACATACAGAGCGATATGCTTGCTCTTTGAGCTCATCGATATGCATAATTGTGACACAGATACAAACGAAGCAAAACAATTTTGTTACGAAAGTGCTGGATATGCGGTTTTGTTAGCACAAAATGAAAGCCTACTATTATTCGGTTACATCGAAAGAGGAAAACGTTAATTGTTCAGAGAAAAAAAAAACATTACGACACAACACGTATATGGTGGCAGCCGATTGTGCATTCCTATTAGATATAAATAAGAATAAACACCTTTATTCTGCCAAAAGTTATCTTTACTGCGGCGATATTAACTAAGGCCACTTGTAAAAACATGAAAGAAGTGCGAATTTGAGCATTGAGCACCGATACGAAGGGAAACACCTGAAAAGTGCAGAATTAAAACGATCATGTTAGTACAAGTCGTACTAAGCGTGGGAACGTCATGCCCCCAACTCAATAATATTTACAGCTGGCAATTCCGGGTATTTGGCGTGTACCAAAAGAATCGCTAACGGCAGCTGTACAAATGTAACAGGATGCTTTACAAGGCATGCAGTGTTCGCCCATCACATTTACTCTCGTCTTACTAGAAAGCTTGTGTTTATTACATTAAAACGCGACATTGACCTCATGTACATATTATTATAGGAATAGTGCCCGTGCTGTTTTTTTTTATTTTTTTATTTAACTGATCTGTTGTAAAAAAATTATCAAAATTTTACAACGATCGAATATCTCTAATCGATTTAGCAGGTTAAAATTCAACGACTGTTTTAAATTAAAAATTATAAAAATCTTGATAAAAGAAGTAAAAATATAGGATAACGATTCATACGAGATTAAATTTGTTGAACACGAGTACTGGTTTCCTAATAATAGGTACGGATATCCGACCCATTAAGCTGTACATGAAATCGCTCAAAAAACACTGGAGACCTTGAATCTTCTAAGAGCTATGAGGGCGCTGATAAAATATCGCGTGGTATCCTTAAGTGACGTGAGTGCCAGTCTAAGCAAATTTCCAAATAATGTGGTCATTGGGAAAGCCTGTAACGTGATCCAATGAGTGTGAAATCTAGGGAGATATTATCTTGTAACTGGGATTGCAAATATCCGAGAAAAATCGATCAAACTATTGTCTAAGGGAAAATCTTTATCGTCTTATCAAACTGCTTACCTATTGGACGTTATATTCGATTTCGCCTGATATACATAAAATTAAGATATTTATAAAAATATTATATGTTTATATCTTGCAAGTCAGAAATCGTATTGGTAGAATGTATTTCATACTTGCGCGGCCGTTAATCCACTGCCCGAGGCAATGTGCGCTAAGAACGTGATGATCGCGGATATCACAGGTATAGCGGGCGTCAGAGAAATGCTAAGGCTTTGAAAATACGCAGTCTTATGAAGCCAACGTTCCTCCTTCTTGCGTATGGCTGAAAAAACATTAAATCACCTACGTTTTACAAATATATGTATCTTTCTAATAAAAAAATATATATATATCAAAATAAAAATAATTATAGCTCTATTATCAACAATATTGCTTTCAATAATTTCTGTTCTATTTACTTATATGAAAATTTCTTTTGTTTTATTGTATTATTCTCACCGAGAAGTTTCTGACCGAAATATTTCTCCCAGGCATACATCTTAATCAACTTTATGCATTCGAGGATCTCACTCATGAGTCGCACCCGAGCGTCCGTAATATTTACCGACTTCAAGCGAAAGTAGCCGGTCGCCCGGGAGATGAAGTACTAAAACATAGATATTGCTCTTGATTTTTTATTTGAATATGCAAAATGTGCAAAAATGCACAACAATAAGCCATTTACCTGACACGGGTAAAACGAGAGAAAAGCTATCATCCCAATCAGAGCGATGGGATTGAATAACCACAACACATAAATTATACCGCAACTTATAACAATCGGTCCGCAGATAATCATCGGTCCATAAATGATCACATCAAAGAGCCTTTGACTGTCGTTGCAAAATATATTGATTATCTAAAGACAAGCCATTGCATATATCACTAGCAAGTCAGCCGAGAGAGCACTTTCTCTTAAAGATTTACAAAGCAAACTGAGTATCTTACTTCGCCTGTACTTTTATTGCCGAGGCTGTTTAACCTTATGATCTTCTTGTATAAAAGAGCTGTGCAAGCCGACTTCAATCGTAAGCCAGTCTTATAATTCATGTTCCACGTCCAGGTGAAGAAGAAAGCTCGCAGAGAATCGCACAGTGTCAGCAGAAAAACCCACTTGATACCGTCCCAAAAGTTCTCCTCCGGAGACTCTACGTGCTCCAATATTTTCCTCATTAATATTGTCTAAGTGAAAACAAAAATTCTTTATTATAACAGAAAGATTGAATTTAACGACAATTTTTTGTTTCGATAATAGGAATCTTACAGGACTGATAAATCCAAATATAAGAGAACACGTCAATAAAAAGCATGATACGCAAACTCGTGTGCGTACAAATCTCCACGCAACCGTGGAAAAAGATGCTGCATTGGGGCCGTTTTGACTTAATTCCTGTTGCCAAAGTACATCAAGTCTAAAAAAAAAAATAATACCCAACTATGTAACAATGTGATACAATGAGATACAGTGAAATACAAATGAGATACAATGACATTAAGCTTTATTAAGCTTACCTGAGTGCATTATATTCACAGGTATCGTATACTGAAATGTCTGGTAAATCCTTTATCGTAAGGCCTTTCTTGTACGCTTTCCATAAGTATGGTGTCATCCACGTTATATATACATAAGAAAATAATCCAGCATTATCCGCTGATGAATTTCCTTTCTTTCTGTAAAATGCATTTTTATCACTGAGAATACAATAAGATATACAAGAATTATCGTTGTATCTGATATACACATTTCATGTGTAATACATTTTATTAAATGTATTACACATAAAATACTATTTTAAACTACTACAAGATATTTTTTTATTTCAAGACTTTGGTTACGACTTTGATTACGTACGGTTTTTGGTACCGTATCGGTATCAAATTGCCCAAAGCATGATTGTACTTCTTCATCCCAGACCTTGGGACGTATTCTCTGACTTGTCTCGCCGTACTGCCACTCGCCTTTGGTAGAAGAGATTGCTGTTGCCTATCGGGCTCCAAAGAGCTAACAGAAAATTGAAAGAAATTGATGTATCTTTCCCTTTAATTTAATGTGGAGAATTAAAAATCCTTAAGTATTTCATCGACTTAATATCTCTCAAGGAATACGAAAGACCTTAATTTCTGAATGACTCCGTACCCTTCATTGTGTTTATGTTGCACATTACTTTCGGTCCGCTTGTTATTGCTGCCATTGTTATCTTCTGCGGTTTGTCCCATCCTCACAGGATATTACTCACTCCGCAACAAATGCATCAATGGTCACCCGAGGAGCCTGAAACTTAATTGCAGCTCACATCACAATTCACATCTCGAGTAACAATAGGCGAGATAAAGGCTCTCCCTAATCGCAAGGCGTGCCGTGATAAAGCAAAATTACATAAAGATACGTTAATCACTGGTAGCACTATATACGTACAGTACATTACAAGTAAGGAACACACTATACACGTATCTCGGGAATAATGATACGCAAACAAACTTGTAATACAATTGCGAAACGCTCGACACAACTGGGATCAACCTCCAATCCTCACATATACAATTCCCACGTGTTTTCACATTCGCGCGGCACGTAATGTACGTATATTAAATAAATATAGCATCCGCGACGCTATATACTCTCCCTGTTATACACCGCCTTTATACTCACCTCGCCGATAGTTGTAGCGAGAGCGAACGCGAGATATCCTCGTTCGCAATGCCAGAGAGGTAATCGTCAGTCACATCGGTGCGATAGTGATAAGAGCGGGGGCTTAATCTCTAGACATCGTTAATGAGAGGTGCGTATTTTTTGAATTTCCGTTCACGCGCCCAACCGGGGTGGGAGAGGCGAGGGAGACAACACGCTGACGTGCCGTGCACATGGCGCGCACACACAGACGCACCTTCTCCGTGGCGCGGCTTTGACACCTGTTAACAGCAATGATAACACACTTTAACGGCGGCATTTAATCATATGGCCGATATCATTCGCCACAAAGCTCAAGCTCGAGTGTCGTCGGCGAAAATGAGCCTTACGCCTTTCCCCTCCTGTCTTTGGAAACCGCGTTCGACGAGGGTCCACCTTGTCTACAGTAAATAAAAACCATTCGAAATTTCGTACCAGTTCCCCTCCGGTTGACAGAAATGCGGAATCCGAATCGAGGTCGATACACCCCGAGCGTGCTCGAGGAGAGCTCCGCGCTGCACGGAATGGCCTTCTATCGAAGCCGCCGTCCGCTTTTGTCTCCTGGAAAAGCGTGGGCGGTCGTCGTCATATCTGAAATCCCAGCTCCGTCTTCGGACAGTTCGGTTTTCCTCCCGGGACTTCCGTTTACAAGTACGATGAACCCCACGTGCATTGTTTACTCAATGAAACGATTGGGGAGCGAGGAAGCGCATCAAGCGTGTATGCGAGCCGCGTGCCGCGTCGGTCGTGTGGTTGCGACTATATACGGGGTGTCCAAAACGATCCATTGCGCGTTACAGCATTCAATTCGACATTCGAGTCAAACGATTATGAGTTTATAATGTTTCTACAAGACCGGAAAGAAGATGCGTTTGTTTGACGTCTTCAAATAAACAAGATATTTCGGAGAGCGGATGGATGCTTGAATAAATAAATTAGAAGTTGCACTGTTATTTAATAGACAGATGTGTATAGATAAAAATGAATACTGCTTTAACATATCTTCATCTTTGATAATTCCTTCCGCAAAATGCTGAAGGATTCTTTGATTGAAATGAAATTCTAAATGTGGAACATCGACTGGATTTTCATCTGGACTCTTTAATCTACGCAGGAAATCTTGGACGAGAATTTTATTCTAAGAATATAGTACATAGACCAAGGGTGTTTAACAATACAAATATAAACAAGTTAGATTCGCTCGGTCAGCGTAACTCTGCTCAAAGTCGAACGTTCGTTTTAGATGAACATGGTCTAACTCATCTAACTTATTCACGTTCGTATTGGTCCGGTCTAAGGAATTGCGCATTTTACGTATTTCCCCTCGTCGTTGTTTCACCTCTTTTTTTTTATTCAAACATTTGAGAGAATATAAACCGAAACTTAGGCTTATGCGTCAAGATTATATTTAATTATACACAACGTAAATGATATCGAGGAGATCTAGAGCTTCTCCTTAGGATTCGTAATACCTACATGAATACTAATTCTTATTCCAAGGTTATATAATATGTCGTATAGTACATTGCATACGATAAATGATGTGTGAGCGGCTCTCTCAGACTTGGGATCCCCGCACGTTACAATACATAAGACAGTACAATGAACTTGTTGAGATGCGCGATGGCGAACTACTAGTCAGTCGCGTGTATATTACAATCGTATTTTTTTTTTGCGCTTTACAGCTCGTTCCCGACGCATATTGACAATTAATCACGTCTAAGCTCAAAGCCATTAACGCGACATGCGCTATATAAAATTATAATTCTAATCATTTGATCAGAAGATGTATCATGTACGTCGCCGTAGAAAACAAGAAATATCTTTTTCGCGTTTAGTTCAATCGAATTGTAAACTTAAAATAACACTCCTCTCCAATATATTTTCCTCAAGGAATTCAGTTCGTGTTTCATCTCAGGCGACGTACGATTGTCTGTTGACATTGCGCTCAGTTTAAACGAAGAGAACAAAAATTAAATTATCGAAGATAAAGGAGAATTTGTCTCTCCACCTTTAGGTATTCACTCGTGGCAATTATACATTCAATGTAAAGTACACATTTTGTAAATAACACACTTTTGGATACGGTCAATTTGATGTTACAAATTTGAAGCGTTCTTTGATTGGCCAAGTAAAATTGGTTAGTAAAGTTCTTTCTTCTGATTGACCAATCAAATATATCAGAACATTTGTAGTAAAACTTTAACCGCACCCTGTATGTTATAAAAGCAAATAATAGGAGACTTACACACTATGAATTTGGCTTACCATTAATATTTAATATATAATTCACGACTATGCGAATAAGAAAATAAAAGAAAAAAAAAGACTACTATTGCAGCAAAGTAACTTAGAGGTTTCTCTTTGATTTTTTGTTTATGGTAATCGTTTAGCGTTAAAAACGCATTGCCCGATCTCAAAAACTGTTATAATTGCTGCCGCCCAACTGCGAGTTGAAACCTCTGTTGTTCGGCGAGTATCCTGGCCTGAAGTTATTACCTAAGCCTGTGTACAAAAAAAACGTATATATGCACGTATACATAAACATATTAAATATTGTACAGTATTATGGCAATACCTACGAATTGTTTAATATTTGTTGTGTGTCGTGATTAGTGTAATAAAAATTTAGATGTAATAAGAATCACAGATCTGTTTTCGAATTATGATACACAATTCGAAAAATATATACGATTCATATTTGTAATAATTTGTAATAGATTGTTTGATATATTTTCAAAATATTTTAGAGAGTTACCGTAATTTTAAAGAGATTTTGTCTTTTGTTGTGTTTTCAGAAATTTTCGACATGATTCAACAACTTTACATCCACAGAAATCGTCACCATCATTTATCATTTAGATATCATTTAGAATTCTAAAAAAATTCGTTTAAAGATATATTATCACAAAAAAGTATATGCATATAGAGTTACACGTTTCATTTTTTGTTGCGTGTTTTTGAAAATGTTCGGTATAATCTAACAATTTTACCTCCACAGAAATTGCCGATGCCACTTAATGACATGCTATTCGATCCGCCGGTTGAGTTCATGAACAGCTCGATGTATCTGTGCGACATGTGACTTTTATCCTACATATGAAACAAAAAAAAAATTAAAACCAAATAATCTTACGAGTTGTATGACTTATCGGATACATAAAATATACGATTTTATTTTTACATGTGGAAATCGTTTCGTCCAAACGATTTCTGAAGTAAAAGTTGACTTCGACTAAAAAAATAAAAAAAAAAGAGGATACACGAACCTTGCACATTGCTTTCAAGGCTTCCTCGTGAGTCGCGAATTCCACGTCAGCTTCTCCCGACGGGCGGCCACCATTCTCAAGGATAATGCGGACGTTCACCGGCTCGATTGGTCTGAAGAACTGTAAAGCAAGACAAAATGTTACAACTGAATTGCAGGTTTTTGAAATATGGAATATCTCGTTATTATTCGAGACTAATTACATCAGCTATGTCTTGTTCCGTCGCCTTGAACGGCAGTCCTCGCATATGGATACTGTACACGCCGGAGTTTCCGCCCCAGGAGTCATTGTTGCCTCTGTAATTGCCGCCCTTCATGTCCATGCTGCCGCGCATTCCCATATTGCCGCCGCGGGACCCGTAGTTATTCCCGTTTCCCCACGGGCCGTTGTCGAAGTCTAAAGTAAAATTTACACAGTTTATTATTAAATAAAGCTGGAAACGGACCACGTGCTCGGAGGAAAGTATAAATTGTAAGACATGTGTAAATACATACGTAACGAATTAGTACGTGAATTGTATATTAAGTCTCTATTACGGTACTGTCCTGCATGATAGTCTTCGTACTTCGATAGATGAAAGGAATCACCTCTATTTCTGGATCCTCTGCCGTTGTTGTTAAAGCGATTCATCCCGCCGAAGCGATCACCACGAGTGTACGGCGCGGGCCTCTGATTGAAGCCACCCATGGGACCGCCGCGCATTTTCGGCCCGATACTAGCGCGTACCTCGGATAAGCTGCTTCGGAAGATCTCGATATATCTGTTAACGATTGAAGATGGAGACGCGTTAGACATTCGCAGGGCGACACGTCAGCAAATAAATAAATAAATAAATAAATCGTCATCGTCATTATTGTTACTCTCACCATACAAATGCTAAAAAAAATTTTAAAAAAATATATCGGAAACTCGACAAGACTTTAACGATACCGACTTAATTCGAGATATCACAAATGGTGAGAGACAAGAAAAACAAAACAACAGTGATACACGCAGACTCGATAGAAACAGAAAAGGTGGAAAGAGGAGCCATTCCTGCACAGCAGTAGCGAGAGATTAATCATTTTTACGGTCTGACGTTTACAATAAAAAGGAAAAAAAAAAGAGGAAATTTGTGTACGGCAGTTTGGCTTATTGAAGTTGAGCTTATGAGTGTGACAGAACAATTGTATTCATACTAAACCTCCGCATTCTTTTATTAAACTTGCGAAGAGAGACCCTCCCACGATGAAATTCCTTCCCGACGTACCTACGTACCACATCACGTACCCCACAAGCCCATGCGACGCCGACGATCTTCGGGTATGCCACGCACACAATTGCATTCCTTTTGCAGGTGAACACTTCTATGATTTCTATCGACTAATCTATGAAAAATTCATAGATTATCGATTTACTTATCGACACAAAAAATTCTAGTGTAACAATAAAGCGCTTACAAGAGTTTTATTTTCAAGTTTCACCTGCAAAAAAATGTAATTATGCGCGTCGCATAGACGTGCCGTATTGGATCGATGATTATTATCTCTTTCTCTTTCTCTCTCTCTTTTTCTCTGTCTCTGTAGCACCCACCGAGCTTTGGCTTGCCCTACCCACCTCCCATGGGATTTGGTGATGACGGTAAGGGGCTATCTCCCGCCCCCCGGCACCCACCCACGGATATAAGTAGTTGGGTCCACAGTACTTTCGCTTACGTACGACTATTTGGTTGTAATTGTGTTTCGAGAGAGGCAGTTTCTTTATGTCAGATCAGAAAAAACGTTCTCCAGAGGAGATTCTCTTTCGATAAGAAAAAAAAATTCATTCGCTTGATTTGAAAAGTCTGCAAGGTCTCGATCGAAGAAATTAATTCATCTCGACACGGCAAGCTGTGTGCAGGATTTTCTCAAATTAATTTTTATGTCGAAAAACTTTCGACAAAACACGTGCGCGAGCACACGTGGTGCTGAATTGATAGCTTGATAATAATACAAATAGTTTCTCTCCATTTTTGTCCTTCCGCGCGAAAAATCCTCCTCATTGGGGAAGAAAAAGATAAAGAAGCTGCATCCGTAACGTAGAATATCCTTCCCACTATTTACTAAACGAAATTGTATAATACCTACGTGTACTACGATCATTAATATAAATGATATGGAAAAAGTCATAAGTATACCCAAACCCAGCTATACCGTCTCAGTGCCCCACCTGTGTCCTATCTTTTCCTTGTGTTTCTGCAGAGCGCGCTCCGCAACATCTTTGTTAACAAATTGAACGTAAGCCTCCCCAGTACTGCGGCCCGTGTAGTCTGTCGGTAGCGAAATGCCGTTCGGAAGTATCTCCAACCCTGACCCACACATAATCAAACATCGATATTGTAACTTATTGTAGGACCCATTAAAAAAAAAAAAGAGAGAAGTTATGGTCAGGTTTATTAAAACCCTTATTAAGAGAAGCAAAATTTTTTTTAAGACTCTCTAAAATCGCGCAACATAAATATGTGCGCCTTTTTTTTTCTTTCTTCTTTCTCTTCGTGATTCTCCTTACGTAAATAATATATGGGACATTTAAAATTGTCACGTCCGAGAACCAAAGTTAAGAATTAAGCTCGATCACCGAGTCGTGCAGCGAAAATGTTTTCTCGTTCCGCGTATTCGTACAAATCATAAAATCATAAAATTCCGCGGCGCGCACGCCTCGTACGGCACAACTCAGATATCTAAGCGGGATCTTAAATCTTAACTGAGGCTAATCGTCGATATCAGAACACAGAGACGTTGCTTTAGATGGAAATTTAATTTCAGCCTGCTCGACGCGCGCGTTTCAGTCATTGCTAGTCAGTTACTTTTTTATTAAAGCAAATTTTAGAATAAGCATGTAATATTGTTAAAAGTGCAATTGTTATGATTTGCTAGGACTCGCAAGGTAGTAAGTAGTAGTAGTAGTATAAAAGCCATCAAAAGTATTTCGTCGCTGTGTTCCCGAGACAAATTTCGATCACTTTCGTTTTACAAAAAGGGAAGTATAAAAATAGAAAGAAAGTTACATATTTGAAAAAAGATATAGGTGTTTGTTTTTCAAGGATTAAAGAAAATCTCAATGACACTTGATATCATTAAAAATTAGATACTTCGATTGTCGTACGCCAAGTACCTGAGAAGAACTGTGCAATTTCCTCTTTCGAACAACCAAACGGCAGGCCGCGTAGTCTCACGCAACCGTCGTCCATCGCGTTCTCCAAATTAAGACCGCTCCTCTTCACGACCCATTCCATTTCGCCGCGTTTTGCTTTAAAAACTGAAACAGCAACAATTAATTATAATAAAATAGAGATAATACAACATTCTAACGAGGTAAAAAATTTTGCTATTTATCAAAGATAATATCTATATTTATCAGTTCATTAAATCTAAACTCATTTATAAATAACTTATGTATAAAGTTTCATTTATAAAAAAATTATCCAATTAGCCAGATATCCAGCATATTTCTATTAGAAACATTGGACATATTCAAGTCAAAACATGATTGGTTGGGTCACAGGTAAAGATCGCGTTCAATTGCTCAGCGAGCAAACTAATTGCTTCATATAGTTTTAATACACCCAATGTTTCTAAAAGCCTTGTGTAGTCACGATGGTAAAAAATGCTTCGAGATTTCAGACGGAGAAATAACCATAACAAATCACATTTGAACAATTTGACCAATTTGATCAATACTTATTGGTCTACCTGTATCAAGTCTTTCTGTATCCGCGATCTCAGTGATTTCTGAACACAAGGTTTAATAGATGTGCCAGATATTCGCCTATTAATAAACAATAATTAATAAAAAATATATATATATTATTGAAATTATTGAAGAAATATATAAGAAACTATAAAATTTCGAAATAAATGTGCTTAAGAAATTAATATATTAAATTAACCTTCGATATATAAAAATATATACAATTATTGAAATTATTGAAAAAATATATAAGAAACAATAAAATTCCGAAACAAATGTGCTTAAGAAATTAATATGTTAAATTAACCTTCGATATAACGGTGGCCCATGTGATCCCTGTCTCTTTTGCAAGCCTTCTCGATATCTTCCGGAGTGTCCATTTCCACGTAGGCTTCGCCGCTGGGACGTCCCTCGCGGGACGTAGTCATGTGAACTCCATTCTTGCCGTTCGAGATCGAGCAGTCGCCGAAGAACTTCATGATCTCGTCCACAGTGGTGGACCACGGCAGTCCACGTACCTTAACGACGTAACCCTCCTCCTCATGATCGCCACTGCCGCTCGACATAACTTCTTCTAATCAGGTGCAATCCCCTCCTAAACAATACCTGCAAGCAAAAAAATAAAATGTTTTTTTTTTTTAATCTCCCAAAAATAGGACTCGAGACATACCAGATATCATCAGCGATCTCGCGACAACCGAAGCTCCTCAAGATATCGAAACTGGTCGAAACACGGATGACGTTTCCACGTTTATCACGTCGACATCTTAGAAGCTGGTTCTTGCGAGAAACATACTCCGATCGTGCATAAACAATAACAAACCAAAAAAAAAAAAGAGGGAAAGAAAAACAAAAACCGGGATAAATCAACAAGAGAATTTTCGCCGACCTTTAAACTGTTTTCGACACTGAATATTGAAAAAGCATTGAGAAAAGAATCCAGGGGCACGAGACAAGGTTAAAGGAGAAAACAACGAGCTCCCGGCCGCAGGACAGTCGTCGTCCGGTCGACCGCGGCGTTCGGTTTTAATCAACACGAGAGCGCAATTGGGCGCGCGAAATTAAGAATCCAGCTGTGCGGCCGCGGGGGCGAGGTGGACGCGCGGAGAATTGAGAACGGAACCCCCCCCCGCGAGAAAGCGCGGTCGAGAGACGCGACACACGCGGCACGTCGACGGTCCCGTGGGGGACCCGGGGTACTCGCGACGCGCGGAGACTTACCGCCGCTGCGGGCGAAACGAAGCGCCGTCTTGTCTTCCGTCTTCAAGGATCGCTTGCCGTTGCGGTCGACTTGATCGGAGAAACGTGTTCCCGGGATCCCGGCGATATCGCCCGATAACACCCTCGTGAGAATCGGCCGCTGCTTACCGAGACACCTCCTCCCGTGTTGCCCTCCGTCGAGACTCTCGCGATCCACACACAAAATGGCGCGCGGCGGCGATGACGCGCCGCGCTCCGGAGCTGCGTTCGGAAATATCACTCGAGAGAGAGTGCAACCCTCACGTGTCACTTTATCCTTCTCGCTTACCGATTTATTGAACGGGGACAAAACGACACCACGCGGGAGCGGTCAGGTGACGTTTTCGAACGCTGCCCGGCCGGCCGGCGGAAGAGTAGACGGGACGGGGGGTGGAGGAGGGGGGGAGGGCGTCAGGCGCGATCGTCGCAAGCCTCGTTTTCATCGATTTGCCGTAGGATGGCGCGCGTTTCCAACGCCGGCGCAGCCCGCCGTCACTCCAGCCGGATCGGCACGAGCACCGTTCCCCGCGGTGGCGGTGACTGTGTCCGTAGCGTGTGGTGGTGGTGGTCGCCTCCGAAACACACTCGGAAAAGGGAGAGAAAGGGAGAAGGAAGAGAGTAGCGCGAGAGAAGCCCGAGGGACGACTCTTAGTGGACGGACGACGACGCAGCGGGCGGGCCTTGAGTTGGGTTGCGCGACGGCGACTTGTCGTCTCTCCCCGGCGCAGCGGGAGTTTTCCACGGAACGGAGCGGGACGGTGGAGCGCACCGAGGAGCGTGAGCGAGGAGGCGATCGCGCGCGCGCGCGCGTGAGTGCGGCGGCCGGCTGGCTGACACCTTCTCGTCGTCGTCGTCGTCGTCGTCGTTCGTCGTTCGTCGTCGCCGATAGTCGACTATCGCACGGAGCCCGTCGTCGTCCTCGTCACGCCGTCCAGTTGAGCGAGGACGCACGCCAGCGGACTACGCGACCGAGCGGAACGGGCGGCGAGAGCGGAGCCGAGCCTCGACGCGGAGCCCTCAGCAGCCACACGAGAAGCCCGTTACGATGAGTTTCCTATTGTGAGTCCGCCTCTCTATTCGCCTCCGCGAAGACTTTCTCCTCCCCGAGTCTCTGTCTCGAGTCGACAACCGAACTGAATCGCCGCCCCTCATCCGATCGATATCGCGCGACGTCCACGCGTCAGGAAGTAACCGAAGGATGTGACAGGACGAAGTCGCGAGGATCCCTGACTTGTCACCTCTTCCTGTGACAGCTGACGACTTTTTTTTTTCCTTTTAAAGTTTGCGAATCTTTTTGTTTCGTGTTCCACTCCAGAATGACTTCCTCTCTCGTTTCTCTCTCTCTCTCTCTCTCTCTCATATCTAATCCAACAATTGAATTTATTATTATCGTTCTCCGACGACAACGACGAGTTCGACGAGGATGACTCTCGACGATGCCGTCCGTCCGCCGATGGATCGATCGAGGGTAAAAATAGCGCGCGTGCTATCGTGCGTGCGGGAGGCCTCTTCCCTTGACGCGCGTCTTCCCGCGGGACCCACCATGTTCCCTCGTTTTCAGGATTACCGCTCGACGCGGCGCGGTCTATGAATCATCCGTGCTCGGTGGCCGCGCCTTAGTGCTCCTCGTCATCGAGAGTGCCCCGCGACGCCGACGTCTCTTGACGTTCGCTTTGACGTTCGCGACAAAAAACGGCAGCCGCCGCTTTCTGCATGCGTGCGATCGCGATCAGCTGAGCGTCGAGCCGCCGAGCGCGTATCTTTTTTTTTTATATTTTCTTTAGCTGCGCCTACTCTTCGTTTTTCGCGTCTGTAACGAAAAGTATATTTAGGCTTTTCTGCGGGAAAAAAGGCGATTGAAAAAAGAGAGAAGGAGAGAGAGAAAAAAAGAGTGTGTAGAGAGAGATGTAGCTAAATAGAGAGAGAAAGAGACAGAGGGAGGTGATGTTTGCTCTTTTCCACCTGCCTCTTGTTGCTTGTTGCAGCAACTGTGAGTGGATTTTGGAGGAGAAAAAAAAAGAGAAAAGATTTACCGAATATAAGAAAAATATTATATCTAATAATTAAATTAATTATTGGATGTATTAATTAATTTAATGGAAAACCGTTTGTGCCCGTATGATGAAGATGTGTATTTTCATTTAAACATTTAGGCTTTGTCTATACATTTCAGCAGCGTAGATGAGTACAGCTGAATAGAAAATATATTCCTATTATGTATATTATTTGTTAAAGAAATCAATCTCTGATTAATTTAGAGAGTAAAATTATTAGGGCAAAATTTCTGCTAAATTGAAACAAATAATAAATTAGATTTAGAGTAACACTACACGCATTTGCCTCTAATTTTTAATTAAACGTCTCGATGCTTGCCATTTTTTAATCTTATCAATAATACGAGTAGGACGGCAGTTAATTTGTTGCCACTGATTTATCTGTAATGATAAACGGCTTAATATTTACGATATCTTGTTTCATTTGCTTCAGATTCCGAAATAAAGATAAGTAATTAAGTATCATTGTGCGGTAAATATTGATGTAAAATATTAAAAGAACAAAGAACTTGGAATCTCGTAGTAATAAAGAGAAATCACAGATAACGTCGTTTTCTAATGTCTTGTTCGTTTCTCTCTCAAGCGGGAGCAGGTCTTCCAAGACCTTTAAACCAAAGAAGAACATCCCGGAGGGCACTCACCAGTACGACCTGATGAAACACGCCGCCGCTACATTAGGCTCCGGTAACTTGCGACTGGCCGTTATGCTACCCGAAGGAGAGGATCTGAACGAGTGGGTCGCTGTTAATAGTAAGTCCGTTTTCCGTTTCCGTTTATTGGCTTCGCATCGACTAAGATCTAAACGTGATTTTGCCTCTTTCCCTTCAGCCGTTGATTTCTTCAATCAAATCAACATGTTATACGGCACTATCACGGAATTCTGCACGGAGGAGAGCTGCCCCATCATGTCGGCCGGACCGAAGTACGAGTATCACTGGGCCGACGGTCACACGGTGAAGAAGCCTATAAAATGCTCGGCGCCCAAGTACATAGACTACTTGATGACCTGGGTGCAGGATCAGTTGGACGACGAGACTCTATTTCCATCCAAAATCGGTGATTACACGTATTATTTTCATTTTGCGCTCTCTCTCTCTCTCTCGCCGATCATACCGAACCGAAAACTAATCCTCGATTATATTCTCTCTGCAGGAGTTCCTTTCCCCAAGAACTTCTTGTCTATCGCGAAGACTATCCTGAAGCGGTTATTCAGAGTATACGCTCACATCTATCATCAGCACTTTAGCGAAGTCGTGCAGCTCGGCGAGGAGGCGCACTTAAACACGTCGTTCAAGCATTTCATATTCTTCGTTCAGGTACGCAATCGTGTCTCGCCAAAAAAAAAAGACAGTTGTAAGTTAATCATTTGATTTATTATTCCTGACATATCATCTCGCATTGTAGGAATTTAATTTGATCGAGAGAAGGGAATTGGCGCCTCTGCAGGAGCTGATAGAGAAACTGACGGCGAAAGACGCGCGATGATTCCGCCCACCTCCGTCTACGAGCCACTCGTCCTCTCGAAACCTTTCCAAAGAATCTCTCGACAACGCTGTCTTCGCTAACCCGCGCATGTAATTGCATTATTTAAACCGATCTATTAATCGATAACCCCCACGATCTGCCTCCGTCTCGAAGAACTGGCGGCGAAAATATGCGCCGCCGTTCCGGAAACACGCGACTGATAACAAGTAAGTCTACGGAGTGCGCTCTGAAACCTCATTCTTTTCTGACGGCGCACGAATGTACATTCACTGTGCGCACACGCACGCACACACACACACACACACACACACACACACACATATATATATATATATACACAAAAGAGAGAGAAAAAAACTTATCGAGTGGATAAGGATAACGAGACGGTAGTTCTGAGGCGGCGCGTTCAACTTTGTGACTCGGTTTTCTCCGAACATTCTCCAAGCACGTTTCGATTGTAATTTATTGTGTTTTATCAATTGCACCGTTGACAGGCGTAGAAGAGAGACGGTCGGAAGCGCGATTTTTTTTCACAAGTACAAAATGTCGGGCACATCTTGAGGAAAAAAAAAAAGAAACGATTTCAAAAGTGCTAGATAAACGCGTCTCTTTTTCATAAACGAACAAAACCGCTCGTAGTGCTCGCGGGTTTTCTGCAATTTGTTTTTTTTTTGTTTGTTATTATCTACCGCTCTATTATCGGATGTAAAAATAACGTCGCTATTATATATAGAAATTACCGAGCGTTTCGTGCGGCTGTGTGCGAACGCGACGGCATATCGTGTGAATTTCGTATGGTTACTTTTACGTCTTAGGGATAGATTTTGTAAACGATTATTTCCTATTCATTTCTAGCATCCCGTGTCGTATTTCTTAACGAGAAACTGCACATTGTTGATAATAACATATATAGATATATATATTAGTGCCGTTAAAAGGGAAAGAAAAGTTAACGCGCAACGCTATCGCATTACTATGTAATGACTACTTTAAGACATCGTCCTGTTAAGCGCTTATAGACTTATTTATACAACTAGGGTTTTTTTTGTACGCGTTTTGTCCCCGTAGAAAGTGATATTTCCTGCTTCAGACGCTTTTTCAAATACCGGTAGTCAGGCCGTCTACGTCGTCTTACTGCAATTTCCCGTGTAATTCTCGACAATTTTCAGTTTCCGATCTCTGAGAATTATCGTTACGAACGTTATTGACAAAAAAATGATCATGTTTTTGCTCCGTGAATGTTGATATATAACACGATATTTCACTGACTCATATTTATCTTCGTCTTCACTCGCCTAAAATTGGTTCTTCCGCTGCATTAATAAATGAAAGATTTCTACCGAGCAACACTCGATCTCGTCCAGAGTTTAAATTCGCAAAGTTCGACTTCGAGTGCGCTCTTTTTGTTTTCTTTTTTTTTCTTTTTTTTTTTTTAGTCGGTACTTAATAACGAGAATAGCGATTGTATAGCTCTCGAGCTGAATGCGCGTCGCGACTCGTATAACTTTCAAGTATCATTAAATCGACATCGCCGACTATCATCGCCACTTACATAAGATAAGTTCGATTCGTCACGAACGTATTGTGTTAATTCGTCGTTTCTTTCGGCAGAGCTACGCGCGCGATAACTGTGAAATCTTTAGGGAGAGTCCGAAGTGCTGAGAAAAAGATAAAAAGTTTTCAAAAAGGGAAACATATTTTTTTCATTGCAGTAGGCGTTAAGAGTTCGATCGCGTGAACCTCGTATGTATATGTATACGTATATACATATTGCATATAATAATATTTTATTATAACGACACGTGATTAATGGCAGCGAAGTAACGTGATAGCGTGGAACGAAGGCGGTGCGTATAAACGCTAAAGTGTAGACGTAAATGATAGTAATGATAATACTGTATTCGGTACTTAAGGAGAGGCGGCAAGAAGCGGCGCGAGGGTTCAAAGAATAAAGAACAACTCGTCTGCGTATATTCGAAAACAATAGTGCCCGTTCGTGACCCGCGATGAGCGATAGTCGCCTACTAGAGAACAATTCATTCTCAACCGGTTATACAAATGCCTATTTTTTATCTTGTACGCGTTCGTGCGAGTAATAGCGATTTATATAGTCACGGCGCCAATCCGCAACTGCTATCCACTTCGTGATGTTCGTAGACGCTTACCTTAGCGACGATCCCGAGAACACGCGTGTCCTCACTTCCCTTTCCTCTTGAGCGACTTTCCGCGGCGCGAGTGCCTCAAACGCGACACTGTCCGACACGGTCGTGCGACAAAAAAAAAACCCGGATTATTCTGCGAACGGCGTATCTCAAAATTATCCTAAAGTGTCAGGGCACGGAAAAATTAGTGAAAGGTTCGAAAACTCGGCGCCGAAAGAACCGAACTGACGAGGATGAGTTCCCCTCGAGAGTATTCTCTCTGTAACTTTTATAGATCTCTATTAGATATAAAGTAAGTTTTGGAGCAAATTTTCAAATTCCTAGCCGAATGTCTCGAGGGAGAAAGACGCCGCTGTCTACAAGAAATTGTTCCTCATCTCTTCGGCTCTTTCAGCGCTTAAAATTACGCGCGCTAAATAATCGTAATAATATGTTAAGATTGAACGATCGCAGGGTGAAAATTCAATTGTTCTAGATTCGTAGAGGCTGATTCGGCGGTCCTGATAATCTGATCAGTCGAGTTGTGAAACCACGTACGACAAGTGATAACTCGATCGCGTCGGGTGAAGGGACCATATTTGTGCTAGAAAAAAAAAATAATCCTCTCGAGATCATTTCTTTATCGGTGAGACGATCGTGTTGAGATAAGGTTGTATTCTCTTCGTTCGGAACGGCCTTTTCGCGGAGAGTTCTCAGCGACCAACTGTCCGTTCGTCTGATAGTAACGCTAGTGATATATGTGCAATGTAAATAATATTTTTCACGATTTAAACAGGGAAACCCCCCCGGCGTCCTAATCACGGCGCGTGGGCCGCGTCTAAAATGTTTATAGTCCTGAATATAATATAATCTTGTAATCTTTCTGTAATAAATATCGTTCCGATTGTACTCGCTTGTACTTTAGCCTTCTTACCAGAAATAGCGTCCATAAATCATCCCTAATGAACTTGTTAGTTATAAGAAAAATTAATTAATTCTGCTTTATAATTATTTTATCAAGTTATTTTTGTTTTCAATTAGCTAAAAATCAATATACACGCGACGAAAGATGCTACGTAATTTATTAGTAACTCCTGTTTAATCCTCTCCATTATCCACTCCAAGGTCTGTTTTCTTTCTTTTTTCTCGTGTATGCAAAGCGTTTCGGAATTATAGGTAAAAATTAAACTGGTTAATAGAATCCACAAGCACGTAACAAAAAATCTTAACATAGGTCTGCAAAGTAATCCTTTCCGAGATGTTCAGCGTTCCGTGAATATTTGAATTTAAAAATTATTTGCTACTTTAAATTCGCGATCTTTGAAATATTTATTCTACAGTATATATGTAATCGTACAAAGAATTTGGCTTATAAAATAAAAAATTAGAAACATTTAATTTACGGATGTATGATTGTTAAGTTTTTTGTTTCCGTAAATTCTATTAGTGAATTCAGCCTTTTTCTGTAATGTATAGATAATCCGTATAATTATTTTTTTTTTAATTAAATATAATACATCTTTGCACTAGAAAGTCGGAAAAACTGTTTAGAAAAGTTAAAATGTTATCGCGCCCGTACTTTCTTTTTCTTAATCTGAAATGATCTTTTCGAGCGTTCTAAATTCTGTGTGCCACTTTTCATTTCGTACAAATTTCTCTTCTTTAAATATTACGGTATCTCAATTGTCGAGTCGATGAAAACACACGTGCTACGCTCGCAGAAAGTAAAGTTGTCTTTTGTAATATTTAAACTATCGAGATGTCAGGTGTTTAAAACGCATGAATTAATAGTTCAATCGTAAGAGATCGAGTCTATATATCAGCTACTTTTTTAAGACGCAGTACAGTTATTAAATTTATCTGCTTCAGGAAAAAAAATATGACGTAAATATACGGTCGAACATATAGTTTTCAAAAAAAAATCATGCATAAGCGCGCGAACCGATCTCGACGAAGAACGAGAAGAATCATGGATAATAAATGGCTGTAGAACTGAAATTTGTAGGAAACGCGCGTCAGAAGAATGATAAAAAGCCAAAGTGCTGTACGTGGAACATACTTCAACACTTCGCTCGCCCGCCCCACTTGTCGCTTCTTCAAACTCGCTTGATGCCGGCTGCTTCCTTTCGTGGGTATCGGTGCGAATCAGTCATGAGCAGTCGTGGACTGTGACGGACACAACTAGATATCACTCGCTCAGTTTGGATCCTGTGTACCCGGTCAAAATCGTCTTGAGAAAATCCCCTTCGATGTGTAATATTCCAATACGCTTCCCTGAAGATTCATAAAAATTAATATCAGGTGAGATAATTAAATTAAAATTTATCTCAATTTTTTTATTTATTTTTACTGTAATGTACAAAATTTATCAATGTTTATACTACGTATATTTAAAATTATTTGCGGTATGAAATCCTCTAATTACAATGATTCATTTTTTTTGAGATTTTAAACGTACTATGATTAAATGCCGCGTATTATTTAACAATGTTATACGACGCAAATGATATTCAACATTATCGTATAAAGTGTCGCACATGTATCTGCATTTTAATCTGTTATATTGCAATTCAATCACAGGATATACTTTGTTATTTTTAAACTTTAATAAAATAATTATTTCGCAAATGCGATAATAATCTACACACATACATATCATTGCGAATTATCACAAAATATATCTTTAATACACACGTACGATAAATTTCTCATACAATTTAAATTAATCGAATTTAATTAATCTTTGCGAATAAAAATACATTTTCGGACAGTATACAAAGTCCAAAATTGACGCATAAGACATCTTATGCAAGTTTAGACTTTGCGTTACCTGAGTTTTTTATTATTGTAAAAAACGATAACGCAGATTTATGTATTATAGCAGTTTATTTTAAATCTTTTAAAGATTCTTTTAAAACAGAAATAAATTTAAATATAGCACAATATAATTTGCAAGAAACAAAGTGTATAAAAACGAATACTTCTGTGTAATTGCATAAAAAAATTGATGCAAGATTTATAACTTCCGTCGAAATTTGAGTTGATTTGCAGAATGAAAGAAAAATCAAATTTGAGGATAATTATACTATACGATTAAATTAATAATTAATTTTCTCTGTTATACACACATATATAAAATATATTATTTTATTAGTGTTAGCATAGAAATAAACTCTCTCTCTCTCTCTCTCTCTCTCTCTCTCTCTCTCTCTCTCCATTACAAAGTTTTTTATTAATATATTATAATTTATTATTATAAGAAATTTTATTAAAAATTGAACATTACAAAATCGCAAAAAAACGTCATTTTGATGTCAAAATGACGACAAATGTTAGCTATTTGGAAAAATTATTGCTACATCAAAATTTAATTTTGACAAGGTGATTTATTATAATTATGTAATATAACGTCGTTTATTAGTATAGAAGTTATATTACAACTTTTATAAATCCTACGGATGTCTAATTATTTACATTATTTGCGTCAGCATCAAAATAGATTGAAATCTATTTATTTACCAGTATTTTATTAGCATAGAAGTTGTAATGCAACTTCTATACTAATCATTTGCATCAGCATTCCCGGGTATATTCAAATGTATAATTCAACAGAATATATACAGAAGACGGATAGTCAAACTTGTTTATCCAATAAATTATTTTATCAGTATTTTATTAGTATTAAAAGTTGTAATAAAACTTCCCATATTAATAAAATACTGATAAATTAATTGATAGATTTTTATTTATTTTGTTGCGGATTTTAACGCTGACGCAAATAAAGAATGTAGAATGGCTTCGTAAAATTTCCGTCTCGCTCTTCGTTTCGATGGCGAACCGGGTACGAGAATCACGGGATACGACTTAGGACCTCGAGGAAGCGTTCATAAAGTATTGCGTTAAACATCCGTAGGATTTACATAAGTAACTGCATCCTTCATAAAACTAAACTCGCCTATGTGCAGTAATGAATAGTTTCTCTTAGTGACAGTATTTCGCGGTATTTCACATCGGCGTTAAATTAAGCAATGCATTTTGCATGTCCGCTTTCATTGCCTACGCTTCCAGAAAAGTTCCGTGAACAAATGACGAGATGTTTGCACTTAACGACGATGTTTCGTAGTACAATCCGTTCAGCGGTAGTCCGTTTCCCGTGATCGGGCAAAATTAAAATCAAAATCACGTCAATTCGGTATATCGCATATTCATTAAAATATTATTTCGAATTATCTCGACCTTACTTTCTTTCCGCATGATTACCGGAAAAGTTTCTCTAAAAGAATTCCCCATTAAATTCAATAATTACAATGTTAAAGTGATACATATTTTAATTTAACGTACCCAGACAATTCTCGAGCTTCTTTTCTCCTACTCGTAGTCGATTATCGAAACTTAAAGATAATATTAAAGATTATTATATCTGTTGATAATTTCGACGACTTCAAAACGTTAAGACAAACTTTGTAATTTAATTCACACTTGTCTTCTGTAACTAATACAAGCGTGCTTTTGGCAGTCAACGGGATTGATTAATTCGAAACATGGATTAATTAGAAACAATCAACCGAGAAATCGCAATGACGTGACCGAATGGATTATGGAGCTTCCGTTGTCATCATTAAACATTCTCTACAGTGATCTCCGTTTTGTTATTGTTGATTCATTCATTGGTGAGTTAAATTAATAATATCGTTTTGTTATTGTTGATTCATTCATTGGTGAGTTTAAGTTAATAATATCGTAAGACACGGTCGTGTCTCGGCACTAAAAGAGGTGTGCCGGACCGTGTCTTTATAAAATGTACGTGACCCGAAAATTAAAACTCTCTTTCTATCTAGAATATCCAAAATCTTTAAGTTGTATGGACTGCACCATCAACGTGGCTAATCTAAAATTGCAAAACTGAGAAATTCAAAATTTCCAGAAAGAAAAACGAGTATATATACAGATTTAAGCGATAAGAATTATTGATACCATGGTAAGACTATACAAATTTATACTTCACAGATTTTGTTTCTTAACGATATGCTTAACAGAAGCAATTGTCAGAACACTTATATTGTTCTTCATACAGATGATTCAAATAATGATGAAGGTGATAATAAAGTACGGTTTATTTCTTCTCCGTTGTTTGCTCGGGCCGTTCTTCAAACTGCGAGGTTTGAAGAAGAGACGGCGATGCCCGCCGATCGAGGATCGAATTTTGCTACTGTCGGCGACGGAAATTGCGCAGAAAATCCGTAAAAGAGAAGTAAGTCTATACATTGATCGGATTCGACAGATCTCACTCTTCTCGTAAAGACGATATTATAGAGCGAAATCGATGTGCTGCACTGAGAAAATCATCTTGAGTCGAATCAAACCGCAGTTATATCCCTTAATTCTCGGTAGATCAGCTCCGAGGAAGTGATCGTCGCGTACGTGAAGCGATGCAGACAAGTGAATCCGTCGATCAACGCTATCGTAGAGGATCGTTTCGACGCGGCGATTCAAGAGGCACGTGAAATCGATAGTTTCCTGCAGTCGACGACCAAAGACGAGGCGAAAATCGCGAGCGAAAGACCGCTACTCGGGCTGCCTGTCACGGTTAAGGAAAGTATTGCTGTTCAAGGTGGGTTGCATACAGCTCCTTCATTACGTGTGAATGTGTGTATATTATATATACACATTTTAGTCAATATACTTTTTCGCATAGTAATTTCACTTATGAAATATTAATTACGACGAAATTTTATATAATAGGAACATGAAATTATTCTGGATGAAAGTGTTTGATATTCGTCAAAACTGTCAAATCATGTTTACGTTTGCATGAAATTCCCGGATATATTCAAATGTATAATTCAACAGAATATATACAGAAGACGGATAGTCAAACTAATTATTCCAAAAAGTCAGATTTCAAGTTTTGACTATTGCCCGCCAATCAGATTAACCCGTAAAAGGCACCTGAGTGCTAATTTGCACCAAGCGTTTTTAAAGTTTTATATCTTCTGAAAATAAAAAGCAAAATGAAAGCAAAATGTGTGTTTCTCAATGTAAAATTTTCTGACCAATCGACTGGTAATATTAAATTTTCGAAAAAAGAACGTAATTGTTTTCAAAATAAAACCATTTAAAAGAGACGTAGTCTTTACGGGTTAATATCAAGTTATTGCTTTTTTTGCTTTTTTTTTCTTTACTCCAGGAATACTATCATGTGAAATGTAATCTAAATTATTATATTTTACGATACGCGGACGAACTGAAAGACTGAACGGACCATCCGTGTAATGGAATTACCGTCAGAATTACGCGTTGTTATAGAAGATAAATATAAGGTTTATATTTTTTAAAGATAAATAGTTAATATTTAATATTAATATTATCCAGTTTAAGATGCATTTGCATTTAATTAAATAAATTTATGTAAAAAATAGTAGTCATTTTTTAAATATCAATTTGTCTCATGTTTAATCGGAAAAAGAAAAATTTGACAATACGCATATTTTCGACAATTTATTGCATTAATTTTGCCTTTCTTATTAGCACCACATCGCTATCGCTCGTAATTTTCAGACTAACAATAAGCCAAGGTCGCTATAGCTCTTTATATGTTAATGCCTTCCTTCCTTTTTTTTCTGTTTGAGCCACTTTAAACAACTCACCGTTTGCACTTACTTACTATATACGTTCCGATGATTTGCACGATTTAACAAAATTGTTCTCCCACCGGTAAACTCATGACAGAAGAGCTTTTCTTAGAACTCGCTAAGGAATTTTCCTTACAAGTAGTACGTTATTGCGTTAGACATCGATTTACCATTCCATGTACGTCCAAAGTGGCGTGCTGACATATTTACAAATTGAAAACAAATTGAAAATCGCAAGAAACCGCAGAGATCTTTGAACCTCGGTTCAAAAGGATCATCAACGAGTTCTGCAGATATTATTTCAAATATACACATGTCATAAATTAATTTTAATTCTGCCACTCACTGAATGTCAGAAAATTATTTACCAAAAATTAAAAATTTCCAAAGAATTAGAAGAACTATTTATTTTCCCGGTGTCTTTCTCGGTGACATCATATATATATCCTGCATAATTTCTATAAATTTTGTACATAATAGATATTATCTAGATGCAATAATATCTGTATAGAATAATTTTATATACTTTATTTATTACATTAGCACGTAAAATGTGACTAAAATAAAGACTGAAATCTATTTAGGGATGAGTTATTCTGTGGGAGTGAAAGATACTCCTTCGAGGGCGACAGAAGACGCCGACGTTGTGGCGAGGATCCGCGAGGCCGGTGGGATTCCTCTTCTCGTCAGCAATACTCCGGAGCTATGCATGTGGTGGCACACATTCAACAAAGTGACTGGCACGACCAGGAATCCTTATGACACACGGAGGACCGCCGGCGGCTCTTCCGGTGGCGAGGTATACCTTTTTGTTCTATGTATATAGGCTCGAGGAGCCTAGAATTGTTTTATATGAAAAGTCTGTAAAAATAAAAAATTCTTATTTAAATTTAAATAATATTTAATAGAATTTGATAATGGATAGAAATTATTGTATAATTAATCAGGCGGCTCTTGTCAGCGCTGGCGCCTCGCTTCTGAGCCTGGTTTCCGATATCGGTGGATCGGCCAGGCTACCGGCGTTGTTTTGCGGCGTTTTTGGCCATAAACCCACACCAAGTAAATTTTCATCGACCAATAAGGATCAATAAGAACAGAAAAAAAAGAAAAAGAACGATCAAGAAATTTTAATCTTATAACTATTAAATTTAATTTAGCTTAATTATAATTGTACAATTGTTTATAAAATAGTATATAAACTAATATGTAATGGGTAAGGTAATTTTATATTTTTCCCCTTAGATTGGATATCAGTAGAAGGTCACAAACCAAGCTCAAATGATGTAAATTGGCCTTCATTTTTCGCGATCGGTTCAATGGTCAGATACGCCTCGGATCTGCCTCTGTTATTATCAGTGATGTCACAATTGGATGAAGCCAAGATAACCTATAACAAAAAGGTCAGAACTTTTCAAATTTTAATTATGGTTCTGCCGCTTTCTCAAAAAATTTTAATTAAATGTAATGAAGTATTAATGTCAGAGAAATTAATTGATGAGAGTGATACAAATAATGAATAAAATAGATATATAATAAACATATAATAGAAATTTATAACGTTTATTTATGCAAAGTTTGCATATTTCTATATATAGGTATCTCTAAAGGACATAAAGTTTTTCTATATGGATAATTGCGGTCCGTATCCTAGTTCCATGACAGCTGATGTAAAAGACGCAATTTATAAGCTGATAAGACACTTGGATGCAATAGACGGTATTAAAGTGCAAAAAGTATGTGAAAATTTTGTTTGGATTATATTAATTATTTTAAATTCATTATTAAAAAGGTGAAATTATTACGATAAACTATATATACTATTTATTTGTGTGTGTGTGTGTGTGTGTGTGTGTGTGTGTGTGTATGTAGTATTACAACACAGCAATGCTTTAATCTTCTTTTTTCAATATTTTCAATTAATTAAAAATATTTTATACAATAGAATGTATTTACATCATAATAATACGAATTATATAATATAACACAATATTGTATAATCGTAAAAAAAATGTATTAATATTATTGCATTTAGTATATGGTCTTCATTATGTATTTAAAGGATTAAAGTCTAATTAAGAAATAACGATATATATATAATATTTATAGATAAATATAATATTTATATTATCGATTATTTTCAGGCAAACGTGGAAGATATGAAACGATCTTTTGAATTAAGCATGATCATTCTTCTCAGGATCAAAGACGTATATTCGGTTTTTAATCGATGGGATGATCCTAAGGTACAGTTAAATGACGAGATTGTTAAGATGTACTTATGATAAACAAACATTTTTTTTCATAAAAATTTTTTTAGAAATCGAAGAATGTGTTGAAGGAAACACTGAAATTTTTTTCCTTTATGTCGCTGCACACCTTTCCAATGATTGCTTACGGGATAATCAACAACATTGGCAAAAAAATGCCAGTCTCTAGGTACAATGAAATGATGGAGATAAGGACCCGATTGAGAAAGCAATTTGAGGTAGAGCTCGATATATAAAATATATTGCATTTTTTATAAACTTTTTGTCCGTATGAATAATACCGACGTATAAATACTAATATATGTATATATATTTAATTCGCATTAATATTAAAATAACGTTCAATGGCGTTTGATTAGGAGCTGCTGGGTGATAACGGCGTATTAATTTGTCCATCCTTTGTGTCATCGGCGTATTATCCTTTAGAGAGTTTCTACAACATAAACAATTACACATACATGATGATCTTCAACGTGCTGGGATTTCCGGTCACGCAGTGTCCACTTGGCTTCGACAAAAATCAAATGCCGATTGGGCTTCAGGTAAAAGAAAAATTGCTGTCCCTCTCTGTTTGATCTTTCATAAATTAACGGATAGTATTATTTATATGTATGCCGGAAAAAAAGACTGGTCACGATCACACAATTAAAACTATAAGGAAGTAATAATAAAGATGTAAAATACAAAGAAATTTTTTTTCTCATGAATATTACTATCCTGCTTCTATAATCATTGATGATGCTGTGTACAGATTAGTACAGTATTGATTTTTAATTTATTAACTTTAAATTTGTAATCACCGAGTTCTAAATTATTTAATTGATTATCCGTTTACATTTAATTAGTTTCTGCTTTTGTAGATCGTCGCGAATCCGGGCTGCGATCATTTGACGATTGCTGTTGCGCAAGAAATCGAAAGGACGTTCGGCGGCTGGCAAGAATCACAAGTCAGAAGAGTTGTGTGACGTAGCGGCACAATTTCGATGATACAGACGTCGAACTCGTCTGCAATTGAAGTCGAGAATCTAGCATAATTTTTAAAAGATAGAAATTAAATTTATATATCGTGTCGAAATTTACAAGAGATCAAGTTCAATTAAGATTTATAACAACGAAAGAACCTTGAGTTTGTGTGTATTATCAGTTTCAACTGCGTTTTTGCCCAATAGCACGAATTTGAAACTGGTATTAATTTCAAACAAACTTTCGAATAATTTTCGAATATTTGTAAATTTTACCTAACATGACACGATAGACTTTTCGAAGGACTTTAATGGAAATTTGTTACCTCGCTACCGATTTAATGCATATATTTTCGTACGAATTTATGTTGTACATTGTAATGAAAACTTATATATTTATATATACTTACATAATCAATGTACATATATATTTTTATATCCTTAATTGCAATATTTTTAGTAAACAATAAATTAATATATTTTTATTATGTTTTGTACGCAATAAAAATGCGACCTATTTTCTTATTTTTTTCTATTGACAATTAGCGGAATAAAATATATATTAAATATCTATGATTTTCTAATTTATAAACGTTAATTAATTAGAATATAATCAATATAAATGGGCCAAAGACGAGCAAACGTTTTGATGTAAATTTAATTCTTAATTATTATCTTTATATTACAATATTTTGCGATACTATATATAGTTTCCACCTATTTTCTCAATCGATAGAGTTATAGTGCTGTCGAATAATAATAATACAAAATTAATACGAAAAAATACAAAAATTAATAAATAGAATATTATATTATACATTGTAAATATTCTATTAAATAAATTAGAAAGTAAATATTTTAAAATAAAATAAAATTTGATAGAAACCTTAATTAGTATCTTAATTAATTACAACTTTGTACAGTATACACAGTTACATTATAAAAGTAACTATAAGATTCCATTAAATTTTGTTATATTTTAAAATATATATAATATTTAATAGAATATTATACGATGTATAATATTCTGTTTATAGTAATTTTTTATATTATTTTGTATTAATTTTATTTATAATATACTTAAGTTATTATAAAGATACTAAGGTTCTCATAGAATTCTATTGTATTTCAGAATTTCTATTACGTTATTTAAAATCATCTCAATTTTTTCTTCCCTCTTCACTTTTTTTTTTGCAGCGGTGCAGAAGTCAAGTCAGTGGTCGTAGATGTATAAACGTGTGATGTGACGTCAGACACGTGCACGCGTGACGTGCCTCACACGTGCCAGTCGCGCCGCGCGCGCCCACTGGTCTACATATGTGTATGGCGTTCTAACCTAAAATCAGTTTTTCGGAGATATTTTCCGTGCCTTCGCAAGATCTAGAAATATTTAGTTTGTAACTAATTATTATAAATTTTTGTAACATCTGATTGATAAAGTATAATTGTAAATTATACATTTTGTTGTTGCGACACAAATCGCACAAGGAGAGATGTGTTCGGTGAAGGATTGCATGTTTGACGGTAACGATGGTGAAATACCTAAAACGAAGGAAAAAGATTTATCGACGTGAGTATAATTACAAGAAATAAATGTGAGAAAAGGGAACACAATGAGATCATTAATATATATTGTATTTCCGTACAGAGATACGTTGTGCAGAAAATGCAAATGTGAAAACGCCGACGTTTTGTTGACCGGCCAAAGCGGTTATTGCCAGGCTTGTTTCCTGAGTGTCACAAACCACAAGTTTAGAGCCGCGCTTGGTAAATCTAAGATTATTCGCCACGGCGACGCGATACTGGTCGATCATTCGGGAGAGTTGAATTCCACCGTGCTCCTACATCTCATTAAGGCTGGCATGAGCGAATCTGCTCACAAGAGACTCATCTTCAAGACGGTAGTTTTGTACATAGATGGTAAGTCTTCTGATGTTCATTTCCACCGGTGTGTAGATTAACTTTAATCTCGGTTAATTTAATCTATTTTAATCTATTAATGTTTAGAATTAGAAAGAGATAAAGAGAGCTGCGTGAAGTTGGCACCCCTAAGTAGGAATTTTGACAAAATCTATATGGCATTAGATTGTCCACTATTTGTCCATATTTGTCCAACAATAATAATTTTTTGTATATAGATAAAGAGAGACAAGTTGAATTTGGGATTAAAGTTAATCTACATTTGTAGAAACGGGCATAAGTCTAGGATCTTTTGTCTTATGAAATATCTATCTTTGAATATCGACAGATACTGCGGGGAAAACAAGCGAGGAAAGGGACACGCTGCGACGTAAGATCGCCGAGGAAACAACGGCTTCTGGATTTAACGGTTATGCTGTGTCGATGAGCCAGGCTTTGAACGAGGGGGATACTCTGGACGTAAAGCCGATGGACCAGGAGATAAACCGCGAGAATGACAGTCGGCTGCGCGCGATATTGGCCAATTTGTCGGACGACACCTCGAGGACGGATTTTCTCGGTCAGCTGCGCCGGTGCTTGCTTCTGTCGGCAGCCCGGAAACTGAATTGCAACAAGATATTCGTCGCCGAGTCTGCCGTGGACATCGCCGCGAAGGTGCTTGGGGACGTGTGCTTGGGCCGAGGCGCGCAGCTCTCCACGCAGGCGAGCTTCTGCGACGCCCGTTGCGCCGACGTCAAGATACTCAAGCCGATGAGGGATTTCGCGCAGCAGGAGCTGATTTATTACGCCGAGTACCACAAGATAAATTCTGTCAAGCCGATGCACGCATCTGGCACGCCACCATCGGCCACCTCCATACAAGCGTTGTCACGCGATTTCACGACGCAACTGGAATCTCAGTTCTCCGGCACGGTGTCCACCGTATTCCGCACGGCCGATAAAATAAGCCCGAGGGTCGACGGGCCGCGGCGAGGTATGGAAGACAATTGCGCGCTGTGTGACGCGCGATTGGACCTGCCGTCCTCCGGCGGCGAAGTGACCGCCATGAGGGCGATCGAGGTTTCCAAGCTGGTGTCGTCCAAGTGCGTCGACGCAAGTTCGCCTGGCAACGAAGAAAACGGAGACTCGAATTGTCTCCCTCCACCCGACAACAGTGGTTGTTGTAACGATAATACTGAGTGCAGTTGTGAGAACAATAGAAAGGGACAAGTAACCGCGGAGGACGTTTGGAGGCATCTGTGCTACAGTTGCAGACGGATATTTCAAAATTCAGAGATTTTACGCAACTCGCCATCGCCATTATTGTTCGCCGTTCAACAGAGAGTAGCTTTAAAAAGTATGAGAGAGAAAATTAGTGACTTTTTATTATGAATAAATGGAGAGACTTTTCACGATTTAGCGCGCAAGGCCGTAAAACGAGAGGCATTTGTACATTATGGTGTAAATATAGTTAAGAGATTTTTTAATTTAAATATAATAATGCGTTATTATTTGTATGATTAATTTTTCTCAAGACAAAATCATCGCATATTTTCCCTCATCATTTTCAACACTTTAAATCAATCTCATAAATGTATTATAATTTTTAGATATTCGTTCTTTTATATTGTTTCGTTTATTTTAATTAATCAAATTGTGAATTTCTATGAATTTCTGCCAATAAGTACTTATCCAGATCACAAGTGATTTGAAGAAATGAGAAGACAAATTATATAAAACATGCGAATTCTTAACTACCGTGTTTCTCTGCAAAATCTTGGATGACGTCTGTGATGATATGACAATTTTGATCTTCCCGCGGTCGAGTCGAGAGCCAACCTCAATCGGCTCAACCTAACCTAACGTCTATCGACGATTACGTAAAAACACAGCAGAAAGGTTATTTTCTATATGCGTCAAAATTTCTCCAAGCGCTCGAGAGAGTAAATAATAATTATAAAAATCGAGGCATTGTCTGTCACCGGTACGTAACGTCCAAATGTTCTCCCGTTTCTGTTTTCGTCGCGCAAAACGACGAAGAGTTACATTATTGTACGTGCGTATTTTCTGTAGGTTATAAGGTACACCTTTCTATGTGAGAATATTTTAAAAAAATCAAATTCGCATTTTTGGGGTGGGAACAATTAAATTTCTCCTGCAATTTCATCGCTTGACAAATCCATAACATGAGTATCTGCTGCCAGAATTGCTACTCTTCGATATTATTCATCAATGCCGTCAAAATGCTCGATTATATATTTGGACTGATTTTGACCAAAAATTTCAATTTTTACCTATGTTATTAACATAGATAGAATCATCAGTTCTTATTGTTTGACATACGGGCGGAAAGATTGGATTAAGAACACAAAGTCGGTACAGCTGAAAATTTTGTGCTTCGAGCAATTTGACCATTTCAATTAATTGCCAGTTAAATTAACCAAAGTTTGGTCGAAGTCATTCTTAGACTCTAGTGAGGGAACAGATTGGATCGAGGCTTTATATCTCGGATATGTATCGAGCACCTCGTGATCTCAGAAAATACTTGCAGTTTACAAAAGAGCCATGCTCTCTGAAATACTGACTGAAATACTGACGTTATCTGTTGTGTTGCGAATTCTAAATACTGTGCTTTTGCAGGTACATCATGATAGACCACGAGAATATTATGTGGATGAAATGGGGCACGCCCATGTTCAAGGGACCCCCGACAGACGTCTTCCATCATATACGCAATTTGCAGTCCCTCAAGGAGTGCGCGATGTACGAGGTGCACTATGTGGACTGCATGGAGGCGTATGGCTATCACAGGGGCAGGGAGAAGTGCAGGCTGTTACTCGAGGACATGTACGAGTGCGTGTTTAAGATAAAGAGGATGCGGCGCATCCACCTGATGGAGGAAGAGCGACGGCGTCAGTTTAACAGTGGCGAGAGGAAGAACCGCTACGAGGAAACTCCGCCGCTCGACCTGTTCTAAATCGTTCCCCTTCTCGCTTCGGGAGAATGCATATATAGTTTACGTGTATAAATGTATCGGACTAAAAGGGATTAGACGACAAATGCGTTTTTATCTACCAAAAAAAACAAAGAATCCCATTGCACCAGTTCGTTGCTTGATGCTTTTCCTCTCCTGGAGACGTTTCGTCGATGAGGTCAGAGAATCACAATCTATGTTACCTTCCTCAAATCTTTTCCCTCTCCAGAGAATACATTTCGCTATAAAAATACTTTGGGAAACTCAATATTAAAATATTCGCAAAGGACTGCAACAATTGGGAATGTAAAACTCTGAATATCTGTTGAATATTCAATTTGTAAAAAGACATGTTACAATATATAAACATCAATAATCATATTGATCTTGTATAATTTAAAATTTTCGATTTAGATTTTTGTTTTTATTCGCATAATAAAGTAGTAGATTTTTTAGATTAGTATTTAGATTTTTGTTTTATTCGCATAATAAAGTTTCTTTTTTATCGACGTTGATGATATCTCGTCGGTGCGTAAAAAACGCACTCGAAGATCGATATTGATTTTTCGCCGGTAGTAATGGGCGGCGCTCATAGATGGCGCGCGGATCCTTCCCGACGATTGAGAACTCGCCTTGCGGCCGCGTTACGTGTGCGCGCCGCGCGGATCTCCTTCGTGGTTTTGGGTTTCCGTCCGTGTGTGCGGGAACCGCTCAGGCTGATCGGCGGACGGTTCTCGGTAGCCTGTGGGCCTTATTTACGGAGTTGGCCGGTGAGTCGATTTCCCCTCGCGTCGTCCGCGAGCGTCCCCGTATCTTTCTTACGATTATTCCACTCGACCGCGGCGTCGAGCCGAGGATTCGTGTTCGCGAGCACGCTCGGGAACAGGTCCTCCCTGCGATTATGTAAACGGACCGATATCGCGCTCGGAACTGTTCGCGGAGTTCCTTGACTGTCGCATCGTCTACCTTTGACACCTCCGTCGTGATTCCAAGCTCGGACAACTTGATAACGTCGAATTCCGTGGCGTGCCCTACGATTTGTCTTACGAGCGAGAGTGTATGTGTACGTACATACAAGAAAAATTGTGACAAGGCTGTCAGATACTCAGATGTAGAATGCTAGAAATCTCCCTGTAAGACCAGCAACAGCTGATCTCTTCCCGTTTTCATCATGTTAGATTTACAGATGTGACTGGCATTAACTACTGTGAGAACTATTGTACAGAATAACTACGTTATTTATAGCTTCTGTCATATATATATTTCATATACATGTTCCGAACGCTGTTTCCACCTCCTGTTAGTAGATCTGTCTATGAAATATTGACTTGCATTTCAATTATCTATGAATGACATTGAAAAGTAGCAAATGATTACGCGTTTCTGTCATAAAGTTTTTTTTACAAAGTAACAGACGAACAATCCGAATATATCCCTGACGCTGATATAAATAATGTAGACTTAAATTTTGCTACTTGCGAGAGGATTGCGACGTCGTTTAAACACGATTGAAGTAGAGTGATCTTCTGAGAACTTGAATTTGCAGGAATTCGGCAGCCGACAACGATGCTCAGCAACCGTGTGTCAGCGTTTCTGCGGCTGGCCGCGCAGGAGCAGCAATGGCAGCAGCAGCAGCAACGCGGGATGGCCACCCTCAAGTCGATCTCTATACGTTTGAAGTCCGTCAAGAACATTCAAAAGATTACGCAGTCCATGAAGATGGTGTCGGCGGCCAAGTACAATCGGGCGGAGCGCGACTTGAAGCAGGCCCGTCCCCTCGGCGAGGGCACGAAGGTGTTCTACGAGCAGGCCGATATCCAACCGCCGCCGGAGCCGAAGAAGCTCGTCATCGCCGTGACCAGCGACCGCGGTCTCTGCGGCGCCGTGCACACCGGCGTGTCCCGCAACATTCGCGACCGGCTGTTGGCCGATCCTAAGGAACGCGAGAACACGAAGATCATATGCATAGGCGAGAAGTCCCGTGCCATCCTCCAGCGGCTGTTCGCGAACAACATACTCTTCGTCGCGTCCGAGGTCGGCCGTAAGCCGCCGACGTTCAACGATGCGGCGAAGATAGCTAACCAGATATTGAACAGCGGGTATGTTTCGCTGCATTGCCAAACATATATGTTTATAATACCAACGGCTAGATGATGAATAATTAATGAGCTCAGCTAATATTGCAAATTAACCGCTAAATTGCAACTTAGAGTTGGTTCCACTTTTGGATTAACTGTGATAATCGAGGGGTCAACCATTATGGCAATCAGTGTATATGTCTTTAGGAATATATTGCGGCAGTACAATTCTAGCAATACATGGCAGTACATGAGATAATAGATGGCAATATTACTGACAATACAAAAGCGATAAATTGCAATAGCAATAAAGTGTGTTGTATTGCCATAATTAGCAATCACTGTACATTTTTTTTAGTAGTGGTTGATCCCTCGGTGATAATTCATCTGAAGTTAGATTTTCACATTATATATAGTTTATTCGTTATATATATATTTTATATATAGTTTATATATAGTTTATCATTATATATATCATTATATATAGTTTTTAATATAAAGCTGGAACAACCGGCCCTAAGGTGTAATTTAAACAATTCATCTGCTGTATTAGCTAAGATTATTTACTATAAATTTCTGTTTAAGTATATTTAGACCTTTTTTTTGGATATATAAACGCGTATGTGTGTTTTTTTAAGTATGCAGATACTGTATACAATAAGATAGATAATGTGTACTTTTGCAGTTATCCCTTCGGCTCTGGTCGCATAGTGTACAACAGATTCAAGTCCGTGGTGTCGTACGCGATCGAAGATCTGCCGCTGTACGACAAGAACGCGGTGATCGCCGCGCCGAAGCTGTCGGTATACGACGCGATCGACGACGAGGTGATACAGAGCTACCTGGAGTTTTCGCTCGCCTCGCTGCTGTTCTACACGATGAAGGAGAGCGCCTGCAGCGAGCAGTCCAGCCGTATGACGGCCATGGACAACGCCAGCAAAAACGCCGGAGAGATGATCGACAAGCTCACCCTCACCTTCAACCGCACCCGGCAGGCCGTGATCACCAGGGAACTGATCGAAATTATCTCCGGCGCCGCCGCTCTGGAATAAGAATGTTTCCCGGGAGGAGAAATTTAGTTTATCAATTTATATAGTGCCGGCAAATAGAAAGAGAGTACGCTGCTGGAAGCAGGAGGACGAGAACGGGGAGGGAGATACAGAACCTGTTATGCTGCCAAAAGATCAAGTTACCTCCCCCCCCCCCCCATTGACTTGGACGACGTTCAATTAACAACCGCGGAGGTGCGCTGTAAACTTCAAGAACATTGAAAGCCTATCTGTTATTTATATGTCCAAGTTCAATAAATCAATCGAATTACAAGACCGCATGTTTCAGTACCGGTAGCTCGCAACACGTTCGGTATGCCCAATAAAAATTTCACGCGTGTAAAAATGATATATAAAAAAACATATTCCGTTTGTAATATAAATACATAAATTTGATAAATTTAACAATGAGGGTCTCGAACAATATTAAATCCGTTTGTAAGTCCCGAAACACAATGTGGTAAGCCTTGAACCTTGAGAATGTGAAGAGAACAATCGACGACGATTGGTCAATTTCTTACAGGCTTAAGGCTTGCTACATCTATTGTGCTTCTGTAAATTAAGCTTGTATCAAATTTCGAGCAAGATTGCAAATTGGAATTCGGCCGATCGGAAAATAGCGGACAGAGATTTAAAAGTCAACGGTTGGTTGAGTTCTGATCACCTATTCTTTAGATTCTTTAGAAAATCGGGATAGAAACGGTTAGTTGAGTTCTGATCACCTATTCTTTAGATTCTTTAGAAAATCGGGATAGAAGCGCCGAAAGCCTCAGCAGACCTGTTTTTTTACAGCTGAACTACTGCACTAGTTCAGAGTTTATCTTTCGCTTTCTACATTGGAAGAAGAAAGATAAATTCTGAACTAGTGTAGTCAGTTCAGCTGTAAAAAAGACCTAGTGCGCAGCCGACACAATATCCGGGTCTCGACCAATCGCGGTCGAGAATTCTCACAGAGTAGTTTTCGGTTATTTTATTAAACCACATTGTCCTTCAGGGTATAAATCGAGCCTCGGCAGGTGCCCCGTGCCACTCATGTCTATTTCTACCAATGTAGATTAATTTTGATCTCGGTTTAATTCACCGTTTATCTTTTCCCAATTTTTAGAACCGGAAAAAGATACAAAATAAGTTGAACCGAGAATTAAATCTACATTGGTAGAAATGAAGTTCAGTTGCCACTTTCGCGAGAGAGAAACCTTTAACCGTAACACCATATTACTCGGCTGCGATTGGTCGATCCGCCCGTCTACAGGTCTACATTTCTCCGCGTCACGACGCGCCCTCCCGCCTCCGGTGAGAACTGGCGGAAACAACGGTTGACTACAAGGCGCGACGCATCGTGGCAAAAACGTCGGCCAAGACCAGGGGCGACCGAATCCGCGAGACCCGAAGACGGACCTGGTAGGGGATAACGTAGCGTTTAAGGGAGGAAGCGATTCTTGGTCCTTCAGGGGCGCCCGTGAGCAGATCGTTACCGAGGGCAGACTCGCGGCAGAAGATGGGCGGCGAGGATGGATTGGGTGTAACCACCGGCCAGCCGAATCTCTACAAGCAGGACTTGTCGAAGCTCGTAAGTTTCGCCACGACGGGGCTCTTCGCGCCATTCGCCCCACGCCCCCGACTTAACCTCGCTTCGGTCTCGCGCGCGTGGTCCGACCACGCTGACCGCCCCGTGGCGACGACGACGACGACCCAGCCACGTGCACCACGTTCCCCGTCAACGCGAATCGACCTGGCGCGACGGGTTTCCTCTCCCTCTCGACGTGGGGGGGAAAAAAAGGGGGGAGACTCGTCTCTCCGTTACCTCGCGGAGACTACGAGTTGCCCGAGTCTCTCGCGGAAACTCCATTCAATTAAATGGCGTGAAGACTTCCCTCGCTCGTACGTGGAAGGTGAAACTGCCATTCGGAGAAGCACAGCCGATCGGCGTCGCGCGAAGCATATGTCGTTCATGTATTGAAGCAGCTCTTATTCCAGTCGTCCACAGTTCTCGTGAACCATCGGTTACAGCTTGGGGAATGAAATTGGATGGCAAGGGGGGGGGGGAAGCTATTGAACGCTCAACTTCAATTAAATTGTAAGCGTTTTGTAAGGGGAATCAATTATCAGCGTGATTTTTCAAACAGGCAAAATGCCTAACTTGGAAATTAATTGGTGATCGGCGCGATGACAGTTTTATTTGTTCTGTTTTTTTTCTCCTTTTTTATATTAACATTATTTCAAATTTAATATAAAAATTTAGTGAAAATTTTCTGTGGACCAAACTTGAACTTAATAGAATTTTGACTTATGAAACGCAAAAAGAATCTTGCAGGTACATTCTATCGCGTTCTATACATTCTGCGTTTATTATGTGACAAATCAATTCTGTATGAATTTGCATGTAACAGGTTATTTTATTCTTTTATTCTTTGTTAACTTGTGAAGCAGAATTTTTGAGATTAATGTATCTCTAGATTATAAAGCAATCATAATATTTTAAATTGTAACTGTTTTTTTTTTTTAAATCTAATTTGATCAATTCCAAAATTATTGCAACGAAAACATACTTACATTCTCTTTGATTTTATACAGGATGTCAGTAAATTAACTGCGTTGTCACGCGAAGTAATCAGTAGACAGGCTACAATCAATATTGGTAAGTACATGATCTTAAGTATTTGGAAGTGAAGAATACATAGTGCTGTTCATATATTTCTGAAAAATTTGCATTATCAAATAAACTCGTTATAGGCACTATCGGGCATGTAGCACACGGAAAATCGACAATTGTGAAAGCTATTTCAGGAGTGCAGACTGTTCGTTTTAAAAATGAACTGGAAAGAAATATCACTATTAAACTCGGTGAGTACACTTAAATGTATTAATTCTGCTCTCCATCGCAAATTTATTTAATGTTAAGGAAAGTGCACAATTATTTTTTTGCCTTTGTTTTTGGAATATTTTTTTTTTATATATATAGTAATATATAGTAAACAAAATGTGTATCAAAGAGAGAATGTGTATCAAGATTGTTTAAACTGTACTGTAGCAAATCCTTTAAATGTTAATTTCTGTTGGACGGATTAGGTATCAATTTTTTAGTATTACAAAAATGATACAATGTGATTTAAATTGTGATGAATTAAATTTTCTTAAGAGGATGCTAAATTCCAGGCTGTTTATTGACAATTTATACATATGTATGAATACGATATTGATGTAAAGCAAAGTGATGTGATGATGTTTACTTTAACAATGCTGCACGTATACATATACACGCATTTACATTGAGAATTTGGTTGGAACGCATTTCCAATCAAATTTCCTAGCAATGTTTTCTCTAATATTAAACCTAGATTAGTAAAGGCACGATGCTTTTCTTCCATATAATCCTGAATGCGGATGCAGCTTGCTTTATATGTACAAAGTATTTATAAAACACTCTTGTATCAAGCAAATGTTACGAGTCAACGTCAGAAGTCGATAATAAAACTACAAAATTGTAATTTTTGAAATTTGTTTCGTTTTTCATATAAAATCATTTTCACACTCCGTTAATGTCTATGCTATAATTGGAAAAATTTCCAAATCTGTAAAAGTAATATTTACGAAAACATTGTAGAAAAATTATTGCGTTTGGTCGGTAAAACACACGACTTTAGGATCCTCTTAAAATGTGAATTTTGACATGAAAAATTAGAGGTAAGTATAGTCTTTATTATTACAATAGTTAAAAATTAATTAGCATTTCATACGACTCGGTCTATTTTCGTTCGAACCCATATAAATATCTCTGACGTTTAATATTAAAACTGTGATATGTAGCACATTATATTTTTAACTGTATTAACACTTACTAATAATTTATTCGTATTCCACATTGTAATTTATATCGTTCGGAGTTTATTTGTAATAAAATATTTGGTGGGGGATTTTGTATAAATGTCTTGCGTGATACTTGTGTAACGAAAGCAAGCGTTTTATACCTTTCATCAAATTGCAAATCGAAATCATGTAAACTTTGTGTTATTTTGTGAAAAGCGCAAAAAAATTCTTCATTCTCTCTCAACTCTCGTGAAGCTGCGTGTAGGAAAAGCTGAATATCTCTTAAGAAGATACTAGAATATCGCACGCTGTCACTATTATTACGTACCACTTGATCACGGCATGAACAAAAGCACCCCCGGTGTTATTCGTTGCTATTATTCGTCCGGCAAGCCGAGACAAAAGGGTGAACAAGAACGTTGAGGAGAAGGAAAACGAAAATGAAAACGAAAATGAAAAACGAAACATAAGAAATGGAAAAATGAGCGGAGAGGGGGAGAGTGTTCGTTCGAGTTAGAAAGAAAGGGAAAAAGAGAGATGGAACGAGAAATGATACGCTGTTTAAATGTTTGGCATTGCAGACGCGGCGGATTGCGGTAGCAGCGGTGAATCGGCAGTTATACCTGGCAGCGTAGATAGCAAAACGCCAGCTGTTAGCCAAAAACGACATCTCTCCCCCACTGGAGGTTTTGACGCACCGTCGTGCGCCAAGAAGCCCAAATTCCTCAGCACAGAGGGCCGCATGTCTCATCGATTGGACAGCAGAAATTCGTTCTGTTCCTCTTCCTCCTCCTCCTCTTCGCTGATGTCGTTATTGTCATCGTCGTCATCTTCGTTGTCGTCATTATCATCCGCCTCATCGATGTGCCTGCGACCGCGGCAGTCGATCACCCAGCAAATGCTGAAAGCGTTCGACAGCAGCTCTCGCACGCGTGACGAAAGTACGAGCGCGAGGGATCGGGGTAGCGACGGTCGACGATCCGACTATGAATCGTCGTCGTCCGATGGTAGTAGACTGTCCGCGCGAGAGGATACTATGACTCTGCGCTCGGACTTTGAGCTGAAGGAGGTACGGGTGTTGCTGCACGACATCATGCGCAGCGACAAGTATCGCGAATTGGTGGCGGCAGCAGCATCGCCCGGCAAACCATCACCCGTCTCCAGCAAGAAGAAGAAGCTCTGGGAGGTGGAGAGGATCTTGCAGAAGCGCGAACAGAACGGGGAGCCGGTCTATTTCATCAAGTGGAAAGACTGGGAGGCCGATTACAACACGTGGGAACCGTTGCGGAACCTGGTCAGTTGCGAGGCTCTGCTGCGTGAATTCGAGGACGAGCGGCAGAAGCTGATCGTTCGGTTCAAGGCGACGACGAACTTTCATCCGGACATATGCGACGTACAGCTCTTTCTGGACCACACGTACCGCAACCGATCGGTCGTCGATGCGGCATCCGCCGCCGCTACCGCCCTCGCCGAGAACACCGTGTACGACGAGATCCGACGTTTCCTGAAGAACTCGTCGCACAACACCAAGCTGGAGGCGAAGATCAAGCGGCAGTTGCTGCGCATGCTGCTGATCAAACTGCGGCGCGACCAGCTTGAGTCGTTGCAGGACTGGGAGAACGAGATGAATAACATCACGAAGGGTAAGCCGACGATACAGGTGGAGAACCTGGTGGATCTGGAGAGCGCGCCGCATGACTTTTACTACATCGACAACTATCTGCCGGGCGCGGGTGTCATAATACCGGACGATCCGCCGATCGGTTGCGAGTGCGCGGGCGGGTGCGGGACCCCGGGCAACAAGTCGGGCTGCTGCTTCGCGCAGAACGGCGCCACGTCGTTGCCGTACACGTCGGCGCGCCGGGTACGCGTGCCCCCGGGCACACCCATCTACGAGTGCAACAATCGCTGCGCCTGCGACGCGTCGACCTGCTCGAATCGGGTGGTGCAACTCGGCACCAGCACGCAGCTGTGCATCTTCCGCACGAACAACGGACGCGGCTGGGGCGTACGCACCCGACGCACGATCAAGAAGGGCACCTTCGTCATACAGTACGTGGGCGAGGTGATCAACAGCGAGGAGGCGGAGAAGCGCGGCAGGCAGTACAATTTGACCGGTCGTACGTACCTGTTCGACCTCGACTACAACGAGACCGATGACCAGTGCCCGTACACCGTGGACGCCGCCATGTACGGCAACGTCTCGCACTTCGTCAACCACTCCTGCGACCCCAATCTCGCGGTCTACGCGATCTGGATCAACTGCCTGGAGCCGAATCTGCCGAGCCTCGCGCTGTTCGCCATCAAGGACATTAAGCAGAACGAGGAGCTCACTTTCGATTATATGTGCCAGACGCCGCACGACAACGCGAAGAGGCAGCAACTGCTGGAGGAGGAGCCGGAGGGCAAGAGTCCCGTTTCGAAAAACAGGATGCTCTGCAAGTGCGGCGCCGCGACGTGCCGGCAATATTTGTTTTAAGGAAACATATCTACCAGTTAATTTTTAATTAGCCTTTTCTTTCTTTTCTGTATATATCGGACTTAGTGACGATCGATTATAATCTGAAAAGGAAAAATGCACTCAAGACTAGTTCGGAAGATTGGAATATCAACTCGACGAAGCAGTTATATAGTACTCAAAAACTTTGCTGTTCATTTTTTTTATCTTTAATTGGATTATAATTGCCAGCAAAGTTGTGAATTATTATGAATTTAGCTTTAACTTTATGTAACGTGATTTTTATTGTCGTATATAACTGCAATTATTCTCCAGGATTTAGTGAATTGTTTTTTTTTCTCATTGAGTGTTGAATATTAAAATAATCGATAAAAGCAGTCTTTCGAATGAAGTAATATAAATAATAGAAAATTTTGAAAACTATAACCAAAGTTGCTATTGTACGATCTAGAAGTATGTATTTTGTTCATGAATCACAGTTGATATATCAAAATGCAATTTTTTTTATCGCAATTTTTTTTATGCCTGCCATATTTAAGTACAAATTGCAAAAACTTTAAATTGCGGTGAGGAATGATTCATTATCGTGAGTCAGTAGAGAGTCATGGATGAATGTAGCAGAAAGAGAGATACTAAAAGTGCTTAATTTCTAGGAGATGGAAGAGACTGCACATTTTATGTGAACATATTTTCAACTTATAATAATTATTAATGTAAATTGAAATTCTCGGCTCAATAAATAATAAATTAATAAGAACTAAAGGGCTGTAAGCCAAAGCAAGATGTTTAATTCTTCAAGTAAAATTAACTTTTTAATTATAATATAGTTAAAAAGTTTTTTACTTGGAGCATTAAACATCTTGCTTTGGCTTACAGCCCTTCTTATTAATTATTAATGTGTTAAGTTTCTTGAATATACTGATTTGTTATAAGAGAGTATGAAAAGTTGTATATGAGAGTATACAAAACTGTTTGTTGTATGGTTTTGTTCAAATACGTTTTATACGCTCATTTTTATACTCAGTTAATTGTACAAAGGCTAAACACAAACGCGATGTATGAGGCAAAAATTCGCGTTCTTTAATCGCATGATGTGGAATAGAATCGATTGGTTTTTATTGTATATTGCCTTATAACTTGTATATTAATATGTTGCTTTTTTTCTATATTTTTTTTTCTTGGAGAACGCAAGTATTCCTTGTATACATCTATAATATATGTATTACATTTTACACGCGTCAAGTTTGCAGTGTTTTTTTAATCAGGGATTTCAGAGAAAGTCGAAAAATTTTGTTTGCTCCACAACTCTTGAGTATTAAGGTAAACCAGTAACTGAACATGTATCTATCTCGATACACAAAAATTATTTTTAAATGCTTTTTTTATAATATTATAATTTAACTGTTATCTTTCAATATTTTTACAATTCAATTTTGATATTGTAATAAAATAAAAAGCATTTGAGATTAATAATTTTTGTGCACGTGTTCAGATACACGTTCAGTCACTGATACATTTACCTTAATGTGATGTACATTCAATTAAATAATTCGAAGCATTTAAGGAAACAAGCTTAAAAGGGAAAAAATGAAATCTCTCGAAAAACATGAGACACTGCGAGTGTGTGATTCACGTCATCCACATGAGCGCATAAATCATTTATATTTTAAGAATACTACTATACACTATAGTGAAAACGCTAGGAACACTTATACTGATGCATTCTCGGTGTTTTGGTATGTTCACACATTGATCGTAAGTACACTGATCGTAATATCATAATTTTGTATTTTATATTATATCATAAGTTTGTATATTATAGCCGCGCTTCATAAAACATGATTAATATATTTATTTTTCCTTTTGCTAGCGCACAACCCCGCGGTCACTTGGTAATTCGTCCGTGAGTGCAATTATGGCTTTTATTTTAGTGTAAAGAGACAGAATATTTAATTACCGTATCTGAAACTATCTCTGTAAAACGCATCGTTCGATTCAATACGTAAGTTCTCCGGTTAAACGCGACGGGCGAAGGTGTGTTCTATTTTTATTCCAAGTAATTGCATATTCCGATTACTTTTATATTGTCTAAATTATATAGTAATTGATAGTCATTAGAAAATCTTCATAAGGATTTCTAGATAATGAATTGATAACGGCTCTTTATATTCTGAATAACGTAGACGATTAGGCTTTACGCATTATGCAGTGTATAAAACTTGATCCGACACGTGCAGATTCTACAGTCAGCTAAGAGTTTGATCGCGTTAAAAAGTACGCAAAGATGTTACAAAGAAGTCTGCAACAATTGGGGTCGATCGATCAAAATTTTCGCTATGGAAATATCGAAGAGGAGCACGTTACTCATACATATCACTCGTATATGCTACAGCAATATAACTTAAAAAACAATTTTTTGGGAGAAAAAATTGCTTTGAATTGTTAAAATTTTGTTACGTTAATTTTGAAATGCAATTTTGATACAATAACTGTGGAGGATTAAAAGTATGTCTTTTCTTTTTTTTTCTTTCTCTTTTCTACAAGCAACTCAAAAATGGTAATTTTTTAGTTGTGTCGTTGTTCCAGCAAATATGCATTCTCGTAACAACATATCGCGCGACTGAATTGTTACATTATTGCAGTATTAAGTAACTACATAACACAAGGATTTGCTTTACGTTGTCATCGTGTCTTTTGCTTAATCACATCGGAACGTAAAGGGTCGATGTAAACATACGTTAATTGTTAAAAATAAGTCATTATCTTGTGTGTCGTCTTACAGCTTTAATATATCCGGGACCGTATACATATGCCACTTAATATCGTCATGTTCTCTTCACAAAGATTCTCAATCGGAGTGACTATTTTCATACGTCTCTTTAGACACTACGAAATAACACTATATAAGCATTAACGGACCTATGGTATTGTTTATACATGTATGTAAATCGCTATTATAAGAGAGACCGAACAGTTAGTATAGCTAAGAAAGCGTAATAAGATTCTGTGTAAGACCCTACGCTGCACGTCGCTGTCGATAGATGAATTTGAAAATAAAGTCTCTTTCACGAGACGAATTATGATGTCGCGTTTTCTCATGTAAAATTCTATTATCGCAGTTAAAAGACAGCCTATGACATATTTCATATTTTCATAGCGCGAAAAGGAATTGATGGAACTATTTCGACGGTGTTTCGATAGCGGTGTAACGTATGTAGTACTGTAATGTACGTAACACGTAGCTTCGTAGTGCAGAATTTTTTATGACGCTAAATAGAATAAGTTGTCCGATTAATCTAGATGATAAACAACGAGAGACGTGAAGTATTGAAGAATGCCAATTGAAAAATGTGTTTTTTATATGCATATACATGTAATGCTTTTGAAATTAAAATTCTTATCCAAATTTACGCTAAAGAGAGATTTATTTTGAAAGTCTACGAGTAACATGTAGCCCTTGGTTTAGTCCCTTTTCTACGAGAGAAAATCCTCGCGAGCTCAAGAGGAGAGAAGACTGGAGGAGCAGTTTATCTGATTGGTTTTTTTTTTTTTAATTTATTTCAGGATATGCCAACGCGAAGATTTACGAGTGCGAAAATCCGAAATGTCCCCGACCTGGACGCTATATATCTGGTGGATCCAGCAAGGACGACTCTTTCCCCTGCCTGCGTCCAGTTTGTTTGGGAAGATTCCAGTTGGTCCGGCACGTCTCCTTTGTAGATTGTCCCGGACACGATATTCTTATGGCAACTATGCTTAACGGAGCAGCAGTTATGGACGCTGCCTTGCTTTTAATTGGTAAACAATATATTTTTTTGTGGTGCTAATCGTACCGTGTGATTTGTTTGATCCGGCCTTTTCTAAAGTACTAAGCTTATTCTATTGAATTGTAGCTGGCAACGAATCGTGCCCGCAGCCTCAAACGTCGGAGCACTTGGCGGCCATCGAAATCATGAAGCTCAAGCACATAGTTATCCTGCAAAACAAGATCGACTTGGTCAAAGAAGCGCAAGCGAAGGAGCAGTACGAGCAAATCTTGAAATTTATTCAAGGTATTGGTTGTTTTTACCGTTGATTGTCGATGTAAAAACGACACGTACGCGCACGTCCATTCGCATAATTCCGTTTGCAATAATTCAAAATCCAGGAACGGTGGCGGAAGGCGCTCCGATAATTCCGATTTCGGCCCAACTGAAATACAATATCGAGGTACTGTGCGAATACATTACCAAGAAGATCCCGGTGCCAATGAGAGACTTCACGTCGGAGCCTCGATTGATCGTCATCCGGTCTTTCGATGTGAACAAACCGGGCTGCGAGGTGGACGACTTGAAGGGCGGTGTCGCTGGTGGTAGCATCCTCAGAGGAGTGTTAAAAGTACGAGCTAATATTTTGGCTTTAAATTAGATCAATCTCTCCGAGACGTGACATTGTGAACACTGTTCTTGTCTTGAAGGTCGGCATGGAAATTGAAGTACGTCCCGGATTAGTGTCTAAGGATGGCGAGGGCAAGCTGACCTGTCGTCCGATATTCTCGCGTATTGTGTCTCTATTTGCCGAGCAGAACGAACTGCAATTTGCTGTACCTGGTGGTCTAATTGGTAAATCGTCGTAGATGCTCCTTATTAATCGCTCGAATCTTAACAGAGTCGTAGCACGCAAAAGTTCTGATCGTTTTATATAAGAGTAATGGATTATGTAATTTTAAGGTGTCGGAACCAAAATCGAACCTACTCTGTGCCGCGCTGATCGTCTAGTCGGGCAAATTCTTGGAAGTGTCGGCGCATTACCACAGATATTCATCGAGCTGGAAATCTCGTATTATTTATTGAAACGTTTGTTAGGTGTGAGAACTGAAGGCGATAAAAAGGGCGCGAGAGTAAGTCTCTGCACAATTTTAGAGATCTACGTCATCGCATTCCAAATTTAACTGTTTCTGTAGATAATTGCATGGGTTTAAGATTATTCTTAATTAATATTCTCATAAATATTGCAAAAATTTTGAAGCTGTAATGAATATTTTATACGACAGACATTTGAGCAATTAAAAAATAAAATTTTTTAAATGACAGAATAAGCATACTTTTAGGAAAAAACAAAGCTAGATTTAATTACGAGCTATATACAACCAGGATATATTTGTCAAATTTATGTGTCAGTTTGTTCTCTGACATATAAATTTGCTAAATATATCCTGGTTATGTATAGCTCGTAATTAAATCTAGCTTTGTTTTTTCCTAAAATTATGCTTATTCTGTGATTTAAAAAAATTTTCATTTTTTAATTGCTCAAATGTCTTTCGTATAAAATATTCATTATAGTTTGTGTTGAAAAATGAAAATGAAAATTTTTTAAATTACAGAATAAGCATAATTTTAAGAAAATACAAAGCTAGATTTAATTACGAGTTATACATAACTAGGATATATTTATGTCAGTTTATTTTTTGTTCTCTGACATATAAATTTGATAAATGTATCCTGATTATGTATAACTCGTAATTAAATCTAGCTTTGTTTTTCCCTAAAAAATTATGCTTGTTCTGCATTAAAAAAAATTTCATTTTTTTATTGCTCAAATGTCTCTGTGATAGGTACCGAAACTATCAAGGGGAGAGGTACTGCTGGTCAACATCGGATCGTTGAGCACTGGTGGCAGAGTACTGGCTACTCGCGCCGACTTGGCGAAGATCAGCTTGACGAATCCAGTGTGCACGGAGGTCGACGAGAAGATCGCTTTATCCAGACGAGTGGAGAAGCACTGGCGCTTGATCGGATGGGGACAAATTTGCGGGGGACAAACAATAGACCCTATTCTGGATCGGAAATAATGGCGAAACTTTGGGATCTCGCTTCCCTCAGTACCATTATTTCCACAATTTGTTCACATAGCCGTTGGCGTCGTGTACGAAATATTTGTAATAAAAATTTTAAGCTAATTCTGTCAAGATAAACATTCATTCGATAACGCTATAATCCAAGTCGAGTCACAGCCTCTCGTACACTTGCCGCGTCCTGTGTGCAGAAGTTATTACAAAATCGAGGCGTATGAGGTGACGGTCAGATTCGAAATTTGGATTCTTTAATTACAAATCGATCATTCTCACACGAAGCAACACATCACTTTATAGAGAATAATCGAATCTTGATTTCTCTCAGTTATCTGAGGATTTTAGTATATAATTTTTTTTGCGTGACTGGCTTACTGTTCACTGTCCAACCCCTATCCTAAAGGGCAGTGAGCGTAAACGTGATAGTCAATATATGCATATAACTCCTAAATAGGAGGGCCAGAAAGATTTCTATTAGGACCTCCCTTATATATAATTTACGGTAATTTCTAATTTAAAATCTATATGTGGGATGCGAGATCGAATTCGAGATCCGTCAATTACACGGCTGTCGCTCTCGCACGGAGTCGCACGGCAGACTTTCTAATGTTCCATGATCTTAATTAAATACAGAAATTATTAGATAAATATCAAAGTTTAGTAGTGCGATTAAAAAGAATAATATTGTAGCAGTGTCAATTTCAAAGTATGATAACAGATTTCTGCATATTGTCGAAAATTTATATTTTTGATGTTTCATGTTTGTTTTCTTTTGTGATCGTAAAGCCCATGGCACATAGAAAAACGTAAAGCACTAAGCAATTCGGCCAATCACAGTAGAAAACGTAAGGCAATAATCTTACACGTTTTCTACTGTGACTGGCCAGTTTATTTACTGCTTACGTCTTATTGTTTTTCTATGTACCATGGGCTTGAGACTTGTCGAGTTGACCGCGAGCATGACTCTTGTCTAGGTGATCGCGAGGTATCCGCGATCGAGGAGATCGCAATTAAAGTAATTTGAAATGAGCAAAACGTAACATGGAGTCAGAAAACGAGAAACCGTCAGATGTGGATATGGTGCTACACGTCGTCGACGAGGCGCAGAAAGAAAAAATGTTCATCAACATGAAGGGCGTAGAACAGATAGCATTGGAGGTTTCATTCTTTATTTTTTCTTTGAAAATTTCTAGTAATTTATGATATTTCGACAGTTTAATTGCAAAATGCTTAAGAGAGTGAAAAAGTTTAAAGGGTTAGATTATTTTTCAGATGCGCGTTTCGAAGTTTGATTCATGATTATTTTTATTTCTTTTCAAAAAATGAGAGAATAGTGACATCGAACGAAAAGTGAAAAACATGTTTCTTTCTCGTACGAAATTGTTCTTTCTAATACAAAGCATATGAAAATAATATATCCGGCAGCTGCAATGTGAAATACAGTTTATGTACATCTCGTTATATATCCATATATTCAGCAAAAATTTTTTTTATTGTGACTCAAACCTGCCGACCTGCCGACTTGATTTTTCACTGTTGACACGCGATATTTCAAAATTATTTCGTAGAATAAAATTTAGCACTCTCTCCTTCAGAATTTTGCAATTGTAAAAGTATGCTGCTATAAAATGACATCTCAATCAATTTGCACAGGTGATGACTTATATCGTTCGCAATATCGAAAATTTCAATTTCGGTGAGGTCGCTCTTAACTACGTGCGATTGTCATCCGAATATCATCCCGAAAGGTACGACAGCAGAGCGGCGGATTGGCTATTCGTGTTGAACACATTGAATTTTTCAACCTGGGTTCCAAATAATGCACAGGAATGGAAAGTTAACGGATTAACTGGTTACATGGCAGTAGCGGCTGCTATTAAAAGGGCTATTGACGTGAATACATTTATTCAATTTTATTCTACAAATACTGTGCTGTTCGTCTAACGTCTCAATATATCATTAATATAATTTAACATATTAAAACTGATCGTTTATTGTTCTGTACGATGTGATACTTGTCTTCTAACACTAACAGCGTAACGTTGATTACCTCCGTTAGCAAAATTCTCATCGGTTGACAATTTCTTTTTCCAACAAATCTCCAATAACGATGGGTCTATTGGTCTTATTTTATCAAGAGACATGATCTCTTGATAAAGTGTCTCACGCCAAAGTATTATGATTTGTCACGCAATCTGTTTCAATCTGTGTTACATTCTGACATTTATCACTCGTACCTACCTATATTATTTGAAATAGTAATTTTTATTAAAGTTTGAAGCATCAAAATGCACAATGTAAATTAAAAATCTCAACTTTTCGTACTTTGTATTTTGTTCATGACTTTCGACGAAAGATTTACTGAATTTTGCGAATTACTTTTTCCTTGAATTTTTCTTTCTGTTCTACGAAATATAAAAAAAAACATTTAACGTAAAATGTTCTTAAAATTAATTAAAAAATATGCATTTACCACATCGTTTTTAAAGTATTTCTTGCAGCAAATGAGCATCCTCCCATCTGGTAAGCGCCTCTTCATGTAACAGTTTGTATATAGTTTCGCATCGTCCAAAAGTTCTGCGCAAAAGTACATTATAATAAAATTAAATCCTTTGATTTATTCAAACGATTGGACGATTCATAATTGAGAACTATATAATTAATTGAAAATGTAACATATTTCTTAATTCTTCTCTCATATAGCATTACTTTTCATTCTTGCGGTCTCTTTATTAATTCTGTTATTATAATTCTCTATAAATTTTTCACGGCGAGCATCTATGCGTTGCAATAACACTTTTTGTTTCGCAATTTCCTTTTCCTGGAACCGCTGCTTTTTTCTCCAACTGAAATTCGTCAATGCAGATTTTTTTTCCGGATTATTCTGCTTGCTTACGAGAATTACTATTAAACTAAATCACTACTTATACGTCGAAAATATCGCGTGACAAACTTTGTTTTCTATCTAAATGTATGACAAAATATATGTGCCTTTCTTCCATGGCCTTCTGCTTCTGTTGTGTGATTTCCATTAGTCGCTTCTCCCTGCCCTTCTTGCGCGCCTTGTCCTTCTTCCTCCAGTCCAACAGCGTATCGATCACTTTACGTCGCGTGATCTCCGTCGCAATTTTACATTTCTGCCGAATCTGCTCGACCCGCTCTTTACTCTTAATGTTTAACAGTCTTTGTTCTTCTCGTCTAACGAGTCTCAACAATTTCAATCTCCGCGCCGTCCTGCACGCTCGCTCCTTCAGCTCCCGAGTTTTCCGTTCCTCTTCTAGCAGCCGTTGTTGCGTGAGACGCTGTCTCAAGGTCACATATGTCTCTCTTTCTTTTAATCTGAATTTATAAGAAAAAAATGTATTCTATGTTAATAATAATAGTATACCTAAGATACCTAGTATACCTAATAGTATATCTAAGAAAAGAATATTGCAAAAGAAAAAGTGTTTAGAATGAAGATACATCCCTTGATTGCCTATGAAAGAAAAATTTCCAAATTTTTTGAATTAAAAATAATATTTTCCTCGCCACGTAACAATCGCGAATTGCATACCTTTCAGCTTCATTGCGCGCCTGCTCCTCGGCGAAGCGTAGGGCTCTCTTCTCGCCGAAGAGACCGTTTCTTTTCCTCAGCTCCCTATTGACACGGTCAGCGTGCACCTGCCTCAGGTACTTCCTGTACTCGTTGTAGTCGCGCAGTGTACACTTCACGTGCATGTCATCCGTGATAAGATCGGCTTTCAGTAGACGCTTCCGATTAATCGGCCTGTAGAAGAACTCGAGCAGATGCTCGTCGTGCAGGGGTTCGTAAGGGAACTTGGTCTCGTGGCAGTAAGGGTCGCTCAGGTCAAACTCCAATTTTTGTCCCCACAATTTCTTCCCCACTTTGCGTCGCACTAAGCTGTAAGCGCCCTTCGGTCCAGGTATCATGGGTATCTTATGTTCCAGGGGCATCATCTTCCACCCCGGTAGACCGAATTTGGGCACGGCGTCTTTCGGCTTGGAAACCGTCTCGGCAAGCCGTTCTATATCCCTGTTCCAATGAATAATCCTTAATTCACAAGTCTATTATCTTTTTTGCATGTTTGTATATATTATATTTTTTATACATTTATAAATTATAAGTATTTAAAAAAGTAGGAATTGAAGAAATATATTAATAAAAAAATAATATTTAAACTAGAGAAGTTTTACAAATTCATCTGACAGAATCGACAAGAGAGATGAACCAGTCACTTAATATTAATATTTTTAATTTCATGTATCAAAAGTCTTAATTTTAAAGTTGTCCTTAAAATACAAATTAATCTATTTAAATTTAAACTATCCACTCTGTCCAAATTACAAATTAAAACAGGATGTAAATCTTTGTTAACCTTAATTAATTTGTATAATTAATTTAATTAATTTGTTAATTTAATTTGGTAGCATAATTTGAAATTTTGCATTTAAAATATTAAATACAAATATTTAATATTTCATTGCATAGGTTAAGTTCCACATATACATATAAAAAAATAATACTTACGTAATTCTTTTAATTCTTATCATTGTGCGCGTTGATTTATGAGGTACGATATATGTGATTTACGTCGTTAATTTAGAACATAATATATATTAGTCCCATTTCTCACAGCATAATTGAATTTATAATAGTGTATAAAATTATAGATATTGCAATGTCGCGCACGTATGCAAACTCTTTGTCGCGTTTTCCTTCACTTGTTTGATAAGATAAACCATTCAAAAATTACGATATTTTCATATATCATTATGTATATCATTAAAATTTTTATTATTGTAATATCTATTATATAAAGTATTTAGATGATTAATAATTAATTTATTAAATTAATCAATTAATAATTTGTATATATTTATTTATTTGTGTGTGTGTATGTTTATTTCTATGTGAGTGCATGCAAAGTAGATTTAATATATCTTTGAAAATTTGATAAATTATGTTCTGTCAATAATTTTATTGATTGATTGATAAAAATCGTTTTTTGTATGACTGGTACGATTACTGCAATAGTGTGCATAAACTGTGTTAAATTCCGTTTTCATATTCTGTCTTGTTATGTTACATTGGTTTTTTTCTATCGATCATTTATCTAAACAACTGTAACTTTTTCTTATTATTATTATTTTTTTTAAACTTAACGTGTAATATTTTACGACAGGATGGAAAGCCAATATGGGATCCTAAGTTTTATACAAAGCTAACTGTAGACGAAATGAAATTCATTTTCCGAGGTGATGACAACAATGACATGCCAGGCACACATGAAAAATTAAAAATTTTACACGCAGTTGGAAATACTCTGTTAGATTGTTATAAAGGTATAAATTATATCACATGACAAAATTTTATATGTGCAAAAATGTATTTGTTCTCTCATATCTTTACATATACACAAATAGCATTTTTGCAGTTCATTCGATATACCTATATGCATAACTCGTTCAAGACCTTCCTTCTATTTTCTACGAGGGAAGAAAATGTTCTTCGCTGCAATCACTAAAGTATGGTCAGATATTTTAAGTATACAAATATCTGCCCATATATATTCAATATATGCAATTTATATTTTGCATAAAAGAATTATATTTCATATTATGAGTGTAAAATATTAAAGTGGAGAATAGAATTAGACCTTTTTGTCGAGAAATAGACATTGTCGCAAAAAATAAAAGGAAAAGAAACAATATAAATTGACCTGTGACTTGAAATCAATATGTCTCAAGTTTTATTCTCGATTACCGGATAATTCAAAATAAGTCGAGGATCTTGATGGATCATATTGGAAAAATATCTACTTTTAATTGACAAATTTCTTAAATATATATTTAATTGATGAGGATAATGAAATTTTATTTTATAGGTACTTTCGCGGAATGTATCAAATCATGTAATCGCGATGCCTTAATGTTGATGATCACAATTCACAATAACTTCGGAGTGTATCGTGACGTGGTATATTATGACGAAGAGTCAGGTAATTATCGCCAATTAATACGATGATGTAGTATGCGATTTTATAGACAGGTTCTGAAACTAAAATAATATCATAACATTAGATTTGTCTGTAATTTCGGGCAATATATTAGAGGATTGATAAATTTTAAGTTAAAATATTTAATAGATATATTTATGGATATATATTTAATCATCGAAACAAGAATGCTTTTGTGCTGCCATGGTGAATCAGTTCAATTGCCATGTAGGAACGCGAGGTTTGAATAGGATAAAAAAACCGTCTTTAACACAAAATTTCCTAAATACATCTTCTATGTTGAATGATGAATGCTATACATATAATGTTGCATACAATCTCTGTGAACAATTAATTAAAATAATACATCATTTGTTATGTACTGTAATTATAGATTCGCATTATAATGCACTTTTCTTAAACTACCTTTCAGTTTCATTGTACACGAAGGCTTGGACATTGGTAGCTGACATAAGGGCCTTCTATAGCACGGAACATGAACTTGGTATTGAATTGACCATGAGGAAATGTTCTACAATGTTTGTCGATTATCGTATTCCTCAAGTTCTCAATCATTTTAACGCTCTTGTTTTTAAAAAAAATTTGTTGAAAGAAGAGAGTAAGGCTTTTATCATTTTTCTCATCGAGTAATCCTCTATTTCTCTATAAAGTTCCACTCTGAAACACTACCTACATTAATGTAATAATACGTTAATATTTTTTTCTTACTTATTAATACTACATTGTATCTAATTCATAAAAATTACATCAAAAATTCATAAAAATTACAATATCCTTTCGATGGATATAATGCCTAAGAAATACCATACATAGCAATAAATTTGGATTTACATTGCAGAACACAAATAATCATTTTTTGCGAAAAATCTATCTGTTTCTGTCGTTTCTTTAGAAGAAACTTTTCTGAAGAAGAGAATTTATTCAGATTTATATTGATTTCTCTTTAATTTTATCTTTAAACATTTTTACAAACGTTTTGATGTTATATTTATTTTATTTACTTTTTATTTTTCACGTACAGTATTGATTACAATATTTCTCATAAAAGTTTGCACACGTAGGGGAATTCTCGTTAAGAGATACTTTTTCGCCAAATTATTAATTAATTTTTGTATGGAGGATTTATCTTATTTATAGCAAAACTTACTTGTGTTTTCTTATAGATGAAATATTGAAGCATGGAAGCAAAGAGGAACTAGAAATACGTTGTTGTTCATGCATGATAATAAAATACGTGCAACAGTTACTGATGGAGAGGTGCGAAAAGTACGTGAAAAGATATTTACCCGAAACACTATTACCAAAATTCGATTACATGTGTCTGATTGACAATTTTCTATGGGATTATCGACAAATGTACGATGAGCAATTGAAAAAAAGCGTATTATACAAAACCTACACTCTGCAATATTAAAACAATTTGTATGATCACAAATTCGAATGAATATTTTTCCTCACGTTTTATTCATTTATGTCATGACATATTTTTAAAATAATAGAGAAGAAATGTAACAAGGTTGATTTTGATTTCATATCTCTCGATTGAGACTGATTTAAAAAAAAAAGATTCTGATATGAAAGAAATTATTCGTAGACAAACATTTAATCGACAATTGTATTATTATTATAGATACATATTATTTTTCCTAATATATTATTACTTAGTACGTTATTGTAAATATAATGGTACGAATTCAAAACGCGCCGTTATCGATAAGTGCGCACTTTAATCTCTGAATTTGTATAACATACGTAAAGTAAATTATAGTATGTTAGAACTCTAACATCGTTTAATTGCCAGCGCGTTCTGAATACCAGCCAATAATTATATGTAATTCAAAATTTTCAAATTTTAATTCTTTTGTTCTAATTTCTATAAAATCTTGTATAAAAAATTTTAATATTAATTTTTATGCTTGTTACGCATCACAGCAAATGTGGACAATGCATCCTTCCGATTCGAAATCAAAGTGTCCTTATTTTCAATTGTATGATTAATTAAAATTTAATTTTAACAGCAAAATATTCTAATTTGTTTTAATCTAAAACGTGATGTATTAAATAACCTAGTCCTAAATTGAAATTAATATATTTAAAATTATTACTTCTTTTGATTTGTAACGTGAAAGCTTAATTTTTTCGATATTTTTAAAAACACGGTGTGATATTATTCCCTACGAATAATAACCTAACATTATATTCTTTTTTGCAACTAAAGCCTCAAAGCATATAGAATAATATAGAAAAAGCTAACATAATATAATGTCAGAGGGAGCAACCTCCTTCTACTGTGAAGAATTTCGTGTTTATTTATGTTTTCTTTGGAATCGCGTATAACCGTAGTCGAAGTAATCGCAGTCAGTTCGAAACAGTCGGTTTAACGTGTCACATCGAAAATGTCTAATATGTCTTCTATAATTCCGATCACTTGTCCACAAGAGGAAGAAGTTGTTAAAGAATCCAAATACGTGCACATCGATCAGGACGGCGTAATTAAATTAGCTTCAGAGGTTTGTTTCTCAGTTTTCTATTTTAAAAAATTTCAAGACAAATGGTAACGTTTTAATTGTTTAACTTTAGTTTTGAAAGTGAGAGAAAGAGAGACAGAAAAAGAGAGAATTTAATTATATCGATTAAATGTATAATTTCGAAATTTGGTTTCATTCGACTGTCACGATGTAATTTTATGAGAAGAGTAAAGTGAAATCGATGTATTTAAATTTTATTTTGCATGGATTTTCCGAATAAAATTGATGATATACTTTCAATAAGTAATAATTACAAATAACGAAATGAAGTAGGAAGGAGGATATGATCGTATGTGACCTTCCTATTATATTTAAAAATTAAATATCTCATAGAGACAAGATCCATAAAAAATTTTACGTTTAGTTCTCTATTTAACTTTATATATAATTATTACTTCAGTATTCAGCCAATATTTTTAGATCTTTTGCGACTCAAAAGTGAAAATAGTGCAAATAGCGAAAAATCTCACATTTCATACTGCCAAATAGTACTGCATGTTACAATACTTGAAATATAAATTGTTCTATTAAATAAAATTAAGCTGTTTTTTTTTAAATTTTGTTAAAACAAATATTATAAAATTATGTATTTTTTGTAGGTGATAGAGGATGTGATAAAGGAAAGTATAAAAGATAAAGGTCTCCAAGTTAAAAAAAAATTTGAAAGACATAAATATTTTCCTGAACGTCTTGAGCCGACAAGCGCAGATTGGATATTTTTAATAAACACGTTAAATTTCTCACTTTTTGCTTCAAATTCTCCTAAAAAATGGACAGTAAATGGTGAAGAAGGATACTCAGCGTTGTGTTATGCCATCAAAAGGGCAATTAAAGTAAATATAATAATTATTTGCTAACATTTCTTTTATTTTAAGTGATATTAACACATTAATATATCGTTTTATAAGAGTTTCAATATGTTCTGATAAACTGTTAATATAATTTAACTTCTTACTAGAAATTGTTTCTACTTTTGCTAATTAACATGAATATTTTTTTACATATTTAACTGATATCTGACCAACTTTTTTGTTTTATATTGATAATGAAAATGTTCCAATAAAAGTCGAAATACTTAAGTCCGTTTACTTGTCATAATAATTATCAGAATAATATTAAGCATTAAAACTTTAAAATCTTGCTCGGGTCCTAAGTAATATAAATAGTGTATTATAACACAATTATAAAGGTTTATCAGAAAAATTAGTTGCGTTACAAATTATTATTTATTATCTTAAACTTGATTTAATAGAATATACTATTTCTAATAATAATTCAGTATTATTGTGTGTTAACCATAAAAAAATGCAAAATAAAAATACATTGCAGATATAAATCGTAATAAGAAAAGTCAAATAATAATAATTAATGTAATTTATTATTATTCAAATCTAAAATAATAAATAAAAATTTGTAGCGCAACTTATTTTTCAGATAAATTATTCAAAATCGTGTTAATTACATTATTTATATTCTTGTATTATTTATATCTTTCTTTATAATATATAATTCTCATAATATATATCATTTTTGCAATAGGAACAGTGTATACCATTATATGATCCTTATTATTACGCAAGATTGAGAAAAAGGGATATAAAAAAAATTTTTATAGGTGACGAAAGAACTACCTGTATTCCTTTTTTAGAGAAAAGAGTTAAGATTTTACGTGACGTTGGAAATACATTAATAAACAAATTTAATGGTATTTATAATCAGAAAAATATTATAAGCAGAATAAAGAAAAATACGGTTTCTAAATACTTACACGTGTAATTTCGCAACATTTTTACTTAACATATATAATTATGGGTTGATGTATATTCTTTAAGAGTCTTTCGCTAAAATTATTTAAAAAATGTTATCACACGTAATAATATCTTGTAATAATATCTTATAAATTAAAAGATAATGGTAAAATTGAAATAAAATTATAAAAGAAATTATAAGTCTGCTACAAGATAGATACTGTGGAGAAAGAATAGTAAGAAAAAAATATTGCTGTAAATTCTTATATATTCTACAGAAGCAATCAATATTTTTAAATTTCATTGTCCACTGTTGTACTGATTAACAGTATCTATAAAATTAACGGTTCTGAATGACTGATGTAATGAAAAGAACTATGAAAGATTAATATACATAAATTGTAAGTAAGATAATAATGTTAAGATTTCCTTTCATCACAGGTACTTTTCGAACTTGTTTGAGAAAATGCGGATTTGATTCAAACCTTTTGATGGATTTGCTTACTAATGAATTTGCATACTATCGCGATGAGGTAGATTATTACGGAAAGAAAGGTAATTATTGAGATCAATATATATGCGGTATTACAATTTCAAAAGACAACACTATACTGTTAATTCAGTATGTTTGTGTATATATTTTGACAGAATTTTATTGTAAGTTAATATATTTTGCGTTTAGATTACATATTTGATTATAAATCACAATTAGTATGTCTTATTGTATCGTGTGACAATTACATTATCCTATATGAGACCGTGAGATGATTCTTAATAATTTAATAGAAGGGATTAATATCTGATATAGATTATGTCGATAATTGATATATAAATGTGCTCATAATACTCTCATTCCCAGTGAGAAATAATCATCAATTAGACGTCAAATTGATATCGAAATCATCGTATCGATGTCGATTCAACATCAATTTGATGAGTCATTTCTCGCTGGGGTAATGTTCAAATAACATATGTCATTAGATATAATTTAATTTATTAATAAATCTCTTTAACGACTTTCTAGTTTGTTTGAATACGAAAGCTAAGATACTAATAAATGATCTTGCGGCTTATTACGATTATATAATAAAGTTTCAAACATGTGAGATGTGTAAGGAAGACGTCTACGATATTTGCTGATCGCCGTTTTCTTCAAGTTTTCAACTATTTTAATGTTCTTCGTTACGATGAAGAATTCAGAAGAAGATTAGTAGACCGTAAGACATTTTTCATGAACAGTAAATGCTATATTTTTCATAGAATAGGATATCCTATTTTATATATTATACATTGTGATAATTGAAACTAAAATTTAAAACTTTTCCATAATATGCACACCGTCTAAGTTTATAACGTTACATAGCACTAAATTTAGAATTTGAAAACTAACATTCTTCGCAAAAGGTGTATAGATTTTCTCTATCCTACCTACTTTATGATTTATTTAAATAAAAGTTTATAATTTCACGCAAATCTATCGCATTAATATGACAGTTTGCATATTGCATAATTGTTTCTCTGTTAGAAACATTCATTTCATTTGAATGAATTTCTATGTAGATTGTAGATAATTGCTGTGTTGTCAGTGACTTATTGTGATTAAAATTATATTGTTCCTCACGCAGAGTGCAGAGTAACTGACCCGGATATAGAGGAACTGGAGATACGAAGTTGTTCGATTGTTGCGATTAAAAGGGTGTGCGAAGAAGTGCAGAAAATGCTCGTAAATTCAACGAAAGATGAAATCGGCGACGTAACACGATTGAACATTCGGACAGTGGTTGATAATTTTCTATTTTCATTTGCTGACTCACATTCGTCCCTTGCTTCGTCCTTTACAAATTATGATATACCGTTCTACAATATTAGGACCGTATTTTATTAAAACTATATTGCCATTATTAACAAATGACTTATGTATGCAAAATTGCATACGTCCTAATAGTGAAAGTATACTTTTGAGGAATAATACATATTTCATTATCACGCCTTCGTATAATAACTTAAAATAAGATAATATCGATTTTTATCATATTAAATAGCAGATTTTTTCTTTGAAATCAATATACATAAAAATGGCTATGATACAATTAAATACGATTTACGAATACATGCTTGCTACATATTGATTTATTATTATGACTATTATAACGACTAGGTCTGTACATTGTTAAAACTATATTGCCATTATTAACGAATGATTTATGTATGCAAAATTGCATATGTCCTTTGTGTGGAAGTATTCTTTTGGGGAATAATAGATATTTCATTATTACGTTTTCGTGTAATAACTTAAATCAAGGCAATATCGATTTTTATCTTATTAAATGGCAGACTTCTTTTTTGAAATCAATATACATAAAAATGTTCAATATTATAATACAATTAAATACGATTTAGGAATATTTACTTACTACGCATTTACTTATCACTCAGGGAGATGTTTCGCTGTTTCAGCTAGGATTTTAAATATTATACTTAAATTATATCGCTGTTTTTTGTATCTGCTAAAAAATTGTCCGTCATGTACGGAGAATTTATAGCAGCAATATTCTAAGAATATATACAAAAAAACACAGATCTTATAACTAAATATGATTGGAGTCTGGAACTTTTTTGCTAAATTTGAAACTTTATAAAATTTAGCAAGAAAAATAGCAGCAAATAGTTCAGATATAATTTCTGTCTCTATTATCTATATTGATCAAACACAAAACATATATGATATCGCAGTGCTTACTAATCACTTATCCGTCTTAGCTAATTTTTTGTACCTAAGTAATTCTCGCTATAATTGCAAGATTACTTTTTTCAGTGATTATAAATTAACTAATTGTGATTTATTATTTTATGAGAACATAATTATATCATAAAATAATAAATAATATAGTAAATAAATAATTATTGTAAAATGATAGATAAGTAAACATGATTCCACAATTTAATATAAAACGAAACATGATAGTATTATTGATATGTAGATAATATGACATCGATAAAAAATTATCGTTATATAAGAAATATATTAACTAAATGTAAAATGTTTTACAATAAATCTGCTTTTATAAAAATATAAAGACAATATAAAGGTAAAATTAATGTGTATTGTTATATTATTTGAACCAACGAAACAAATCTTTTTAACAGTTATGCAATTAAGCATTAAAAAAATATACCAATTATTAAAAAAACCATTTCAAAAGAATGGGACAATTAGACATATTTGCAAGCGTTATAATTTTTGAAAGTAATCTTACCATCAGGATGTTTACAGAAATTTTGTAAGAAAAATTCCCGAATCTCGAATTCATCGCAAGAACAAAAAAGAGAAGAACATCCCAGATAACGTGTTAGACAGAAGTGCGTGTCAATCCTATTTTTTTTAAAAGTTCTAAATATAAAATTCTTTTGAAGCTGTAATGAAAATGAACTCGGAATTGATGACGTACAAATGCATTTTTTTTCTAACTCTCTGTGCTATCTGGGACTGTACTTTTCACGTTGAACTTCCCACAGCTTCTCAAATCATCCTTACGTTTTCATCCTGTCATCCTCCCAATCCTTCCAAATTGTAAGTCAAACGCGGGTCGCGCTCGCGGTTCCGTGCGGCTCCGAGTGTAGACGGTGTAACACGATGGCGCGCACGGGCGCACGGGAACCGGGGGCGGAAGTGCAGCTGCGGACACTCGTCAGTGCGCCGTTACGGTGGTGATCGACGGGCGCGCGTGAATGACGGCGCGCGTAAACGGGGGGGGAGTAATCATCATGTTGTCGCGCTCGTTCTCGGTCGCGGTCGCGAGGACCGCCGTCCCGTCGAGGCGGTCGACGTCGGTCGACGTTCCGGAACGCCTGGCGAGGCACGACGAGATGTAACGCGGTGCGTCACGAGATGACGCGAGCCCCTGTGCCTACGGTGCCGCGGCTGACGGCGCGGGACGTCGCCAAGCGCGCGCGAGAATGTGTCCGTCGAGGAGGACGACGGTGAGGGGACCGACGTTGGACGTGAGTTCTCTCTAACCCCGTCCCGAAAAAACAACGGCCCGCGACATCTCGACGATCTCGCGAATCTCAAAGGGGTAGATATTCGGAGTCGGTTAGGTTAGGTGGGACGCGCGGCGGAATCGAAATTCGTTTCGAATATTCGAATGTCGAGATGCAGTTTCCTCCCGCGGCAAAGAAATGTCGATGCGCGTTGGATAATTTTCATTTATTTCGCACGTTGTATCACGAGGTAACGTGACGCTAACTATGGTGGATGACAATCTTGAACCAAGAGACGGTGGTCAGTGGTCTTGGAACGATTTTTCATTTTTCAATTTAAAATTTAAAAAACCGCGAATAATTTTTTATTGTGTTCTACTTGTTTTGCGCGCCGTCTCTATTACGGCTGTAAAAAAAAAGACTGAAAAAATTCGATCCGGGGATTTGCCTATATTGGAATAATTAATTATTTTATTATTGGAATAATTAGTAATTATTACGCAAATTCGGACGAGTTCAGCCAATCTATTCGAATCTGGTTTTTTCATGTCAATTAACGTCCGGATTGCCCACTACGAGAACAGAGGGAACGGAACAGAAAGCTAATTTGTTGAATTAGCTAAACTTTATTTTACTGCTTCTGCTTCTTCCATTAAATCTGTTCTCTCCACTGGAAAATATCATTACAGACAAAAGAAGTTATCAATTCAATTTATGTTCAAAAGTGGGTAAATCAATTAGTTTTTTTAAATCAAAATCGAATTAAATTTAATTAAATTTGCTTTTCGTGTTTCCAAAGAGCTTCAGCATACATATTGGATTCGATCTTTTGGATATTGAGATTTCGATGGTACGGATAATTCGGACCACTTATTGGGATTATTTGATAATAATTATTTTAGGATATTTATAATCTTACTCTTCTATGTTCCCAGTAATTGTATTATCAAGTTGTACGAGATGTCCGATATATGTATAGCGAATAATTCTATAATAACTTCGTCGCGTTTTGAAACACGATGTAAATCGTTATTTGTAAATCATTTTACGAAAATTTAATTGGCGGGAATTTAATTTATACAGGTGATGCGCCATATAACTTGGAATTACGAGGATGGCACCATCTACGATATTTCGAACAAGTTCGTGCGATACACGACCGTATTTCATCCAGACTATTACGATGCGAGAGCGGCGGATTGGCTGTTCGTGTTATACACGTTGTACTTTTCGCTCTGAAGCCGGAGGGTGCTAATGGAAAATTGTTCAGTTTAATGGATTCTCTACGCATTGAGTGTTGCGAAAGGGCCATTAATGTGAGTACCTCAATTTTAAGCGATATTTATAAAAGTTTACAATGTCTTTTATCGTCGTATCGATCCTGGATATCAATCTGGAATGTTACGGACATAATTTACCACGTCGCTCAGCGTTGATTTATTGATGCAATGGCACTATCTTTTGATATTAACATCATATTATAACGTATTAAGATTCTTTGTCTCCCTTAAAATGACTTTCGTACACGTGTCACCATCGATTTACATTTCTTAATTTCTTTTTCGACTTATGAGTCCATTACTAACCGATCCTTGCGTGCCATTTTACCTCGTCACGATTTGTGTTTATAATTACACAGAATAATATATTTCACAACTATCACAATTTTATTTAGAGCGTATAACTTAGAGTCCGTTATGAAAACGATCATTTTGATAATTTTCGAATTACAAACGATCGAAGTTGGTCAACAGTATCACGTAGAATCCACGCGTTTAAGCCAACTGTATCACGTAGAATTCACGCGTTTAAGCCCGCTATTGATATAAATGATTATCTGTAAACAATTCCTTTTTATATGGCAATAAATTTATTTATCGTTTGTTTATTATGCGCGCGCGGATTAAATCGGAAGTTTAAAATAAAGACGATTAAATTCGAATTTATTTTCGTCGCAATATTAATAATAATCGGAAATAATATTCTTTCTTTCTCGATAATTTATTTATTTAATTACAATGAACATGTCTTTATTTTTGTAATAATATACAAAACGCCCGCAAAATCTTAAATTATGTTATGAAATAATGGTTTCTTTCGATTGGCAATCCGCTTTTTGACTCTGCAGCACAACACGATTAAGTATTTATTGTAACAATTATACTCACTTCAATTTAAATATGACTTTAATTTTGCAAAAGATTAAAATTTAATAATATGTACATATTTTTAGAAAATACATTCTCATTTTTTCAATAACTTTTTTTATACTTAACAATATTTTTTGGAAATAACGCTTTTTAAAATATAAATCAAAGCAGAAAAAAGGTTAACTTGTCTCTTATCTCGAACACGATGTTCGCAACGCTTTCTTTGGCTATCAACGTGTCGTTTCGCGATGCCATTTGGCACAAATTTCATTACATCTCTAATGTAAAGCTATCTTCCTGTTATCGCTCGCGGCGAGAAAAATTTATTTACTCTACCATATAACATACAACGCCTCAAAATTCAATTTACACTAAGGAACTATTATATCTTTCGATGCAGACATTAACATATCCTTGCCGCTCGCAAGGATAGCAACGCTGGCGACTTTGTGTGTGTGTATATATAAATGCAAATTAACTCTTAATTAAGTAGTAATTAACTTCTTTTATAAATGCTGTCTCCAAAGTGTAACGTTCGACTCGACTTTGCATGAAGTCATAGTTCCCACTCGGGATTTCCACTCGGTTTAAAAATGCGCAAAATCCTACGCACATAAATCATTTACAAATATACAAAATCGATCGCGACGAATGTGCGAATATCGACGATAAACCTCTTGACTTTAAAGCGATTTCTCACCGTAACTCTAATAACTATTATTTGCCATTGAACCCCGCAATAATCAGGAGACGTGGTAACGGCTCCCACCAAGTTATTATATTTACATTACTTAGCTATTTCTTCAAATTAACTCCTTGACTTGATTTTATCGTATAAATTCATACTGACAATGAGTTTTCTTACGATATATTTTACGCGCGATATATTTCCAATTTATATTTTTTATATACATACAAAATTGATTTCACGACCAAATTAATTTTCTATTCTATCTGTCTCGTATATAAAAATTAGAATACCGCAACGATTAGGCATTTATCGGAATACTGTTTAATTTTTTTTCTGCATTTGCTCCCAAAATATAATGTTCGATTTGAGCTTGCCGGGCGAGATCACGGCGATGTCGTTGCCCTCTTGTTTTGATCGCACGACTTCCGTTCGGTTCGTCGCTCGCTCTTCTATCAGCGACCGGCTGACGGGCGGCGACGTCAACTTTCCAGGCGTTTGACGCAGCCCCTCGCGAAATTCCTTCGAAAGAGATCTGGCCGTCAAGCTGTGCATCTGCCTGGGTGTCTCGACTATCTGTATCTCGGGGATGGACGATCTGTCCTTGGCGTCATCGATTTTCACCACCTGCGAGACAGGAAATCGATTTGACCCAATGTACAAATTATTAGTCTATGATGCCTATTACAAGTGCATTTCTAAAGCTTCTAAAATACAAAAATATTGATAAATTTAATTTAATTTTATTATTGATAAATTTTGAAAGTATTTATATTACGAATACATTATTCCAATAAATATTATTAATCTGATATATGACTAATATATAACGTCGTTTTTTTTTTAGGATCGTACTATACTTCAACTTAATTTAATAAAACGTTTAGTTATAGATAACGTGATCGAAAAAACTTATATGATAAATTAAGCATTCGGAGCAAGAGTGAAGTCAGAGCATTATAGTTTACAATCTTTCTCATCTGAATTTATATATTTAATCAAATTCGGATAAATGTTTTACTTAAAAATTTTCTACCTATGAATTTTCCTATTTCTAAAATAAATCCATCTATCTATAGTTACAATATTTATCCATCTATAAGTCTTATTTATTTTTGTGGACGCATATCATTCTTGTTCCGAACAAATGCGAGAGATTCGAATCCAGGGTCAAACTGAAATATAACAGAAATGAAGTGGCTATTATAGTAGTTACTGAAGCTCTATTTACTTTCGCGGGCACGGCAGTCGCTATTTCGGAGGTCTGCCGTCTGCCGAACGCTTCCGCGAGTCTTTTCACCGAGGGCAACACCCGCAGCTCTTCGTCGGTCTCCCGAGACTGAGTCTTGGTCCTGATATATATAGCCTCGAAAGTACGGTCGACGTCGGACGAGATTTCGTCGGAATCGTTCAGCAGTGAGACGTCGTCCTCGACGATCGCGTCGCGTTCCTCCGTCGTTGCGAGATCCAGCAGATTCCTCGCGGTCAGCTCGTCCTGAGTGTCGTTCACGTAGACCGGATTCGCGTAATAGCACACGTCGTCGGCGACGTTCGGCAACGACTTGGCGGACATTAGCCGCGAGTTCGTCTCCTCGACCTCGTCCCGCAGCTCGTTGAGCCCCCTCGAGCTCTTGGCGAAATCCTTGCAGCCGCCGAGCGATCTCGGCGCGTCGAGCAGCGTGTGAAGGTACGCTTTGTACGCGCGTCTCGTCAAGTTTGATTTCTCGTTGTTCCGCAACGCTGGCTGATCCAGTTGATTGTTGGAGTGTGCGCGACGCAGGCCGTCCTGGTAGCCGAAGGAGCTCAGGTCCAGCCTGTTCACCATTCTCTGTTGCCGGACGGGCTTCTGATCCGAGAACTCGTTCTCGAAACCGTACGCCTTCAGGTCGATCCTGCGCACCTTCGTACGCTCCTTGTCGTCCTTGCGCTCGACCTCGACACCCTGCTGCTCCTGATTGTTCAGCTTGGCGTTAATCTCGTTCTTGCTGTTTTTCCTCTGATCCTCCAGAATGTCGTCCGTGCGGCTCGTCCACGTCGTCTCATCGGGCGCGTCGTCTTTCTCGCCTCTGACTTTCTGACGGTCGCCGTTGTCGACGGGAGCACGCGAATTCACGGCGCGATTATCCGTTTCGGGACTAATTACCTCGGCGTTGTTCCTGCGCCACGAGGCCGGCGTATCCTCTTTGTCCTCTTGCAGGACCGAAACATCGTCGTCGGTCTCCTTGGGCGTAGGTTCTTCTTCCTGGAACACATGAAGAATCGACTGATGTTAACGGTCTAAGGCCACTCTAAGGTCTAGGATTTGTTCGAAGACTGTATCATTCACGTCATGTATCTCGAATTTTGTTATTCCTTCTTTCATTTATTCTTGCATGCTACGAAGAGTCACAGAATTCCTGTTTCCTTCTCCTTTTGTCTTTTCTTCTCTCCCTCGTGAAACTGTCATACGATTAATATTATTGGCTGATATAATATTGACAATATTCTGTAATTTAATTTTAATTTTTTAGTAATTACAGCAATGATATTAGTAAGAGAATTTTTTAAATATTAATATTAATTAATGCGATCTTTAATGATCTGTAATATCAGCAACTTTAGAAGAAGTGACTGACAATAATTATTAATCATATGAACGTCTTTTGCTTAATACATACCAGTCGCGATTTTATTGATGGATCAAAACTTTTTCTTTTTTTTTCTTATAACAGTTTTCTTACAAGTTTGAACTCTCGATATCAAATACGTGAATTTGATAAAAAAATTTTTAGACTTTTTGAGTGTCACTTTGAGAAGAATATAACAATTTACTGCGCTATACATTTGAGAATACCGGAGTTTTAGATATTTCTTATTTGCACAAGTTTTAAATTTCGAAGAGTAGCAACATGGACTAATATGTTTTAAGCACAGTCATGCATTCGCTTTTGCAAATTGAATAAGCTGTTTGTATTAGTATCATCGTGCGGTCAAAAAACTTTCGTAATATATTGTGTAACCTATGTTGCACCTATATTAATTATGCAATGTTGTTCGTTAATGTGATTGTACATCAGTGTCTTTCGTGATTGATATTTTAAAGCGTATATATTTTTGAAACGATGAAATTTACGTGAATAAAACTATATATATATATATATATATATATATATATATATATATACATATATGTAATAACCTATAATATATTTAATAAATTTTCTATAATGTTAGTTTATTAGAGTTAGTATACATATTATTAGAGTTAGTATACATATTAATTATTAAAATTTTACAAACAACATGTAAGTGATGTACATGTTAATTGCTGTTTAGTTATTGCGGTTTAGCGACGTACAGCAACAAAAAAAAATTACGAGAAATATTAGGACCCACAAATCTGCAAACGTTTCGACCGATATAGATCCAATTATTTGTTAGTCATCACGTGCACATGTAAATAGGTGGTACTTACCGATTAAAATATTCTCTTTCGCAGCCCGTATTTGCGGAATCGATTCCATTGTGTTAACGCGCGAACCGAGTCTCTCACGAGTTACATCGAGAACGTGTAAATGCAAATTAGATTGCATTCTTTGTGCAATTTGTGCAAGCGTGCATTTCGAGCGGTAAATAATTCGGGTTCTATTGTCGATTGAAGATACGTCTTGGACTCACGCCTTCACTTTAAAAATGGACAGAAATGACACGTAGATATATGTCATATTTACTTAATGTATGCTAATTACACTTGATCTTTTTCCTTTAATTTTGAAATGTTTTGGGGTATGTCTTCAATTGCATGGAAGCTAAACTCGAAGGAAATTTATTTTGTAAAATAATCTATTTGTCTGATAATTTTAAATTATCTTATTAATATTATAATACATAATTACATCATTTACAATTTCTAAGGTAATTCTAAGGAAATTCGCAAGTTTTACAAGTAACATTCTCTAAAATTCTCCAAAATCATTAATCGTGTCCATAATCGTCATTTTCCATTACACTGAAAAAAATGAAAATCTAATTTAAAAGTCTTGCATTACTCCTTTGAGTATTGAGAGAAAATTAAGAGACATATTAGAATAAACAATATAATATAAATAATGTGTAGTTTAAATATTCTTTACTATTCATCAAAGAAATGTAAATTGGAATCACACTTGCGAATTTTTAGGAATAATTCTTGGATGTTAAAATTAATATCAAGTTGCAACCATCACCTATAAGTTTCATGCAAAAAATATGATCAATTTTTTTACTGTTTAATTAAATTAGTTAATTAGTTAATATTTTCGTATTAATAAATTAAAATAAATATTAATAAATTAAAATTAATATATATGTACAGATTTTTCCGTGTTAGGCAATAAATTTCCCGTCTTCAAGGATTTTAAGGTTTTTATATAGGGCAGACAATTTTAGGTTTCTATTTAACTATCAAATACATACAATTTACATGAAAAAATTTTTTGAAAAAAAAATTTCTAGATAATTTTTTCATGCAAATTACATCTAATTAAATTGGTAATTATATATATATATTTTTTAAAATACTTTCTATAAGATTATTTTGTATATTTTTCCATTCTACAATCGAACGGTAATGTAAATATTAATTCCGATTATAAAATCAATTATTAGGAATTTACTTGGGAATTTACATGCAAAAATTTATTTATTATATTAGTTTTACGTTTCGTTTTAAATTAAGAACGATCTTTCGTGTAAACAAAACTATCAAAAACAGGCAACTAATTAAAAATCTATTTAGGAACGGAAGGTCGGCATTATCGTGACACATATCGCACAGATTTTTATGCACCCGTATTTATTTGCCACTTGCAACTATAAATATAAACTTTCAATCGTGTTAATTCTATAGGTGTAGGACACAAGATATATTAGCGCATCGCATCATGGCACTCCTATCTCGAAGAATATGGCCACGGAATTACGGTATTGGCACGAATGCATTCGCATTCTCTCAGGTACATTATCGCACCGGAAAAAAAATACATTAACCACTATATAACATTATAACAATTATTAAATTATCCGTAATAAATTTTTATATTTTATAATCATTAATTGGATCCACCAATTATCGCTGCGGAAGAGCTCGCATTCTGAATTTCTAAGATTCGCGTCGTCTCAAAGCAGAATCTCTCGTCAAAGTAACATCTCGATTCCTCTTCGTTTTATTTGACAATGGATCTTACGATAATCAAGTCATCTTGGTAGCGTATTGTCTTCCACTTTTTCTTATCAATCGTGATAAAAAGGATTTTAGAAGAAAAAGAGAAATAGAATAAGAATTTATTTTGAGATATAATTGAAAGATAAGAAAGATATCTCTAGGATTATCTCTTTCCAAGTACTTATACTTAATATACTCCGTATTTCTCGCGATACTTCTTTATGGCAATCACGCCACAATTATTATCACGATACATCGTATCATCGTATACGTTTTCTTTATTTATCCTTTTTTTTTTATTCCACTCTCAAGTCGGTTTCTCCTTTCATCACCATATCGTGACGTCGCTCAAACTTCTCATACACAACTTCTTGCGTCGTTCCTTATCGTCGCTTTTCCCTTCTCGAGATTCCTTTGAGCTTTCCGGATCCGTTTCATTGTTCATAGTTATCGATTTCCCTAACTTTTCACTGTTACCGTCTTCAAGGACCTCTCGATGCCTTCGTGTTTCTTTACCTCGCGCCGTGACGTCGTTGAACACGCACGCTTTCCGCCTCCTCGAGACATCCTTCAGGAACTTGTTCATTATTACTTCGTCGGAGGCGCAATCGATCTCATCCTGCCACTCATCGTCCTCGTTCGGCAAGGACCAGAGGGAGGATGAATTCGTGTTCTTTTTACGAATCAGATTCCTACGTTTCATGGAGCTCGTCCTGAAAGCGCTCGTTCGATTTCGGCTGCGCCCAATTTGCGCGTGTCCCGCGGATATCCGATCGTTCGCGACGTCGTTTTTCTCGTCCTGCCAGTCGCTCTCCTCGAAAGCCGAGCTCGTCGAGTGCTCGAAACTAGCGAATCCCTCGAAACTCGTGGAACGCGCCAAATTTGACGACCGATCGCAATTTTCCGAATTGACGTTAGAATGTGATTCAGAAAGGTTCGCTGATTCTTGCATTTCGACGTTTTCAGCGGCGGGCGCAGCTTCCGACAGGATCGGTCTCAATCGGATCCTTCGATAGTGCGGAATCCTCCTGCCGTCGATCCTCCTGCTCCTCTTGATCCCGCCGAAGGTCTGAAACTTCATTCTCGCGAAATCCGCGCTGCGGTCCTCGTGCGGATCCTCCGGCGAGATCGGCTCGTCCTCGAGATCGTCGTCGGGATCCTCCGCCTTCGTCGGCCGGATTCTGATGCCACCGAACGTGTGGTACTTGTATCCGCCGGTGGTCCAGAACCTCCTGCCGCCGATCGACGATATCTGCCCGCTGTCGCCACCGGGATCGTTATCCGCCATCCGGTACAACCGTCGCCAGCGCTCGCGCTCGCTGCTCTCCGAGTCGCGCGAGCCGATCGAGCACATTCCGGAGTCGTGATCGCCCGGATCGCGATCGTCCCGATAGCCCGGCGATCCCGCGCGATTGTCGTACCGCGGTACTATCGGCTCCTCGCGATCGGCGCTACCCTCGCGATCGCCCTCCCAGGGCCGATTCCAGTTCACCGGTGATACTGACTTCCGAGGATCCGTGCCGACCTCCAGGACGCCCACCGCCTGCAGGACGCAGTTGTCCTCTTCCCCTTCGAAAGTAGCTCCTACATTCGGCTCCGCGAAATTCTCGGAGCCTCGATCGTCCTCCGCGTCTTCTCTCGTGCTTTCCCCCTCCTCGGGGCGCATCATTCGAACGTCGTTCCCTACGGGATTCTCGGCTCGCTCGCCGTCGTCATCGCGGCGCGATCGATCGCTCGCGTGCTCCAGATGCAGGAGGGGGTTGATCGCGAAGTGCGGACTGGCGAGGGGATCGCGGCAGCATCGTCTAGGAAGGCTGCCGCGCAGCGAAGCGGCCTCGAATTGCTCGAGCTCGTCGTGACTCACCTGTCGTTCGTGTTGCTCGTCGCCGGCGCAGCTCGACTGCTGGGACAGCGAGCTGCTCGGTCTGCTCGACATCGAGGACATCGCCGACCTGGCCCGTTCCTGCAGCCGTTCTCCACTGGCCGCCTTCGATTGGTTGATGTAGTAATCCCTGCCGAATCTGCACAGAAAAATCGGACTATTAGCTTCGCAGAACTCGTAAATGAAAAATGATCGGCACTTGACTCTTTGTTTTTTCCATTTATCTCTTAGTCAATTGATATTTCAAGAAAACTTTAGTGCGTGAAAATTAGCAAGAGAAATAATTCACTTGATTTTCTTTAATGCATCGCGTGTCTTAATTGTGATTGGCGCCTTTATGATTTCGGAAATATTAATGAAAGTTACCGCTTAATGTCCGTTCGATCGGGTGTCAGGAGCGGAGGAATCTCCAGATTCACTTCGTTCAGCTTTGTTAACTCGTAATGGGTTCTGAACAAATGAGTGAAAAATGGAAATCTTTGCGACTAGAGTGATATTCGCAAAATATTTTTCGCGTGAGATTCTTACCCTGGAATGTCCGAATTTCTCGAATACTGCCTCTCCAAGCATCGCTTTCGTATGTTCGCCTCGCTGTAGGGATTGTTTTCGATCGGCGGCGCGTTTTCCCATTTTTTGTGCTCGCGTTCCGCTATTGTGCCTATACATTTATTCATCGTCATATTCGCAATATGCTCAACATGCTACATGAATATTTCATTTTATTCGCGAATCTTCCCGCGTTTTTTAGCAGAACATCAAGAATTTTTCTTAGAGATGTTCATTAAGATTTTTTATACTTCAAAGAATTGCAATTAAAACACTATCCCTCACTTTATGTAACGTAAAACTCTTTGACGCTATAAAATTTTTTCTCGGGACCTTACACGTATTCAATAATGTTATGTAACAATTACCTCGGGTGTGTAATTATTATTCATTCTGTGTAAAATGTGTATATAAGTAAATTATTTCATGCATAATATTTTACATCTGGAAGATAAAATGGAATTTTGTCTTTAGTATTCTCTTATAAATTCAAGAAATACGAGATTGCGAGGGATTTTTCAGCGCTTATCGCATATTGCGTACAATATTTATCATATGTGAGTAAGTAAAGTTACCTGGCCGCGGAGGGGCGCTTAATGGATCATTTTCACTTGTCATGTCGACGTGATTCTCGTCGATCGTTGCATAAGACAATTGGACTTCGGCTTCTGAACGTTCGCTGCATAAAGTCGAAAAAGAATTATGAAAGAGGCACGCCGTGCCGCGGCGAAACGACGAAAAGAATTATGTAGCAGGATACGGAACTCATGCAATACCGAGTTGCGTAGGAAACTGGAACTATTATTATCGCTTATTACGCATTCATTTCGAAACCCGAACTCGCTTCATTCATATTTATTATATATCCTTGCAAACGCACGAAAAAAAAGAAATCTAAAAACAAAGACTGAGAGAACAGAAATTCGGAGGCAAAAATAAATTTAGACAATACACTTCGCAAATATATGTATAAATTTAATTTAAGTTTAAAAACTGTAATTCTCTATTCTTTATTTTAAAGTGAAATTATATACAGATGATTGAAAAAGAAAAGCATTAGTTAGAAAAAAAAACATACATTTCGAGACTCCTACCTTTTTGTTCCCTCGATCGAATTGTTCTCCGATTTTCTGAGCTGTTCGTCCGTCGTTTTTCTCGTCCCAACGGCCGTCTCACTCTCTCCCGAGTAAACTTCGACTTTCGTTAAACTGTCCAGGTGTCTCTGGATCGCCGTGTCGTAGTGCTCGGTGTATTCGCTCTCCCGTTGCTCTTCGTTTTCGTCGGCGACGTTTTCCCCTCGATCGCTCCTCTTGTTTTCACTCGATTTCTCAGATTGCATCTTTATTTCCTTTTGCTCCGAACTTTCCACCACAGTCGCGATCGTCCTTTCGCCGCGCTCGGTCGTATCCTTGGACTTTTCTTTGGCTTTATCGTCTCCCGTTGCCACGGTTATCGACGCAAATGAACTTTCATTTCGTTTCCCTTCATCATCTTCACGCTCGACTGTCTTCTTCGATATTTCCGAGAGCTTCGAGAATCCCTCGTGATTTGTCCCATCGAAACCCTCGCAGACAGTCACGTTCGATTCAGTTTTCTTTTTCGCTTGGCAGGTGTCGACTTCATCCTTTCCGAGTTGAGTTGTCGGTATGTTTGCTTCCTCCTGATTGCCCTCGGTCTGGATATTTGCCGCGTCGCTTTCGGATACCCTGGGAGTCCTCGGAATCACGTTGTTGATCGCCTCCATCAGTTCCTTTTCGATCTCCTCGTCGGATTTCGTGGACGAGCACTCGGATAGGTCGGACGTGTCCTCGGCATCCCGGTCGCCGATCAGAGCCTTGTAGTACGCGTTCGAGCTCGGTACCAGCATAGCGACCGCGTCCGGCTGCGTTCGGGAGTGCTTCTTCTTCTGGAACAGCCAGTTGTCCTCCCAGGACTCGATGGGCGAGATTATATCCATCGTGCGACCAGCGGCGTGACGTTTCGTCCTGACCGGATATTCGTTGCGATTTAAATCCGAAGAATCTGACGACGATGATGGCGACGGCGAGGGTAATTCTCGCGGAGCTGTTATACAAACAATTCAAAATACATAGTTATTTTTACAAATTCAATTCAAAATGCATAGTTATATTTTTATAATGTACGATAAAGTTGTAATTTGCTTTATGGTCAAAACAATTGCACGAGATATTATTTTATTTTTTACATCTTTTTTTTTGAAAAAAAGAGAGTTTCGGATAATTATTCGAGTATTGAAATATATTTTGAAATCAAGAGCGATTGTGAGAGTAAAATTTTAATTAATCTTGAAGTATTATTTTCATTATGCTGTACGGCGTGATATGATATTTTACACACAGACGATTCCGTGCGCTTATTTAAATATGTAAATGACATTCGAAGTGAAAGTCGAAGTTCTTAACTCACGGTCAACGATGTCCATCCCGTATTCCGGAAACGGTACACGCCGGGTGCATCCAAATTCCAAGACGCCGTTGTCACGAAGTTCGTCATCGTCCGACGTGATCGTGGTTACCTCCTCTATCCTCTCTTCCATCTGTAACCGGGAAAATTCCGTCTCCGTCAGAGAGCGACAACTATACCGTTACATTTTATTACATATATCGATTATACGCATTACGTTTGGAGAATTCGAATCTCTGTGATATGCAAATTTCACGTTTTCATCTTTGCGTTTAATAGCCGTGGTATTCCGCGCCGCGATATGCGCGAGAATATATGTGAATGCCGTATCGTGATCGGCATCCGTACCGTAAAGGACACCGGTTTCCGACCATCTTCATTCCGCCTGATCGACGCGCCGTGATCGCCGTTGCACTCGAGACGGTCGGACGCGTAACTCGCCGCGTCTTCCTCAAGGCCGTGCTCGCTCTCGTCTGGAAAAAGGAACATCGTCTTCGTAAATACGAGACCGCTTCTTCCACGCTTCTTCACGCGATAATATGTTAAGTCAATTCTACACACTTGCGGTATACTTTGCTTTAGGCGAATCTGTGTCGTGCACGACGTTGCTGTTGCCGTCGACCCGTTCCCTTTGGTATCTCTCGATGACCTAAAATGCGCATGACGAATTCGGTCATATACTTCATTTAAGCGCAGCGCTTTATCGGCGAACGTGAATTTTTCATCGGTAATAATTAACGTAAAAAAAAATACAGTGCGCATCGTGATTTCTTAATGAATTTAGATCGTATTTAATTCAAGTAGCGCTTTAATTTTTAATTGGTAATAATGAATGTAAGAGAATACAGCGCGCGCATCTAAATTTCTGATAATCGATGCGAACATAATGCAGATTTTAATTAATATATTTAATGTAGAGAATATAGAGGTTTATCCTCTTATAATTAATTTTAGAATTTAATATATTTTATTATTTAAAATATAATTTAGAATGTAATAATTGTTTCAATTCAAAACGTTTCAAAGATATTGTCCGTAACTAATTGTGGAAATCTATCGCTTTCTTAAGACTAGATTCCAGTTTAGCGCATTGAAACAACCTTATTGAGGATCGCGGTGGCGAGAAGATCCTCGTAATTATCGTCCGCGGCGACGCGCCCATCTAGAGGAGGCTCTGCGTCCTCCGCGGAGGACGCATTCAATCCCGGTAACTTCCGAGCTTCCTCGACGGCTCGCTCGACGATCTCTCTGAGCGCCGCGTGCGCCATAGCCGGCGGATCCGTAGATGGTTTGTCTGGAACATCAAGTCGGAAAATTGTCGAGACATTGTCACTGCAGTGATCGATGATGAGAATACATTCTGCCGGTCATTCTGCGTCTGCAATTACTATACGAGTGCGACATAGAGGTACCTCCGAGTCGTCGCGGTCGTACCGTTAAATTCGAATATTACACTTAACGTTGCTCTTGTCACGTTCATCGACTTCTCTCTAATTATAAAATAAAATCTCTAAGTTTTTTTTTTTAATTAGAAGTTTAACGCGTACCGATTTCGTTGAAAAACACGTTGTGGACTTCGGCCGCAAGGCGATGCAGATCATATTTATTCTGATAATCTACATTTATTATCGATATACTTGAGAACGTGTGTATAAGAGCACCTCGTTCGAGAACACGAAATTCTCGTTCGATTAAGAAATTACGATTTCTCTGATTCTCTTTTAGAACTATTTTGCATCGCGTACTCCCACCAATCCTCCGAGTGTTGATTCGCGTTCGACCGGGCGATTGGCCTCCATGGATCGATCGCGGTCTCCGCGGAGTGACTGTCGGACACTCTATCGCGAACGATCGAGCGCACCTTGCGAACGGTTATAGTAAAACGGGGTATAGCATAAGCGCGAGTCGCACCGCACTTTCTTCGGCGTGATAGAGTCACAGACGAGAGATAACGGCGGTGTACGGCCGGCATTCACGAGAGCGCCGGCCGTTTCTTCTTCGCGGTAATTTCTCCGACGCGACCTTGCGCTGATGATGCATCCTTACGGCCACTCCTCTCGTCGACGACTCTCGCGACTTCATCTCGTCCCTCTCCTCCTTTTTCTCTCTTTCTCGCTCTCTCTCTCTCTCTCTCTCTCTCTCTCTCTCTCTCTCTCTCTCTCTCTTTCTTCCTCTTTTGCGTACCTCGTCCGCCGCAGATCGCGGCCGCCAAGTGAAATTTACCGACCTCCTGAACTCTTTCCACGGGAAACTCGAGGTCTGCAATTTTTACTCCGTCTGCATTTTCACCTTAGATTCTGAACGTCAATGGTGATCTCAATCTCGATTACATGTTTATCGAATAAATAGTGTGTGAATTAATAGTTGATCTTTAGGAGGATTTTTAAAAGAATGTTTTCCTGAATCTTGAAAATTTGGATTAAGAGGTCAATGTTTTCTTAATGACATATTCTAAAAAAAATGTTGTCATTTTGTCCTGTGGAAACTTAGCAAATTTTCATCCAAGAATTGAAAAATCAATTAGAAAGAAATTTTTTTATTTTTGCTTCTATCGTTTCAAATCAGGAATAATTGTTGGAATTTTTGAGTAACTCTGAGTAACTATGAGTAAGAATTATTTTTAAGAAAACGTTAAATTAAAAAAAAAACTCAAAGAAAATTTCAGTGACCCAAAAAATTCATGGACAATTTCACTACCAACAAAAAGTTGATTTTTTGCTTTTTGATATGCGAACTTTTCAAGTTTCCACACATATAAAATTGAGATAATCTTTTATCTATAAAAATTCAGCAAAATATAGTTCAAGGAATATTTTATTGGAAAGATACGCGTGTTGTTGCTCGCGACATCCTGTATAGATGATTAATAATCCTCGAGTACAACACACTCAGCTATTCGCAAATAAACACATCGCGTGCGTGAACGTCCCCTCTTTCTTTTTCTTCCTCTTTTTCTCTCTGTCTCTCTTTCTTTTTCTTTCTCTTACTCTGTATAACGCTCGTGTTTCACACAGCCACTTCTTGCATACACATAATCGAGGATCTACCTTGTCGAGGACATCCAGCCTTGATCTCGCGCCGTAGAAGGTGAAGGCCGACAACAGGTATTTTGCGCGCGATCCGACCGCCTTAAACATTAGTCGTATTATTATCCGGCATGTAGACGAAGTTTCTTCGGCGAAGCTAAATCGCCGTTTCTCTCTCTCTCTCTCTCTCTCTCTCTCTCTCTCTCGACATTTATTAATGTCGATAAAGCCAGCGCCACACACTGACCTTCGATCGATCTTTTTCTTTTTCTCGTACGATTATACGTCGAACGACGTGTCGCGGTAGTCGCGTGACGTATAGGAATAATAATTGCGCATAATTAATCCGTGATAATCGAGTCTTCCTGCCGTGACCGATTGGCTGGAAGAAAACGTTGCTTGATCGGTTCACGTGATTGTAACTCAATGTACAATTTGTATGAAAAGAAAGATGTCAACGTGACCTTCGAGATCATCGACGATAAATCAAAGCTACAAAATGTAAAATATAGAGATTTTAAGGATTGAGCTTGAGAATCTGCATAAATTCTCTATCCCGATAAATTTTCGTTTTGCCGGCTTGCTACCAGTTCTCTGTGTAGCTTTCCTTTCGCGTTATAATAGCTTTAACTTTGCCTGGGAACAATCGTAGGATAGCTTTCGAGTTTGCCGTTTTCTGTATTTCACGAGCGTCGAATTTAAGAAAACCGACGACGCGTCGGCTTTCTCACGACGCGGCGCGTCAATTAGGATCGCGCTATCGAGACAATAGTCGGTAAAATAAAAATTTGGTTTACAGATACAGATGCTTTCTCATTGGTGCGCGAATAATTCGGTAGATAAACTCCGCGGTAACAAGCGTGCTTCATGTGGGAAACTCATTCCTGTCTCGGAGAAATTCAACGTTCATTCAATGTGACACCTTAATATAGCGCGCGCGCGCGCGCGCAAGAACGCGTAAAAAATCCGGATAACGGAAGTCGTAAAACCGTTGCGCCGCGGTATTTCCCCTTTTTCGTCGTCTGTCGATTGCGACGTTATAAATGGTCGATCGCGCTCGAAGCTCTCGAGACGAGGTTACTGGACCAGTTTTGCGCGCGGAGAGAACGGCGATATCTCGCGAGAGGATGCGCGAACGGCGCGCGTTTTCATGCGAAAGTTCGGGGGCTATACTGATGAATGGAGAAACAAAAATTCGTATACGTACGGAGGTGTCTCGGAGTGGGAGTAACACGTACGCGGCTTGGAATAAGAAAGTGGAATATAATATGCTGTTAAAATAGAATATATAGAGAAGTGAAAAGTGTGGAATTAAACCTTGAGTATCTCTTTCTTCTACGATTTTCGTTATTTGCTGCCTCCGGTAGAAAACAAAAAAAATTTAATAATTACGTGTAGAGAGTAAACGCGGCGTTTCTCTGTTTACAAAAAATTATGGAGAGATGTTTTTTTCCTAAACGGCTAATTAAATAGGTTCTAGTTCAGTATGAGAAAATGAATGTGTAACAGAGTGATATCACTACATCATTATATTACAGTGTAAAAAATATTCTCTATAATATATAAATTAATTTTTTCTCATTCTGAAAATAGTAATGTAATTGCTATATTACTTGTGATAATATTATATATCAGGTTATTGCTTTCCTTATATTGCAAGAAGTGATGACCACTGCTGTTATCCGTTTCTCTACGTCGGAGATTGCTTAGAGATAAGAAGATAAGAAATCGGAATTATTTGCGACGAAAAGATAGAACACTAATAACGCATCGTCTTTGTTACGCTGATAAAACGATTTGTTATGATGGAAAAATTGACGAAATATGTTATGATTAATTATTTTTAACATTAAATAATTCTGTAGAGTTAATTGTTCATTTTTTTAGTCACGGCAAAAAATGCGCATTAGTTTCGTTTGATTTTCGATCACTTTTAACATTTTTAGTACTTACATAATATTATATACTAATTTTTTCTCTATTTTTAAGCGTGTATTTATAAAACGCAAGACAGGATACGGATAGGATTAAAACATAAATGATGAAACTTGTACAGACATAGAATTTCGTGGAACATTAAATACATTCGCAGGAAACGAACATTATTAGGTTTAGCACCAGATATTTACCATTTTTCCTCGAGATGAGAACGTAGACGAAATAGGCGACGATCAGACCACCGATCAACGTCAACATCTCTTCGGCCGACTGCAGTTGCATTAACTGCACCTTTCACATCGTATCATCGGCTAATGCGGTTACCCTCGGTCCCTCCTATTCTTTTCTAACTCTTTCCGTCCTCGTCGGCGCACTTCCCCGCCGAAGTTCAGAATCGAATATCGGGCACTTAGCACACATACGTACACACGTTTATCAGCAAGGTTGATACTTATTTGTTAGACATTAACATTCTTCGCGGGCGCGATACCTTCGCTAAGAATAACTAGGCTCATCTTACGTCACCCCGTAATTTATAGAATTATTTCGAAGTCGGAACGTAAATTGCGCTTTGTCTTAATTACTTGGGAAATGTGACGATGCGCCCTTCTCAGGACTCGTATAAATGAAAATAGTCTAAATTCTGAGATATCTTTCTCACGCATTCCATGCGATATCAGTCCACGAAGAGAATTTTAATGTTTATTATCTCTCCGTAATCGAGGTACGTATTTTTCTTATCTCTGTAGATAGACTACACTGCTAAATCTATAGTGTCAAATTTAACCCAATTTGAGTCGCCACTGCTCCTGCTTAATATATCGTTATTTTTAACTCAAACAATGGAGTTAAACAGTTTAAAACAGTTCAAATTTAACCAAAATTTGGGTTAAATTTGAACTGTTTTAAACTGTTTAATTCCATTGTTTTAGTTAAAAATAACGATATATTAACGATAAGTAGAAGCAATGGCGACTTAAATTGACTTGAATTATAGATTTAAGTGTAGTTTAAAAAAATATACCGCTATATTTTTCGGTTTTAAGGTAAGGTCATAAAATTTTGCATCTACTTAGAAATTATCTGTAAAGAAAATTTTAACATTTACTACCTCTGTAATTGAAACGTAAATTTTTTTTTATTTCTATGACTTGTTGAAAACATATCATCATATTTCTCGGTTTTAGGATAAGGCCGTAAAATAAGTCTTGCATCCATTTGAAAATTATCTATACGATAATAATTAATTATGCACCTTAATGATACGTTTATTCATCGCATTCATGCATCGACGACAATCGGAGCGATTATAGAGTCACCGGTCGAAACTATTAATTGCGATCGTCATGTTTTTTACGTATAGTACGCGCACGTCTTCGATGACTTTCGCGAATATTCGTACACGCGCGCAGTGACGTCAGCTCTTTTTCTTCCTTTTTTTCCAACGTTCGATTTTTAAATTCTCATTTGCATGGCAAATGTTGACCGTCACGCGTGCCGAAGCGTGGCGACGTCAACGTTCGAACTTTAAAATTCCTTCTAAGCGCGCTTCTGCTTTTTTTTTTTTGTAAAGATGACGCGGTTGAAGGCTATACGACAAACATCATGATCGAGCATATCACGTTTTCCGACGTTTCCCCACGTGCGCGACTTTATTCCGTGTATGTCAACTGGACGCACCTTAACCACGGAAGTATTATGCAATAACTTAAGTTTATTCCGATTTTCAGATCGCTCGGTTTATTTTACGGCCAGTATATCAGCTACCTGTATCTCTTCACGTGATATTTGAAATGAAACACGTGGATTTTTTTTCCTACGTCGAGTAGATTCGATAAGAGAACATCGCAATTACCTAGAAAGTCGATATTTATCTACTGCGTCGTTTATGTACCGTGTGTCCAGCTTCTGCTGGCTGTCAATCATAGACATTTCTCGATAGATTTGAGATAAAAAGTATTTCACATGGAATGCGAATTGTTTTGATTTTCAGCATTGAGTATTTTAAGAGATCTCGGCTCTTAAGATAAACGTCCTGAGTGAATGAGAACATATAATATTAGGCGTTCGTGAACGAAAGAATTTGAAATGTCTCGCGACATACGGGTGTTTACGAATCGATGGGCGAGGCAACGTCGCGTCTCTCAGAAGGTATGTGTCACGAGGTGGAACGTAAATCGGCTAATTCTGGCATCTTGACATTTTTGCGTAGTTTGCATAAAGATTATTTCGACGGACTACGTTGAAATACGCTCGGCTGAAAGGTGTCACGATTTCATTTCTCAAAAGTATCTCGTTTGTTCAGTTGTGTCATGCAGTTGATAAAAGACCGTCACGCGTGACGATAACGAGAGAGCTCAATAATAAGTTCGTCCTCTTTCTTTCTTTTTGACACGCAAGAATCCTTTCGTTCTGCATGATAGCACTTAATGGGAATCTATTTGCTAGATTTCTGGAGGAAATAAGGGCCAATAAAGTGAGCAAACGAAGATGCCGCAATATGACTACATAATTTTATTTGATAACGAAGCGGGGTAACGCGAATGGCACAGTGCGCCAGTACGTTGATTTGTGATCGACGGTCCCGAATTCGATTCGCCACATATGTCTCGATTTTATGAGATTTATCCAGAATATGAATTTATATAAATTCATATAAATTTGAATATAATGTAGCATACATATATACTATTCTTTTCTAAACATGATTAACATTTAAGAGAGTTTAGAGTCATTCGATAATGAAAAAACTAAATATGATTGTAGAACTATTAGTTACATATAACATTAACATTTAAGAGAGTTTAGAGTCATTTGATAACGAAAAAACTAAATATATGATTGTAGAACTATTAGTTACATATAACATTAACATTTAAGAGAGTTTAGAGTCATTCGATAACGAAAAAACTAAATATATGATTGTAGAACTATTAGTTACATTGTGAAAGAGTCATACTTACAGTAGACTCTTTTTTTTAAAGAAATTGAAAAAAAAAACAGCTTTAATATTAACAAATAAAATTATGTAATTATATTGCAACATCTTTGCTCGTTTTATTGGCCTTTATTTCCTCCAGTTTCTATTTTATTTTAAAATATGAGCCAATATATCATTTTACTTCGTTAGATTTCGTTATTTATATATAAGAAACAAGAAAACAAAATATTTCACTTGTAAAGACGTATTAATTAAATGGATCAATAGCATATTAAATAGAAAATTGTCTGTTAGAAAAATGTAGTTCGTAATAGCAAATAAAAATTAACGAAAAAACTATAAATTTTTTTTACACAGCGTCCTTTTCGACAATAAAGGAATTGAAAGTGCTGACGGCATTATAATCATGACAAATGATTGAGAGAAAATGCGTAATAACTGAAATAAAAAAAACGACAGTTTGTGCTGAATAATGCGATTTATCGCTCAATTAGCGATGTGTCTCGCACGGATCTTTGGAATGACAAACAGAATTTGTATTACCCAAATGGTATGAGATTGCTTATTAAGCGGCAAAAATCGAAAAAATAACTTTGCCTCTCGAGCAATCAGACCTTTTTAAAAATACACTTGTGTGTGCTTTATTAAATACTCGATTAGCCGAGGAAAATGACTGGACCGAACGGCTTGTGTACAAATAGAGTAACAAATCATAAGTAACTATGTGCTCTTATTTTAAACTTGATCTCGATACATAAACTTCGAAAGCTGTTAGGCTTTTTTTGCCTTTGCGATGCAAAAACAGAGTCATTTATCAGAATAATTGCGTGTCAGATGAGATCAAAAGTCGGTGAATGCCCAGACACCCAAGGACTTTGAATCGATTTCTCGAACGTGAGAAGATCTGCGCTGTCTCGTTTCCGCGGCCGGTATCGTCTCTTATCGCGTGTAATTAGCGTCAACCTTGATATTTTTGTACAACGAGAGAGCTCTTCGCGCGAGCTACGAATGTGTTTTCAATCATCAAGAAGATCAATTTTATCTTTCTTGAGAATTTTTCGCACGATGCGATAAAATTACGTGATCGATAAACATTATAGACATCGTGCGATATATTTTCATTTTTCTATTTTTATCTATACTGAAGAAATAGATGACGGCACAAAAATAGAATGACAGAAATCTATTCTGCAAAATATTGTACGTTTAATGTTTGAAGCCTTTGGGAATAAATTTGTAAATATTTCTGTAAATTAAATAAGACTAATTAAAACTTCAAACTATCCATAAATACTTTTTTCGATTAAATTAATAAAAAGTTTTTGAACTAATAAAAAGATCCAAAAATTGTTTCATACTCTGAATTTTTTAAATCTTATTATCTCTGCAATCAGCAAATTTATAAAGTTTATAAAAATCTGCACAATAAAATTTTAACTTTACACCATCAAACATATATAGATTTGTTTCTCTCTCTTCCTTTTTTTTCTCTATTCCTTCTCTGTCTCTTTCTCTACAGAAAAGTTATAAGTAATAGTTATAAAGTAAAGGAAAGGATGTCAAAGTGTTTTCCCTCTTCCCGCGAATTAGAAATTCAGTTTCACACAATATAGATTCCTGTCAATCTTGCTTCCTATAGGGCTCGTGCCAGCGTCTTTCATCAGAACGTCACCGATGTTTATAACCGATCCGTCGTGTATAATAGTAAAGCCGAACGACCGTAACCATCCGAGGTTAAAGATCTCCTGTCACGCGTCCGTTAAAGAAACGTCTCGCCGTTCCTTTCTCACGTTGCTTCACGCGGCACATTCCTCGCACGTTTTCACGTATATAAGTATCCCCGTTTCCTTCCGTCGTCGTGGTGTGTTGTCTACCTCTTATTTCGCGGGTCGTCCCTTAATCGCGCGCCGCGCGGAATTTCACACGCGCGCACTCGCACCGCTCGCTCGTCCGCGACTGAGACACGCACGTCTCGCCGTCGCCGTCGTCGTCGCTCGTCCTCGTCCACCTGTGCACGATGTGTACGACCTATGGCTTCCTCATAGTGGGGAGGTCTGGTCGCTTTTGCGAGAGAACGCGCGTCTATCACGATAATCGCGCGCCGCCGGATTGGGTCCCGCTTTGTGAGACCACGGCGGCCCGCATTCGCGCACACGCGGCGCCCCGCGTTTGACGCTTAATTGCGGTAACGCTAAATCGCTTAAGTCTCGAAATTAGACCCGTGGTAATCTGTAATTCTCCCGTGATTCAAATTGAATTCGACACGTCGGGTGTTATCTCCGGAATATTGCGCCGGATGACGAGAACGTTCGCACGAGGAGTATTGTAGCTTTTTAACGATGTAAAGAACACAATTTAATGAAACAGATCTTTTCTAATGCGTGCGTTTATATTTAAGGAATAATTATATTTAATATAATTATTTATTAAATACAAACGCACGTATTAGAAAAGATTCGTTTTATTGAAATTGTTCTTTAGACAAAATTATATATATTATATAATATATATAATTATAATTATATTTGATGTTAAATTGAAAGAAAATGAAATTTTCTTGTTGAACTTCTAATAGAATTACTTATTGAGATGATTCATCTGTCTTTAATAATAATTTAATTTTTAAATTAGCAGTATTTCAAGAGCATTTTACACATTAAGAATTTATGTGTGAAAAACACTAACAAATGCTTTTTTACTTCAAAATATTGATCATATGCCACTCGTATTCGTCAAAAAAATGTGGAATTTTAATGTCTCTTTCGTTCAAGATGTTGATTACTCACATCTTTAACTTCCTCGGCGGAGCTTTAGCTATATAAAGGTATGCAGTTATTGCTACGACATGCCGCACGAGCTTAAGTTCGCGAAGCCACACTATGCTTACCCGGGGAATTGGAGCGACGTGTTGAAGCGATATCGCCGGCCGTTCGCGCTCGCCACGTTATGCGGTTTCGCGTAACGCGCGTTATCGCGTGCACACGCGGCTCGATCACGCGAACGGTGTCTCTCTCTCTGCAGCTCCCTTTCAGGGTGGAAACAGAAGAACAGAACGCGCGACAAGATGCAAAAGTCGATCGGGTTACGCGAGACTCGATCTCGCGTACCGCACCTTCAACCGCGCGCGGCAGGTTGGAGTCCGGTACTAGTTTCGTTACGACAGTCGAAATTAGCGAGTTTAATTCCGTAAATTCCGCGACACCGGTTGACCGGCACGATTAGTCGTTCGTAACCTGCGTAAATGTCACTTCGATTTCGCGGAAGAATCGCGGAACTCGTTTTCCCTTATAACGCTCGCCTGGGTACTTTTACTTCGTGCACCTGAACTTTCCTATGCGGATTTATCTATCAGATTTACTTCACAAACAGTGCTCCAGAATAAACGAGTAAAATTGTAATGACAGTTCTGTTGTAGAATATAATTTAAATATAATTTTATATGTAAAAAATTCGTCTTTTTTTGCAATAAAAATGCAACAGTACTTGATAATGTTTTTAGATAAGTAGCCAAATGCGAAAATGCAAGGACAGCTTTTTATAAAATAATAAACTGCTATGAAATTTTCGTGACAAACGTGACAAGTGATGTATAGCCAGCTTTGTTGGCGCGCTATTTATATACCTATTCTTCAAAGGAGTTAGGCGATTATCATTCGAAGAACATTGTAATTATTCATCGTTTCCTTCGTAACTTCCTTCGTCTATAGACTCTAGCGAATCAGTTAATCAAAAATCTATCCTTCGAGTAAGAAATTGCGATGATTCATACATCGGAAAAAAGCATTACGTTGCGAGATTCACTGTAATTAGTTCTCATTTTAGATTACACATTATTGCTCATGTAATCAATGATCGGATCTTTTTCGCCACAATTCATTTTGAATCAAAAAAATTAGCTGCCATCTCAAAATTTTTCTTTTCATAATCAATTAAATTCTAGAATCTTAACAAGATAGTATTTATTCTTTTTTATTATATATATTCGTATACATTCGCGCTCATCACATACTTATATGCATATGGAATATATAATATATATTATATATACGTAATTATATATAATTAATATGTTAATATTACATATATAATTATTTGTGTATTTTTATATATTTTTATATGTCAATCTTAAAACCTTCCTCGGATTACATAACATATTTAACAATTTTTTAGACACTCAACATTTACTATAATGCAATTAATTTTGTAAAAAGCAGTCAAAGCAGTCACATAATTTTTCATATTATTCATAGCTACGTAAATTTTTAAGATAAATAAAATTATGATACATCTGTAAACCAATTTACAGATAAATCAAACTAGGTTTTTATGACTATATTCTAATTGATAAATAGGAAGATATTTTTTCCCAATGGGTGGTAATCTTACAGCAAACAAAATTTTTGTATGTATAAATGCCTGATTATTCCCAGGCTTAAAAATGAAACGCAGTTTCGCTGCTTTCACAGAACTTCATTCAGGTTTCAAATCATTACTTGTAATAAATCAGGCACTATATCAGGTATTTTCTTTTTAATCTTTAAATATTATCGTGAAATATAGTAAAAGAGACTTTTCTTCGAAAGTCTGTCTTAGGCACGTGTGCTGCGAATCGTAAATATATTCTGATTGCTCTCGCGACCAACCAGTTGTTGATAATGACACGTTTGTGCGGAGATCTGACGAAGAAAGGAAGAGTCGAACGACTCAAAAAGTAGACTTGAAAGCTGCTGATCGCCATTTAACAGCGAATTCTCAATGGCGAAAGTTGAGCCTTCGACTTCGGCGACTTGACTTCGAAGGCGATCATAAATTTCCTGTCGAAGATCGGAAGACTCAGACAGGTAATATATCTATAATACGTTTATTCTTAATAATAAACAATTAATCGATATTCCAGTAATACTCGTATTATATGGCTGTTTATTTTAAGTTAAAAAGGAATTTTTTTAGCCAAGTCGAAGCCAAGGCATCCAGATTGAAGTTTCGTTATCGAGAATTTGTTACTAAATAATCGTCAACTTCTTGATCTAGTTTTCGAGTTGTTTGCGTTCTTCTTTTCTTCAAGTGTCTGTATTAACATGCCATTGCCATTGCGACTGGTCGCGAGAGTTATCGCAGTATATTCGTGATTTACGACAAGGTAGATTTTTTAAGAAAAGTCCTTTTCGCGAAGTCACGTTCGATTCGAAGCCTTTCAAATCGGAATGAAGGT